CTCTGACACACAAGGTACAATGAGCTCACAATAATATGTAAAACCTTTGCTCAATCAATGTTACCAAAAAAAGATTACCTCAAATCATAATATTAACCACAATGTCTTGTACAACAGTCGGGAAGATGTCTATCATATTAAACATCTTTATCATGATACAAACGTAAAAGGACAGGGAGAAATAAACAGCAGAAAGGCAACAACGTGTTACTGATTTTAATGTCCTGTGTGTGCGTTTCCAGTTCCCATCATGCATCTAGATTCTTTAGTCCACAAAAGCAATCCAAACAAGAAAACTAGCTTTAACCTGCTGACATCACCCATAGTGTTTGCCTCATAGCAGAAGAAGCAGATAAGAGCCAACTCTAATGTGGCACCAAATGTATAGGTAGCAACAACCTAGCAACCAAAGGGCCAATCAGGTGCACCACTGCTCCTTTCATGCTCGTGCAGACCTATTATTATAGATCAATGGTGCAGACGCCAAATTCAGGGATCTGATTTCTAAATACAAATAACTGATCAAAGAAATTATCAAAATAAAATAAAAAACACCAGGATAACAAAAAACATTAAAACATGTAGTTCTGAGCCCATAACTGAGAGTATGACACGAATCCTAGTTTGAGTGACCAAAAAAGTAGATGAAAAACATAAGCACTTCCAAATGAATACGCTTTTAAAGACAGCAAAAGCCATTATATTCCTGATTGGACTTTATTTTGCAAAAGAGTATACACACATTTGTTTGTGGAACTAATGTGGAATAAATTACGTGTTTTGTACTGATATGTATTGGACATCAACTGTTAAAGCATCGCATCTCTGCTTTCGTCCTACATGTGTCATAACAACTAAGCAAAACAAGGACGTAACTACCAAATTAGTTATTATAGGAGGATTTTAGTTTATTTTATAGTTTGTATGACTTTGTCTTTTGTTTAAATATTATGTCAGGTACCGGTTTTGTTTCTATTAATAATAATAAAATACGTGTTTTTAATAGAAGGATTTTCTACTTCCGGGTGGATCATCAAGACTATTAGTCCTCCGAATTGTCAATCATTCTGGTGATACATGCTCGTCAAACAAGACCAGAGTTTTGTTGAAAAAACTCTATATATCTGTAAGTACAAAGTAAGGCATTTTTATAACACCATTAAGACAAACTTTCAAGAACATTTGGAGCCGGGTGCTCGCCCCTATGACGCTGGACCCCAAACGCCTCTTTTACCGCAGCATCGTGTGGAAAAAGAAAATCACAGCACAATACGTAATTTTAAGAAGAAAGTTATTGTATACTATATGAAATCGTTGGAGTTTTACCTTGGCATTCAGGCGAGTGCATATCATGTTGGCACTGTACTATGTCCACAGTTATTATTATAATACATCTCGTTATGTTCCACAGAGGCAATAAAACGTGCAGTCTGCGAGCGACGCGGCAGAACTTCCAGCCTCACTTTAGTATAAGATAAACTTTTGTAGAAACGCTCACTTTTACGCCAAACACCGAATGAACTGATTAATAAACACTATATGTCTGCGGTTGGATGATCAGTGTTCCACGACCGACCAAAGCAACTTCCAAGTGACAGTCTCCAACTAAAGAGCCAATGTCTGCCTGTGTCAGGGGAAAACTTCAAGTGTCTCCCTGTGTTATAAACTAGCCTCAGGTCCTTCTCATTAGCAGCCTTAATAATGAAAGCCCAAAGTGTAAACTCGGAAAAGAAAGATTTTAGAAGCAGATATCTTTACCTTGAGTTGGATGCAGGGGTAGAAATCCGTGCAGGGTCTGTTTCTTCGTCTCAAATGAACCAACAGCGACAACTGGTGTAAAGTTGGAATGTGGAGGGACCACTTCCGCCTTCCGCTTGTCTCCAACAGACACAGAGTAAAGGGCAGATGTGGTTGTTGTTAGGTCAACTTTGTATTTCATGTTACCATTTCATTTTCTCTTTTTCATCTGACATTTTATTTATTAGTTTAGGTTTGCATTCATCGCGGAGGTCGCAACTAAGTTTTTAAACTACAAAACAACTTTTTTCTTTTTACGACTAAGCGGATATCCAGTACATCTCTATTGGCAGGTAACGGCGTGCAGAAATAATTATTTTATTTAATAGTAATAGATGTGCAGGTCAATATAATAAAGTCCTATTTTTTATAACGCAAGCATCTACTTTCTACTCCTTCACAGCAACATAAAAGGGCGATTAATACAGGTTGAGTGGTTAACCTTACCCATCCATTAAGTGAATCAGAAACAATTCTTTTATTGCCATGTGAGAAACAGGAAGTCACAAACTGGGAAATTGCTTTGGCTCTCGGTGCAAACAAGTTAAAGCAGAATCAAATCAAGAAGGCATGCATAAAATTACTTTTGGTATTGACACTTCCAAGTCCTGTAGGATCCAATCCAATCCAATCCAACTTTATTTATAAAGCACTTTAAAAACAACAGCGTCGACCAAAGTGCTGAACACAACAATGAGGATTACATTAATAAAACAGTAAAAAAAAAAGTACAAAACATTCCAAAGTCGAACTTCTCAGGTTGTGTTAAAAGCCAAGGAAAAAAGGTGTGTTTTAAGAGAGGATTTAAAAGGAACAAGAGACTCTGTCTGTCTGAGGTGCAGGGGCAGTGCGTTCCACAGTTTAGGACCAGCAACAGCGAAAGAACGGTCGCCTCTGGTTTTTCTTTTTGTTTTGGGAACAACCAGCAAAGACAGATCTGCTGACCTCAGGGAGCGTGCAGGGGTATAGGGCTGCAACAGGTCAGACAGATACTGAGGAGCAAGACCATGAAGACATTTAAAAACAAATAAAATTATCTTAAACTCAACACGATATGAAATAGGGAGCCAGTGCAGTGACCTCAAAACAGGTGTAATGTGCTCTCGCCTTTTGGTGCCAGTTAAAAGGCGAGCAGCAGCATTTTGTACAAGTTGAAGTCGAGCGAGAGATGACTGATTGAGTCCAAAATAAAGTGCATTACAATAGTCTAAACGACTTGTGATAAAAGCATGAATTAAAATCTCAAATAAATGCTGAGGAACAAATGGTTTTGCTTTGGACAGTTGCCTGAGCTGATAAAAGCTGGACTTTACAACAGATCTGATCTGAACGTCAAGCTTCAGAGCACTGTCCAGCTTCACACCGAGGTTTGTCACAGTTGGTTTTAAGTATTCTTCTAAAGGACCCAAATCCACAAAAGAGGAGGGGGCATCTTTTGGGCCGAGCAGCAAGACCTCAGTCTTTTTGTCATTTAAATGTAGAAAATTTAGTGACAGCCATTCATGAACTTCCTCAATACACTTCAAAAGTTGCTTTGTACAATATCCATTGCCATGTTCCAACGGTAAATAAATCTGGCTGTCATCAGCGTAGAGATGGAAAGCAACATTGTGCTTACGCAAGATGGACCCGAGTGGCAGGAGGTATAGTGAGAACAGAAGAGGGCCAAGTATAGAGCCCTGGGGCACACCATATTTTATGGGAGCAGTGGCGGACTCTACATCTCCGATTCGAACACAAAAACTCCTGTGCGTAAGGTAGGACCTAAACCACTTAAGGGCACTACCACGAATTCCCACCCAGCTCTCCAAGCGAGACAGAAGTATCTGATGATCTATTGTGTCGAAGGCTGCGGTTAGATCAAGCAGGACAAGTGCAACACAGTGGCCAGAGTCTGTGGCTAAAAACACATCATTAAGTACTCTTAGCAGGGCTGTCTCGGTGCTGTGACGATTCTTGAACCCTGACTGGAACGTCTCAAGAATGTTGGACTCCTCCAAAAATGTTTTTATTTGGCCGTAGACCACTTTCTCCAATACCTTGGAGAGAAAGGGGAGTTTTGAAATGGATAACGGGATGAAAACTCGTCTGCAGCAATATTGCTCGTGTTATATCGTCGCTATGCATCCATCCATCCAGTTTCTTCCCCTTAATCCATTTCTGGGTTGGGGGTGGGGGTGGCAGTCAGAGCTGCACCCAGTACTCATAGCACCAGCCCCTCACTGATTCTCCTGCAGGTGGAAATAAACTAATTTGACTAATACAAGTCTTTTGTTATTATGGCCATTTCTATAGTGTATTTATAGTATAAATGCAAAAGTTAAATTCAGATTTTGTTTGGGTGGACTGGAGGATAATGTTGAATGTAAAGATCTAGCTAGAAGACTGAAGGAGTTCTAAGACACTCTATGGCCCATCACATGACACAGATAAGTGGTCATGTTTCTGAGCTGGATGTCCCTAAGTGTTCGTCCACCAAGAAATTAAGCTGGCTCTAAAATTACACTGCAGTCAAAACAACATCATAGGAGTCGTGCCAAAATCATATTCAAACTTCAAAATATCAGGACCTCTGCACTTTACTTATGTTTTCACATAATTATTTTTTCCCCTCACTGCAGTAAACCGACATTTAAATCTATTATTTACAATTAGATGGACAAAGCCCATTTCAAAAAAGGCATTACAGAATATTGTATTATGAAGTGTGTGTTTAAAGTTGACCTTTTATAAATGGTACTTTTATCGTGATTTTCTATTGTAACTACCTCTTGATGTATTTGTCGAAAGATACTAATAATAGAATCTGAGTCACTCCGATACTTTACTAGTAAACATAATGTGGAAAAATACAATCTGTTTTTTTCAATGCATTATTCCCATCATGTGCAGAACAAATGCAGCCAAAAATATATTTTTTAATCTGCATTAAAATGTTGTGATATTCCGTTTTATAACATTTATACTATCTTGATGTATCAGTTATAGTTTTGTATAGGAACTGTGCCATACAAATAAAGGCTCCCTAAAATGTTAAATAGCCTGTAAAATCTGGTCTATAGAGATCAATAATAAAACATTTTATTTAATTACAATTTAATTAGTATTTTCACAAAATGTACAATTGTACACAATCCTAATTATTGAATTAGGTAGGAATCACACATTACATCAAATGAACAAAACTGTTGTACTGGTGTGTACTATTGCTTTGAAGTGAGAGTCAAAGTAGATGACACTCTGAATATCTGAGGCAGCATGTTGCTCAACTGGTAAAACATTTCTTCTGAAATACTCTGTCAACACAAAAGAAACATGAAATCAACATCATGAACAGGTTTGATGTATTGTAACTGAGACTACAGCACAGATACAGTGTGCATCTTCAGAGTTTTTAACAATCATTATCATTAACTATATGCTGAATATGTAATACACATGGGACAAAAAAATTGAATTTTAAATCAGGCACAAAGAAGAATCTGATCCGGGCCACTAAAAACTTAAAATAGTTGTACAGCCCTGCTATAAACCATAACCTACCTTAGGAACTAGAAACTGTACAGTCCGGGAAATACCTCCATCCCATGAGGCCATCTCCATCATAAAACCTGACAAAAGATAACATTTGAATATACTATGTACACTTCATTCACTATATGAAGTGTGTGCTATACCTTTGACACATTTAAAAACAAGTTCAGATCTCTTAAGACACCATGGAATTGTCATCTCCTTTAAAAGAGATAAAAACATGTTAGCTACTATTCTAAATAATATGTTGTGATAGAGATACCAAGGTTGCAAAAGGTTATAAAGATTGTTATACAGGATTACATAGCTAAATCTTAAATAGAATGCAACTTTTCCAGTTGGCTTTACATTTTTGTTTATTTGAAAATGCCAAACACAAATGAATGAAATGTAGTGAATGCTAAAGAGTTGTGGGAATTATAGAGAATGGATGGATGCACTTTCATGTTGCATATTGGAATGTAATTCTCTGTGACCAGGGACTGCAGATGGAAACTAGCTATCTTGCGATAATCTGGTGCAGAACATATCTCTCTCTATGAGCTTAATGTCTCTGTACGCTGTGCCTTCAATAAAGATGAACTAACCCAAGTTTAAAACGGCCAACTAACCTCCGACATGTCGTGGACCAGCAGCAGTGGGATGGTCACCGTTGTGATGTCATGTGTACAGCATACTTTGAGAATGTTTCTTAGGCCCATAATGGCAGGGTCTCGTGCGTTGATGTTTCCAGAGCGCACATTGTCATCCACACAAAGGTGGAAAACAGTATGGACTTCAGACAGGTTAGAATGTCGAGAGATGTAAAATTCGCCTAAATAGTAGGAGGGTTTCATAGCATTTTATAAATACACTGAGGGTAAGTCCAACCCGAAAAACCAACTATAACTGTAACACTTACCCGGTAAAAGGTTTGAGGGATTTCGATCAACATTCTTACTTTTATCTTCATTGCCATTTCGTAGGATCTCTATAGTTAAAAGAAGTAAATAAAAATCTTAGGATTAACTACAACTTACACAAATCTAATCAAAGTTAAAAGCAAGTAAAAGTGTATTTCATGTAATGTTCAGAACTAGATGAAAACTTGATCAGGTCTCTGCAATGGCTTCTTGTTGTTCAGGGAATAGACTGATCTATCAGCTCGAAGTACATCCCAGACATGATCATATGACCATCTCAGACTGAGGACCTCACAGCTGTCATGACTAACTGGTTGTGTGAATAGCAAAACTAACCTGAGACCAAAGGTTCTCCTTCCAGCTGTTCGAGATCTTACTTATGTTACGTTAATCTTGTCTTATTTAGTATGCTATTCAATTATCACCATAGTAGAGAACTGTATAAGCGAACAAGTAATCACAATGACGTGTTTTGGCAGCTAACCACAATCCATCATCAGAAATGTCAATGATGGCTACCAGCTATTCTCTCCAGAATTTTAAGACAGCAGACTGTGATGGTCCTGCATTTTAAAACAGGAAAAACAAATTCTGAAAACAGTGGATTTTTTAAAATGGAGGTTAATATGCTCAAGCTCAGAAGTGCAAGTAGACAAGTGTTTTTGTTTTTAATTAATACTGAGGTGTATGTGTACCAGCCCTTTCAATTACAAAGGCCTTCACCAAGACCAAGCTCTCCAAATGAATACTAACCCATTAACTCAAGCACAGACGGACTATGGGAAAGGTGCAGAACCAATTATACAACCTATTTCTATTGTAAAGATGTATCCACTTATTTTTTGTTTACCAGTCTGGTCCTTCTGTTTGCTGCTCCGCTGCGCTCTGGCGTAAAGCACCAGCTGCTGCACATCCTCCAGCTGTTCCTCCAGGAACAAGAAGTGGAAGTCGGTACACTCTTTTGCAACTGTAGCAAAGTCTATAAAAGAAAATGAAGAACAACATTTATTTTCCATTTCCATTAAGCCTCAGCTTTGAAAGTAAGAACTCCACGCACACCAAATTAACCCCCACGCACAACAAAGCATTTGACCCACACCAAATATATGCCCACTGAATGTCGCTAACGTTCTCAAAATTAGATCTTATTAACAGTTGACTAAAATGACACATCACTGTGAGAATAGGAGATGTGGTTTCAGATGTCGGTGAGTTTAGTAAGAGAGTTTTCTGCAGCTTCTGCTTATGGTATTGTGGAGGAAGCACTAAAACCAGGTGTCTTCTGTTACTGTGTCCAAATTCAAAAGCTCAGCCTCGCCCCTAAACAGCAGGCGTCGACTTTCACCGGAAGCACAATCAAAACTTGTACATGATTTTTAAGTAACATTCATCATTACCTCTCTTGATTCCACTGTACGAGTTGACCCTGTTGTCAACTAGAAGTACCAGACCACATAGTGATGAGGAGTACAGAGACAGTGCCGTCTGCAGCCGCCTGAGTTTGGCTCCGCTGCTGCCATGTCGCCGATGTTTACACAAGTCAAGCACATCTGCACGGACCAGCCGCAAGTTGTGCATTGTCTTTAGTTGTGCGCCTACAAAATTATATATAATATAAATCAGTGCAATGTAATGAGAAACAACAACAATACTATGTATATTTTGTGTGAAAACTGTTACAACCATACGTAGAACTCAGTACTTTTCTACTTGATATTTTGGTTATCTGAAGCAAATTAATAGACATTTAATTACAATAGTTCCCCTATTGTGTTGTTGACTTAGTTTAAAACCATGAGAACATTGAGAATCCAGCTCTCAGCTGTACAGGTATTATTCAAAACAAAGGAAGGTAATTTCCTTGAGAAAAGTTCTTTAGATTGAGAATGAAATGCCAGAAAACCTGCTAACTGAAGCACAGTTTAACGGGCTGATCAGGAAATGTGTCTCTGTGCTGGAGAGAAGGATGAGGGCGCTAATGCAGGGCATCCTGGGTAACTCCAGACACCCTCTGCATGACACTATGGCCGCTCAGAGCAGTAATCAAAGCAACAGGCTTATATCACTGTGCTGTCGAACAAAACTTTTCAAGAGATCCTTTGTTTCTTCGGCTGTCAGACTGCACAACAGACCTGGATTAGTCTTGTGCTCCTGGACACCTGATTTTCTACTACAGGGGATCAATAAAGTATCTATCTATCTACAGATGATGGGTGTGCATCCTTCCTTTATTTTAAACAAATCTTCTGTCATTTTCTTCAATACTATAAAATGAATACAGACCGTAACTGTTTTATGTAGTGCACGGATGTGGGAAGAGTTGGATAATTGGCCTAGACCAGCCATTCCCAAAGTCGGTAACACCGCGGCCCCCTTTAAACCCCAAGCGTGTAGTGAGGGTCTGCCGGGAACATCTCGCTGAGCCCCCTGTCAGGCGGACTTTCAACTCGCACCTCCGGGAGAGATTCTCTCAGGTCCCGGCGGAGGAGGGGGATATCGAGTCTGAGTGGACCATGTTCTCTTCCTCTATTGCCGATGCGGCGGCTCGTAGCTGTGGTCGCAAGGTCTCTGGTGCTGGTCCCGGCGGCAATCCCCGAACCCGGTGGTGGACACCGGCAGCACGGGATGCCGTCAGGCTGAATAAGGAGTCCTATTGAGCCATGATGGTTCGGGGGACTCCTGAGGCAGCTGTCCTGTACCGGCAGGCCAAGCGTGCCGCGGCCCGGGCTGTTGCAGAGGCAAAAACCCGGGACTGGGAGGAGTTCGGAGAGTCCATGGAGCATGACTACCGGTCGGCCTCAAAGACATTCTGGCAAACCGTCTGGCGCCTCAGGAGGGGGAAGCAGTTCTTTGCCAGCACAGTGTACGGTGCGGGTGGAGAGCTACTGACCTCGACTGGGGATATTGTCGGACAGTGGAAGCAATACTTGAACGGATTTAACTATACCAATAGTTAAATCCGTTCCAGAGGCAGAGGCTGAGGATGTTGGGGCGGATGCTTCCAGCCTCCTTTGTGGTAAGGTGCCGGGAGTGGATGAGATCCGTCCTGACTATCTAAAGTCTCTGGATGTTGTAGGACTGTCTTGGCTGACACGGCTTTGCAACATTGAGTGGTAATCGGCAGTGCCAATGGAGTGGCAGATCAGGGTGGTGGTCCTTCTCTACAAGAAGGGGGACCGGAGGGTGTGTTCCAATTATCGCGGGATCACACTCCTCAGCCTCCCTGGTAAGGTCTACTCCAAGGTACTGGAGAGGAGGCTACCGCCGATGGTCGAATCTCGGATCCAGGAGGGGCAGTGTGGTTTTTGTCCCAGCCGTGGAACACTGGACCAGCTCTATACTCTCCATCGGATACTCGAGGGTTCATGGGAGTTCGCCCAACCTGTCCACATGTGCTTTGTGGATTTGGAGAAGGCGTTCGACTGTGTTCCCCGGGGTGTCCTTAGGGGGGTTCTCCGGGAGTACGGGGTCCGGGGTTCCCGGTGCATGTTGGCCTCCGCCAAGGCTGCCTTTTGTCACCGGTTCTGTTCACTGTGTTTATGGACAGAATTTCTAGCCGCAGCCAGGGGCGGGAGGGTATCCGGTTCGGGGACCACAGGATTTCATCCGTTTGCGGACGATGTTGTCCTGTTGGCGCCAACGAATCAGGACCTGCAGAGGAGGCCCCGGGGAAGACCCAGGACACGCTGGAGGGACTGTCTCTCAGCTGGCCTGGGAACGCCTTGGGGTCACCACGAACGAGTTGGAGGAAGTGTGTGTGGATAGGGAAGTCTGGGCGTCTCTGCTTAGACTGCTGCCCCCGCGACCCGGCAAAAGATGAAGCGGAAGAAGATGGAATGGAATGGAATGGCTTCTTACCTTGAACACTTGCATCTAAAGATACAGTCCTTCCGACGCAATTGTATCATTGTTTTGTTTTTGCTACATGAAGCAAAAAATAATAATAACAATAATAACAATGCTTTTAGTTGCATTGTAGGAAGTTCAAAGATGCCAAGACAAGTGTGAAATTATTAAGTTGATGGTATTATTTTGTAGGCGCAAAAAATAGAATAGCTCAATAGCTGGACTCAGACTTAAATTTCAAAAGCCACATAAAATCTGTAACATCAGCAGCTTATTACCACCTAAAAAACATTGCTAAAATTAAAAACATAGTGTCTAAGGCAGACTTGGAGACTCTTATACACGCTTTTGTCTCCAGTCGGTTAGACTATTGCAATGGCTTGTTCACAGGTCTCTCCAAACAGGCTGTAAAACAGCTGCAGTACATTCAACATGCAGCAGCTCGAGTCCTGACCAGAACTAGGAAGTGCGACCACATTAGTCCAGTTCTCAGGTCTCTGCACTGGCTTCCTGTTCCTCAGAGAATAGACTTCAAAGCAGCTTTACTTGTGTACAAGTCTCTCCATGGTCTCGCGCCAAGGTACATCCACGACATGTTTGTGCCATATGAACCGACCCGGACTCTGAGGAGCACAGGGACTGGACTCCTGTTAGTGCCCAGAGTCGGTACTAGACATGGGCAAACTGCATTTCAGATTCATGCGGCTAGAGTCTGGAACCGTCTTCCTGAGAATGTGAGACAGGCGTCTACTCTGGCATCCTTTAAATCTAGGCTCAAAACAATTCTGTTTAGCTGCGCATATACAACTGAATGATTTTATCTTTTCATCTTTGTTTTTATCTTTAATCTTTTTAATGCACTGTGACTATTTATGATTTTAGTCCCATCTGTGATTTTAATGTTTAAAGGTTTTTAATTTTTGTGATTTTATTTTTAATGTTTTTAATATATCCTGTGCTCTTAATGTGTTTGATTTATGCATGATGTGATAGGGGATGTGAAGCGCTTTGCGTTGCCTTGTGTAGGAAAGGCGCTATACAAATAAACGTTGATTGATTGATTGATTGATATCGCTTCACTCCTGTGTCTTTGCATGTCACCAATTTGGACCAACATGGATAATGTTTGCAATCTCAACAAAAGGAATGGCAAAACAAGTTTGAGAAGCACAGACCTAGGTGGATGGTGAAGCTCTCCTCCAGCAGAGGCTGCTCATCAAACATCCGGCTCCCAGAATCCCCTTCCTCAGACAGTTGGCTGGGCTGTACCTTAATTTCTTCACTGTAACAAAGCCAATGAAAGGTCAGGGTTGTATGTTCCTATTTTCAAACTAATGAATTTTACAAATGAAGAAACTCAACTGTCCATTCACAGAGACTAAATAAATAAGCCAGTCTTGCTCATTAACTTTCAGATGTATATAATTTAGAAGTTACAAGAGATACTACTTATACTTTCATGAAAGATTTACAAAAACATTATACTAGTAAAAAAAAGAATACAACTTTAGGGGTTTGTTTAAATGAATCCAAAGACAAACTCACTTAATTTGGCTACTGTTGTTTGACTTCTGTAGATCCTGGTGTAATTTAATGACCCACTCCTGATATTCCTGCTTCTGTATACCGGTCACTTGCTTCAACTCACTAGTCCATTTGTTCTCCAACTCCTTAAACAAAGGTGAAATACATACATTTAATACAATGAATAAAAACCAAAATACCAACTATACAGTGAAAAAACAGCACCTGTTGTGTATCAAAGTGTTGAGATGCAACTGCATTTACATCCTGATCAGTCAGAGTATTTCCTAGCTCAAGCATCACCTTTTCCATTTCAGCAGAGTTTCTGGAGTAAGAAATAGGGGAGGATCACAATATCTTTAACACTTTAATTCACTTATTTTAATGGAACAGTGGCTAGTTTTGATCAGTTTATTGTGGTGGGAGAAACCTGAGTGCTAGGAAGAAACCTATACAGACACTAGGAGAACATGCAAACTCCACTCAGAAAGTCCCCATGCCCCAGGCTATAGCTCTTACCACCTGCATGTCACCCAACATGTAGAATTCAATAATTAATACATAAATTAAAATCAGTCTCTTAGACCAACCTCTCCTGTAGCTTCTTAATTTCCATGTCTCTTTCACTGATGAGCTCTGAGATGCTGACAAAATAGTTGTGCTCCAGGTTGAGAAGAGTGTCAGAGGCAGGAGAGTGGATCAGTTCATGATACACATCTGCAAAGTCCTCATCCCAGCTGGGTTCTTCTGGGTGAGCATGCTCCAGGGTTGTCTGAAGAAAAAACAGAACGGTATAACAGGGAAAATATTGTTATATCTTGTAAGATGAACAATTATCCACATGACTAATTATAAAGAATGTATAATACCAGTGTATACGATTGCACGCTACCAAAGTATATACACATGTATACTGTATGTCATGAGTGAGAGGCCTCTTAGCAACATGCCAATTGTTATGACCATAAGAGGTAAAAAAAAAACTAATTTTTGTGTGTGTGTTTATATATATATATATGTCCATGGTGATCGGTGCACTCGGGGCAATGACCCCGAAGCTAGAAGAGTGGTTACAGCGGATCCCTGGAACAACCTCGGACATCTCGGTCCAGAAATGTGCAGTGCTAGGAACAGCAAAGATACTGCGCAGAACCCTCAAGCTCCCAGGCCTCTGGTAGAGGACCCGAGCTTAGAGAGGGATAACCGCCCACGGAGGGCCAAAGGTGAGTGGACAATTTTTTTTTTTACACACACATAGTTGAAGGGACTGACTTGGAGATTGTTATTGAAAGAATCACCAAGCTATTATGCCACGGACGATGTAATAAAGATGTATTAAAGTTCAGAATAACTGGAAGTATTTACCTCCATATAAGACCTGGACCAAGCATTGGCCAACTGGTTCACGTCAACCTCTCCTGTGGTGAGTTTCTGTAGAGCCAGCTCTGCCTCCCTGTCGTAATCGAGGATGGTCTCTTCATCAACAAAGTTCGTAAGAGCAGATTTGAGTGCTATAGAAATGCAAAGTAACTTTTAGTTGATTACACACAATAAAAAAAACCATTAGAACATGCCAAATCAGAGCTTTACCATTTTCTAAATAACATGGTATTTTATGAAGCAGCATCAAACGCCCAAGAAGGTCGCTGATATTTTCTTGTACAGGGAACACCAGAGGCACCTTCAGTACACAATCGTCTCGTCCAGTCCTGAACTCGAACACGAACTCTTTCTCTGCCACACTATTCGTCTTGCCTTTGTTTTTCTTCATTTTACCTAAAAAGACAACTTACATCAATATTTGTAACAGCGTGGAGGATGTAGCCCCATGATGATTTCACGGGTTCATTTTGGACACACAAACGCGTTATCCCTGAGAAATATATACAATTTATTAGATGATTTTAAGGTTTTTATTTAGTACGTATCAATTACCTGTCAGCGAAAAGCATCAAGAGGGTCCCGTAATGCATCAATGGAGGAGATTCACAGCACAGAAGCTTGTTTTGATGCAGTCAGCTGACTAAGCCACTTCCTCTAGTCTAGTGAGTGGGGTGAGAACAACCCTTGCACTTTCGGCACAAGATTAAGATAATCGAATCGATTAAAATGTTATCACTAATGTATTCTATTGCATGGATACGTATGTCCTCTATTTACTATACTTGTGTATACGTTTGTTCAAACCATACGGTTCAAACGTTTCCGTTCGAAAGCTCTTTTCAAAATTATTATTTTCATAAGAAGATACTTGTATAATGCAATAAAAAAAGTATTTCCTAACTCAATAAAATGTATTATACATTTCAGTGGCGCAAACAATAGGTCATACGCATGGACAGTGTATATAATATAATACATCCATGATATAAATACACCAGAAAACACCAGGCACAATTTCGCCCTCTCGTGGATATATGACAGAACGTAGGTCCGGTCATACTTCTACAGTCCATGCTTTGGGTACGGTTCGTATGATCGGTACTTTACTTGTTTTGCGTTGGAGACGTATGTCCATAATTTGGTCAATCCGAAACATTAATCTATAATATATCTCTGGGAATGATGATAATGAAGATGAAGATGATTTTTATTATTATTATTACCATAATGTTGATGATGATGATCATTATTATTATCATCACATTCAGATTCATTTATTTGCCATTTGCAGTAAAACCATATTGGAAAAACTGTGCAAGACTACCCCTCAACTGTTTTATTATTATTATTATTAATAATAATAATAATAATAATAATAATAATAATAATAATAATAATAATAATAATAATAATAATAATAATAATAATAATAATAATAATAACAACTACTAGCCTTTTTTATGTGGTCTGCAAGGGTCCAAGTTATTTGCGTTTTTGGTTTTTGGTTTGAGAATCCATCTAATGTTCTCACCTTTAAATATATAAATAAACATATTTATAGCTATTTAAAAGACACTTTTTGGCTATTACGTATTATCTTAATAGCATTTTTGATAGCCATGCACCATTATGTTCGTTTACGCTTTCAATGAAAATGCGCAGATGCAGTCGGTCCCTCACAAGATTGAACCGTCCCGTCATACCTCGCGTGGCCAACGGTTCACTTCACCGACTGTCTGTTCATTGAAACACACAGCTCGACTTTCTGCTGTAAACCGAGGAAAATACAACAAAAACAAGTTGCTTCTTCACATTTAACCACACTACGCCCCGCGACTGGCCGCGTGCGGTGGAGTGCTGTGCATCGTCGGGCGCCTGGCAGGGTCAGGTTGGGGAGGCAGAGGGAAGTGATGATGGAGCTGGAGCTCAGTAACAGAAGCGAACTGGGAGCTGTTGGGGACTCTCTGCAGCCACAAACACCCAGCAGACACGAAAAGAGCCTAGGACTGCTCACTACCAAGTTTGTTACTCTACTACAGGAGGCCAAAGACGGAGTGCTAGATCTGAAAGCGGCAAGTAAACAGTCTTTAGCCTTTGTTGTTAGCTAGCACATGTCATTTTGAGCCACCCGCTGCTTACAATCACTTGCTAGCATACTCATTAGCTTAGCATAGCTCTGTGACAGGAGGCAGATTCGAGGAATTAACTCATTATTAGTTTAGAGTTTTCTTCCGTAGCGGTCAAGGTAAATCTTTTAGAAATTGTGCTTTAAAGAGCCGTGTATTTTTTAATAGACTAACTTTGACTGAACTTTTCAGACTCTGCCCCCTGCAGATTTAAAGTTTAAAAGTGGGTCATCTATTGTCATTCTTTTCAAGACAAGCGCTTCAGCCTCTTCTGCATGAACAATTATTCTCTAATGGCTCTGTGACGCTCTGATCTGCGTGTGCACACATAAATGATGCCATCACGTTTGCATTAAAATGCACATTATCTGTGTACAGTTCAAAGACTGTTCGTTCAGGTAGTAAACTGAATTGAAACACTTTCTTGAAGGGATAGTTGACGTTTGTTTAAAGATGGTACGATGTATAATAAAGGCCCATCTGCTCAACGACTGGACATAAGGTCAATTTAGAAGCGTTGCGTTCAGCAGTATCATCACTCACATTCTTATCACATCTGTTAAAAACTGTTTATGTAGATTAACACATCATATTTGGGTATTCCTGTGTTTGACGAAAGTATTGTACAAAAATAATTAAGTAAATACATTTTTGTCTACATTCAGGCAGCGGACACATTGGCTGTGCGGCAAAAGCGTCGTATCTACGACATAACTAATGTCCTGGAAGGAATTGGGCTGATAGAGAAGAAATCCAAGAACAGCATTCAGTGGAAGTAAGTCAACACTGGTCTGAGTGTTCACTTAACTCTAATAACCTCTCTCATGTTTCATTTTACTATGTAGTAGTGCCTTGCTGTAGTTTTTCAATTGTATCTTATCTTTTATTTTTAACAATTGATTATTTGGGAGATTATTCATTGGATTAATTGAGTTCTTTGGATCACATAAATTAGTTTTTTAAAACTTATGACCAAAACAAATGGACATTTTTCAATAATCAAGAACATCTCAAAGGGAAGTTGGTTGTTTGATTAATGATATGGAACACATTTTAATTTCAAATTTACCGTAAGACCTACTTCATGACTCCCACTGAAGTTTGTGGTCGTTGTGTCCTTGGGCAAGACACTAAACCCCACTTTGCCTGAACCTCCACAGAAAAATCTCAGCTCCTGTGGACTCACCACCTGCAGGAGGATCAGTGAGGGGCTGGTACTCTGTGTACTGGGTGCAGCTCTGACTGCCACCCCCCTACCCAGAAATGGATTAAGGGGAAGAAAATGGATGGATGGATGGATATAACATATATATATGTTATATCCAGTCATGAAAGTCATCCAGTCATGAGTCATGAAACCTCTTCACAGAATTTTTAAATACTCTCAATTCATTCAATAGTTTTTTTCAATTTCTGTGTTAAAATAAATTGCAGAATACCAATAGTTAAATCAGTTAGTGCAACACAAATCTGTTTCCTCTAAGCCTTACCCAGAAAAAAGATAAGATAAACTAATTAAGATAATTAATTAGTTTAATTTCCCTCTTTTTCATAACTGTCAAATTCCACTTAATAAGAACTGTATTCCGAATGTTTTATCTTCCTCATGCCTAATCTATGTTGTGTTGCGTATATATCAACAGAGGGGTCGGTCCTGGGTGCAACACGAGGGAGATTGCAGATAAACTAATAGACCTTAAAGCAGAACTGGATGATCTGGCTCTGAGGGAACATGAGCTGGACCAGCAGAGAGTTTGGGTTCAACAGAGCATCAAGAATGTCACAGATGACTCTAATAACAGTCCATATCCTTCGCACCTTGTGAATTGTCATGATTGACCATGTCTCACTGTACTTAACTGAGCTAAACCACTGGTCCTTTCGCAATACATATTTTAGTGACTGTAACCCTTAATACATCTATACCATGGCTTATGTAAAGCATGAGGATCTTTGTGGAGTTTTCAAAGGTAAGTTTATGCCTCTACATTACAGTTTTTCTTACATAGTTATTTACATGTTTAAAAATGTATATATTCATTATAGGTGACACACTTCTTGCTATACGTGCTCCAATTGGTACACAACTAGAAGTGCCCATCCCAGAAAGTGTAAGTAAAACTACACTGGATAAAATAAAGGCAATGCCCATAAAGTGTTGTAACAGTGTGTGTGTGTTTTAGGTGGTAAATGGACAAAGGAAATACCAGATTAGGCTCAAGAGTTCGTCTGGCCCTATAGAAGTCTTGTTGGTCAATAAGGACCCGTCCAGTGCCTCTCCTGTTGTTTTGCCTGTTCCTCCTCCAGATGATGTCCTTCAGAGTCTTCCAGCCCCCACTGCTGCTTCTCAGGTCGGCATGTGTGTGAATCACTTTTCTGACAATGGGTCTTCACCTAATAATAGTCTATAAATTGTATGTTTTTGCACCAATTACGCACAAATCAAATGTGAATGAGCCAAGCCTGTGTTTGACCCTCCATCAGAAAAGTCATGTTTTGTACCTTTAAACAACTGTGCAAATATATTTTGTTGGACTAAAATTCTACTCTTTCACAAGCAGACGGCGGTCACACATTCAACCAAATCTGGTTCCACTCCTACATCAGTCACTTCAACCATTGTCCCAACCAAAACAGGTGCTCGAATCTGTTCTTTCAGCCTCAAACTGAAACTGTCATAATTTCTGCAACTAAAACACTAACCTTATTATCTTTATTGGTTTTTTTTTTAAATTAGAACCAACGACTACCACTCTCCTCATGTCCACGACAGAGACACCTGCAGTTAGTCAGCAACTTCAGTCGTCTGCTTCTTTGGACAGTTCATCATCGTCGGCCTCTGCAGTATTTGAGCCTATAAAGTCTGATCCTTCTGAGTGTGAGTTATCTATTTAACCTTCTTTATTGGTTTGTAACAGGAAATCTTTAAAATGTGTTTTCTTCTAAGCAAGAAAACAAATAATGGAATGAGGAGACATACTATGTAAAATAGACTTTTCATTTAACCATAATGCAACAGTGTTCGGGCGACAGTAGCTCAGTTGGTAGAGCATTGGCCTTTGGGCCTGAAGGTCGTGGGTTCGAGCCCACCGTAAGACCTACTTCACGACTCCCACTGATGACTGCTGTCGTTGTGTCCTTGGGCAAGACACTTAACCCTACTTTGCCCAAAGCCCCAACTGAAAAGATCTCAGCTCCTGTGGACTCACCACCTGCAGGAGGATCAGTGAGGGGCTGGTGCTCTGTGTACTGGGTGCAGCTCTGACTGCCACCCCCCCGACCCAGAAATGGATTAAAGGGAAGATAATGGATGGATGGATGGCAACAGTGTTCATCAAAAACAGACATTGGGTTTCTGGCACACACTTGTGTCAAAATGCTCCTGTTTTGTTATGATGTTGTTGTGCCCCTATTACATCTTGCTCACAGCCCTTTTCTGCCATGAAAAACAAAAACAAAACAAAAAACATTGCTTCCAAATTTAGTTTTGGCAATTTCTCAAGTGAAATGAAAACCAGGTGATTAGAAATTATCATTTCTTTATTAATTGCAACGACAAATCAGTATTGTAAGCAATCAGTATTTATCTTCGCTAGCTTCATCCATTTCATCGCTATCTTTTTCTATTTCTATAATTGTTATTTTCTCTGCAGTGTTGGACTTTCCCAAAGAGCTTTCTGAGATGTTTGATCCCACAAAAGGTGAGCGCACGAGCCTGTTGTATTTATGCATTATATTGAATCCCTTTTGTACCATTTTTATGTAATTATTATAGAAGTAGTTCTTGTTAAGACTCTGCCCAAATTTAGACCAGGAAAAGTCCAGTTATAGATCTTTGTGCTCATGAGGCCAAATTCGAGAATCAGACATAAGGCATGGTTTTTTACTTAAGTCTTACTAATTGCACACTTCCTGTCTGTTAGCACACCCTGGGTGAACTTATTGGGGCATGTAACATGTACATTTCTCTATTTTGAGATAAAGTTCTATCCTATCTCACTCATCTTACTGTATATTAGTGAGTCCTTGTTGTCTTGTTTAACAATACTCAACCATAATATTACTTCTATTTTTGTGTTATACAGAGATTATGGGGGGAGATTTGTTAGAAGACCTAATGTCGTCTGAAGGTAAATGTATATTTTGTGAAAACCTATCAGTGAATTGTTTGTCAGTTATTGATACATCCTCTGTGATCACCAGTGTTCTCGCCTCTCCTGCGACTGTCCCCTCCACCCAGTGACCATGACTATATTTATAACCTGGATGAGACAGAAGGTCTGTGTGATCTATTTGATGTCCCCATATTAAACCTCTGACCTCAAAGATTGTTCTGAGAAAAGAGATTTCTTCAGTCACGCTTTTCTACCCTGCTTTTATACCACTCTCATGGACTGTGGGTTCAAAGAGGTGCGTAAGAGACATTGTTGCTCACCTGCCTCGGACTAAATCCTGCCCGAGTTGTGTAGAAGTTAACTTCTCCAAGGATTTGATTCCAACAAATGATCTATTTTTGACTTTGAGTGTATGCTTGTATCATGTATGCAAAGGTGAATGTCTGAGTGTTTTATATGTTTCAAACGTTTTCTATCAGGTCAATAGTTAAATGATGAGCACAGCTCTTCTGTGGCAGCTGCTCTTGCATGGCATGGATAAGTTCAAACAGGTGTAAAGATTGCACTGTTCTCTTGTACATAGAAAAATATATATTTTGTAAAACTAACACAATACTCTTGTGTAGTAACCATCAAAATTTGTATCGTTATTATATAAATAGTTTGACACCAGTATGAAATAAAAAAGTACTGTTTGAATAAGTCGTTTTTAAGCTTTAGTGATGTCTGAGTTAAGCTTGTCACTGTGACTGCAGTGTGACTTGTAAATCATGAGATAAAGATAAGGAACTGACGGTGCGTTCACACTATTAAGGGAAAATAAGTTTTTATACGAGCACAGCAAACGAGTGCACCTGTAACGACCTTGAGGACTGTTGCATGTGCTTCTGAAGTGAACCAAGTCCTCCAGCACAATATTGTGAACGCACCTTGAACTTGATAAAGGACCAAAAACACTGCAGGGGTTTTTACAAATGTTTTTCACTTCATGTTTGCAGATCACATCAATTCAATCTGTTAAACAGACAAAATCTGTCCATAACTGATTTTTTTCTTTCTGTTGCACACCAGTCAGTGAGAACGGTCACTAACGACCGTATTGATTATTTTTATATCCGTGCGTCTTTGTACATTTGGCACAGAGTCCTTGTTTTGATTTAATGTTTATATTAGTGTTTCTGTTTAAGGCGCCCATCTCTGTTTGTGCAACCTTCAGTGACGTGTGGATTGTCCATACTTGGCCGAAGTTCTCCAACTCTTGTTTTTCATAAAAGGTTTTGTGTTTAAGCGTTCTGCTGCACTTTTGTTAAAAAATGCAGCCTGTTTAGTAAACCTCCCCCTTTTTGTACAATTGGGTGATTTATGACAAGAATGTGGGCCAAGTATGAACATATTTTTTTTAAGTTCCTTTTTATCAAAGCATCTGGATTATTTGATGCACTTTACAACTCTGGATGAATTGGACATGATTGAAATAGTAGTGTCAGTGTGACCTGTGGTTCAGAAAGGTGCCAAGAGGCTCAATACAAAGCCACAGATGTATGAACAAAATAAAAATAAAAAGCCAAATGAAATGTGTCTTGTTTTTCTATTAGGGAAACATGAATTGTTCTTTTTTTTTTTTTTCCAATTCTATTCCTGCCAAAACATCTGAAGGCACATGGCAGCCTAATGTTGAATTAGTGTGGCATGGAATATAGTAATGCAGTAGTGCCTGGTATAGTTTGTCTGTATTCATGGCTTCGTTTCTGCGTGATGAGACATTGAGTGGTCAGAAGAGGGTGACTTGAATAAATTATGTTTGCCAGCACAAAAGCAAGGCCATTTTAAAAGTATATCTCAAAACAGCCTTGGGGCAAAAAGCATGCTTGTGTCCCAAGCTCGATGTTTTACTTTGAAATGTTCAAGTGAGTCCTTTTTACAACCGGAAGTGGCCGCGCTGAGCCCGAGTCTCTTGACAGCGCATTAACTTCACTCAACCCCGGAACTTTTCATGCTGGATTTACAGTCCTAAACTTTCGGAATAGTCCTGTGCTACGTGTTTGAGCATGTGTATTGTTGTCACAAGGAAAGTGACTTGTGTTTAGAGACAAAAGGCAGCGCCAATGTGCACAGTGGTTCCCACAGGAGAGTAGTCCTCGGCTTGTCTTCTTGTACCAGGTAGGACCATGGATCTAATAACAAGACTCGGACTATGGATCTACGAATCTGTTCTAATAACAAGACTAAAACCAAGACTCGGGCAAAGCTCTGTCACGTCTTCATCAAACTACTGCAGTATGTAATTGGCACATAACAACCAAGAGCGTTGTCTGCTTTATAAGACAACTGTCAAACTTTATGGCTCCCGTCTTAGGACCATAATTATTATGTATAATGTTGTGTTCACCAATTGTCCAAAGTGTCTTCTCAACTCATTAGTTTGTAGACTTGGACGTCAGGCCAGGAATCTGGCATAAGCCCTCCCACTGCAGGCAGACATGGCTGCTCCGCTGAAGCCTTGCACCTATTATATACATTACATATCGATTATAGTTTATACTGTTTTAGGTCTAATACATTGCATTAGTTTATTATTATTATTATTAGTATTATTGGTGAATAACAGAATTTTACTGTAAAGCTAATCTTTCGTTTGTGACAGCAGCGACTGTTGATTATAATTGGCTTTTTACAATCAACTAAATAAATAAAGCATTATATCCTAAATAACATTGAGAATATCAGTCTTGCCTGGATTTTACGAAGGGCATCTTGGTGTTTTATATTGAGAATATCTGTATACAAAGGCATCTTTCTGGCCTTTCCATGTAAACAATATCAGGAATAAAGTCCTACTTAATTGTCTCATAGCTTTGCACTGCATTGTAGTTATGTAATTATAGCTTTAGCCTTTCCTAATTGAAGCTCATCTGACTGACTCAGGATATCTAAATGCAATAATGTCCTCTGTGTTGTAAATAGTAAATTGTGCCACTGTAAAAATAATAATGAAAAAATATAAGGTTATCATCTCTTTGAGCGATTTTTCAAAATGGTTATTAAGGTCCTGTTAGTATGTGTTATTTATATATAGGCCTACTTTTCAATATTTGGCAAGAGCTGCATCACATATTGCTTCACCAGGCCTGTTCTGACATGAAGACTCAGCCCTGTCCTCGACATATCCTGAGATATAACTGGTCCTCTGATTTCCTAAGAAGTTCACCTCCTTTTGATTGATATTACTGCACGATCAGTTTAGTGATAATACTAGTGTCCATTCTGGTTAGGACAGTGACTTTAGCATTACCTTGTTGTCCTTCTGTAGTTTACACAGATGTAAAGATCATCCCCTGGAGCTTTGTTTTTTTTCAGGGTTGATGTCAATAATTAGTAGTCATAGAGGCCGATATAAACAAAGTTGATATTAATTTGCCATAACGGCAAAAACATTGGTGAAATGTGTTGCCCTGTTATTTAAGTTGTTTTTGACAAATGGCAATTGACACAGCTGTTGTGCAGTAGATAAATACATGTTTGTATTTAGCTATTTTGACCAGTATGCTGGGCTGCATTAGTATTTTGACTGGTAAAAAAAAAAAAAGGACAAATATGTTTTTGGTATGACTGATTAATGATTTCAGCCAAAGATCTGTACCAATAATTAGATAAGATAAGATAGACTTTATTGATCTCACACAGGAGAAATTTACATGTCACATTTGGCATGGATAGAATCACTCAGATTGTGTAAAAGACAGAAGTAAACATGCTAAAGGCAAAAAATGGCAATTAAAGAAACAATGGCAATAGTATTTCAGGTTTTCAGTCCTAGTGCAAGTGACTTAAAGTGATTTATTGTACAGTCTGACAGCGGTGGGGATAAAGACCCTGCGGTAGCGCTCCTTCTTGCACTGAAGGTGCTTCAGTCTTCCTAGCCTGGTTAACCCCTAGAAGAAACCATTCGTTGCAAAGTCTATGCAGTGCAAATATAGTACTGTGCTTACTATTATGGACTCTGTAAAAGAGGAAACAACATTCAAAGTGAAAGTAGTTTAGTTGGTTACATTTATTAACACTTTTCTGTCTGTTACTTTTCAGTACCTGGTGGAGTCAATAGGTGCCAAAATGCCACAACAGAAGGATATTGTCAAAATCGCCATCCAGATGCCAGGGGCCTATCCTCAGCTCATTCAACTGGACCAGGTAAATATATTTTTTTTGCTAACTTAAAGCTTAGTACAAGCTTAGCTCACAACAAGAGTACACTTAGAAGAGTTCACTTACAAGAATACACCTACAAGAGTACACCTACAAGAGTACACCTACAAGAGTACACTTACAAGAGTACACTTACAAGAGTACACCTACAAGAGTACACCTACAAGAGTACACCTACAAGAGTACACCTACAAGAGTACACCTACAAGAGTACACCTACAAGAGTACACCTACAAGAGTACACCTACAAGAGTACACCTACAAGAGTACACCTACAAGAGTACACCTACAAGAGTACACCTACAAGAGTACGCGTTAGTGAGCTACATTTATACAATGGTCTGTGGCTTCACTCTAGCTTTATCTAGGTGTAATTGAGATGATGCTAAATTAACTGTAATATAACGTGTTAGTTCCAGTACAGTGCTGTTTGAAATATACATGTTTTCCAATGGACCTGCAAAGTCGCGCTCACTTGGTCCACTCTAGTTCCGGAGGTAAAATGGGCGGCACAGTGGCTGAGTGGATAGCACTCTCGCTTCTCAGCAAGAAGGTCCTGGGTTCAAATCCCGGTCGGAACAGGGTTTGCATGTTCTCCCTGTGTCTGCGTAGGTTTCCTCCGGGTACTCCGGTTTCCCCTACCACTAAAAACATGTAAAAAAAGGTCTGGCATGCGCCTCCTGTACTGGCGACCTCGCTCCCATCTCTGTGTGGAATGAGAGACAAATGACCAAAAATAACAATTGTAAACCGTTTTGTTACTCTGGTCTGTAAAGGCGGTATATAAATAAAGATTACTTACTTATTTACTACTACTACTATCCACAGTTCAGCTGTATTCAGCTCATAAAGCACAATTTAAAATGTAACATTTGGTGAAATGTTGAAATATATCCATCCATCAATCTATTTTCTTCCCCTTAATCCATTTCTGGGTCGGGGGTGGCAGTCAGAGCTGCACCCAGTACACTTAGCACCAGCCCCTCACTGATCCTCCTGCAGGTGGTGAGTCCACAGGAGCTGAGATCTTTCAGTGGAGGCTTCAGGCAAAGTGGGGTTAAGTGTCTTATATAGATATAGAAATATTATACAATTTTTCAGGTTTTACATAAATATCATATTCACACAATGTTTTCTTCTGCCATAATTGAGCAGCTCTACCGTCTAGCTCCAACTTGTGTCCAGGTTAAAAGATAAAAGATATCTGGACAATTAAACTGACTGTATTTTTAGGAAATGTGTTTTGCTCATTATCATTTAAATAAGCTCTTGACATTAAAGCTCATTCAAATGCATAACAGACTTTGAGTATTCCTCTGTATGATTATTTATTAAGAGTAAACTTGGTCAAAAAAAAGTAATACATTTTGCGTGTTGGCAGTATGGTTGCTGTATGTGGTGCGGTTTGAAAGAGGTGCCAAGCTGGGTACTGGTTCCAACCTGATCGGATGAACTTATCGCATAGTGGCCACTGACACAACCACAAAAACAAAAGACGCCACAGCCTGACCACTAATCACAGGATAGAAAAGGCCAGACATGGGCTTAGGCAGACCCGGGCGGTAATGCCTACATTGGGGAACTTAAAGCATGAAGAGGTGGAAGTAAACATTATGTAATAGAAGAAAACAGTGACATGTAGATTATTTTCATTAGCTATATTTTGATGAATGATGAATTGATTCAGAAAATAATTCTGGTAACAATAATATATAAAAATTCTAACGCTAATGCAAAAAAGTGAGATCCCAGTAAAGTAATATTGCCCATCAACAGTTGAAACCTCATTATTTCACCTGTAAAACACAAAAAATCTCTCCACACAAAGAAAATGTTCTGAAAATAAATATTAAGATCCAAAATATATTATTTTATCCATGGGTTATGCAACAAAAGCTAGGAATAGTAATTATCATGACAGGCCAAGTGACATGTGGTTAAAAAATAAAAAATAATCACTCCTAATGATTAGCTCATCTTTTAAAATCCTAAATGTATTTTCTGGGAAGCTAAAATATATTTGTAAGTTCCCACATGTTTCTAAAAGTAGAATATGAAAATGTATCTATTTGTGTTGTTCTTGTGTGTAGAAAAAGCCTCTGTCTGCAGTCATAAAGGAAGTTAGTGATGGGTAAGTCTGCTTTCTTTCACGTTCAGTGAATAAATTACTTTGCATAGATTTACTTTTCAATGTTTAGGTGGAACCTCCCAGGTCCAGACAACTACGCTTTGCAATATGCCGATGGGGTGCAGACCTATATTACTGAATCAGTAAGTAGTACTGTGTGATTTGCTTTAGTAGTAAACACTTTAAGTAAGGGTTAAACCACTCCACCAGTGTCTTAATTCAAACGTAAATGCGGATGCTCGAACAGCATCCAGTGCTATGTTATGCTTATGTTTAATCTGCTTTTCCATGGTCACAATCACACTCTTTACATATGAAGTATATATATATTTAGTCCTCTACATTCTCAAAAACAGGTCTCAGGAAAGGGACTACTTTATTTGTCAAAATCCAGCAAAATCTTTGTGCCAACTGTTGTCATGACTACAGTTTTACTGTATTTAAACATGTGATCTGAGTGAGTGTCCATCGTAACCATATTTTGAGAGTGCCATTCCTTCTGCATTTGCACCTTCTGTTTTGTGGCCTGAAAGTGAAAGTACTTTAAGCCTCACTCACATCCAGACGCTTTTGTCACATTTTCACTTTGGGTTCTTTCAGAATCGCCTTGACATCAAGAACGGCTGCATCCTGCGTCTGACCAAAGCTCCGGTCAGTTTCACACATGCCTCCTTTTAAATCTTTCCTACTGTTGTCATAAAACAATATTTACATAAACTATATTTTACTGGAAAAAACAGTATCTTTTACACAACAATATAGTACATCATATTATGTTGGTGTCTTTCACTACTTGTAATCCATTCAAATACTATTCAACTTAAGATCAGAAGTTGTTGATAATTTTAGTATCAGTGTAGTTGTTGTTTTGGTGAGTATTTTCATGTATTTATTTTTAATGAAACACTTAATGAGAGTGCGAATGCTCTGTTTCTGTTTCACATACAAAAAACACAATAATAGTATATAGACACTAGACTCGTGAGCTTTTGAGAAAAAGAGTTTACATTTTGATAAATGAGATACGATTCACACGTTAGATTTGTATATATTCTGTTACTCATAATGTCCCTTGAAGTAACACCTCCACATAACACGTGAACTGAAATGCATTTTACTGAAAGAAGGTAGAAATAAGTCACTATTTTTCAATGCGGCTGTATCATTCTCTTGTTAGACACTGAAATTAAGCTGCTATAAAATCCACCATTCATTTGACGCTGATCCATGGTTCTATTGGAGAGATGTTGTTTAATGTTTCAAGTTGACTTCTGCTGCTTACCAGATGCTGTGTTTTCTCAGGGGCGTTGTGCAGAAGACTTGTTCAAAGGCATCCAGAGCTCAGATTCCGGCGTGCGTTGTGATTCGCTGAAGGAGCTGGCCAACGTGTCCACAGATGTGACTTTTGCACAGGAGTTCATAAGCAGAGACGGACACCTGCTATTGGTCAAGATAGTGGAGGATTCTCATGAGTAAGACTGTGTATTTGTGCTATGTGTGATGCTGGACAGAACCTATAGTAAATATTCAAAGTCAAGTTGAGTTTCGAGCTTTTGACGAAAAAGTTGAAGAAAAGTTTGAAAACATACAGGAAATGCTCGGTTCAGAACTGGAATCCTGCCACTGATGTCCCCAAATTCAAAGATCATTAGCGCTAAAGAAAAATGAGTTATCTATTTTCTAGTTAGCACCTTTATCTTGTTGAATGAATGATGTCTCTTTTATCTCTACTTATATTTCCATGACTATTGTGTACACGAGGCAAGCTTTAGCCCTTGTTAGCTTGTGGTTGCTACCTACTAACATTATAAATTTTTACAAGATTTGCAAAACAAGTCTACATTTTCAGTCTAAAAATCATATATCCATTTTAAACAGTAGTCTACCATGCCACAAAATGTGTTCACATCCGATCCAATTAACAATTATTTTGTTCATCGGCTAATCGGATGGTGATTGAATATTCTACAGTCAGTTGTTTATATAATGAAGGTCAGTGAATATGGGATTTTCTTTTTATCAGGACAAAAGGCTAAAGTGTTTGTCCCTGGAGCCTATTGTCACATCAGTCAGATCACTTAATTTATACGGCTCAGCAAAGCCTTAAGGACTTTTCAATAAGTGTGAACATGCTTTTATTTCATTTAAATGTTTTTTTTTTGTTCATTGTCCAGGAGCGCTGTTATTATGACACACACGCTCACTGCCTTCATGGAATTGATGGATCATGGGATTGTCTCGTGGGAGAACCTCTCAAATATCTTCATCAAAAAGGTGGACTATCTACAATTTTTAGTTTTGTTTGCCCCGTTTTGTGCTCATTATTTTCATTATTTCCTTTGTTTCAGATCGCGAGCTTTGTCAACGGGAAGTCCAACGATGCGTCTATCCAGCAGGTTTCTCTGGACATCCTGGAGAGCATGGTCCAGAGCAGTCACAGCTTGTTTATGCAGGTTAAAAATGAAGTAACCATGGAGAGGCTAATAGCACACCTCCAAGTGTAAGTGCATTTGAGACTTTTCCATGACCTCATTTGGTGCAACATAAGGGTCTCATGGAAGGGTGTTTTTTTAGGCTCACAACTGTAAAAAAACACATATAATTATCATTGGCTTTCATAAGGTTGATCAGCTTGTAAGAAATGTACAAACCACTCCTTTGAGGGCCAAGAGAAAATGTTGGGAAGGTCGCATAACTGGGAGTGTAAAATATATTTGTAAAAGTTTGCTCCTGGGCCATAGTTTGGACATGCTATAGAGAGAAAATATTGAAAAGTACAAGTATGGGCTCTAAAAGTAACAATGGGCTCTATAAGGAATTCTTCTATGTATGCCACATGTTTACATATTGTGTGAATTAGACGTTTTTTGGGGCCTCCACCGAATGAGTCTAATGAAGATTAAATTATTTTCATTTAGTGTTTAGTGAATTTTACTGTGCTGTACTTTATGTATGGTGGTTACTTTATGTACAGCACAGTTGAAGGGCCTGACTTCTGCTTGTCTCACTGGAGATGCTGCTTTTTCAATGTCTCACACTAAATTAGATAATGTTTTATGGCTAAACTACTGCACAGATCTGAATTTACTACGCAGCCTGCTAGTCCTCATGGAGATATATGGCTTTACCAGCTGCCTTGTAATTCATATACTGTTTCACTTTGCACAAAGCTCTATAGTTGTGTACGATTACTACAATTACAATTTTTCAATTTCAGGACAAACCAGCTGATACAGACCAAAGCCATGGCTCTGCTTATGGCTTTGCTGCAGACGGCTGGAGACTCGGACAGAGAGGTAAGACTGTACTAATCCCTCATATTTCCACTTTCTTATTTCTTAGTAAAGGTGTTTGTGTTCCCTTTCTTCAATGTAAAGAATTCAAAGTGTTTTCGTGTGGTGTAGCTGATATATTTGCGTGTGCATGCTTCTCTGCAGACACTCGGCCTGTTGTTTAGTCCATCGCTGCTGCTCTCTTATTGTTGGATTATTATACAGAAAACAGTTCCCTCATTCATCACTGACCTCTCAGTCTTTGTCACCGGCAGTTACACACTTCCTCAACAATCTCGCCCTTTTTATTGGCCTGACAGTTACAGATAATGCTGTGTGGTTACATTTTCAAAGTTACTGTCTGTTGTCTTTGTAGCGCCACCTCACGTTCAAAATAGGACAGGGCACTCGTCAGTCTTCACTCCTCCAATAATGAGTCGATAATGACTTAATACATTTGTCAGGATTTCTACAGTGATTTCTATAGTGAAAGGTCATCAATCAAACAATCTACTTTTATTTGTAGAGCGGCGTTCCAACACAAGGCAACACAAAGCGCCTCACAACCCATATTACATTAAAAACTACAATTAAAATACCACAGGACATTAAAAAACAGTCATTAAGATCACAAGAAACCTGTGTGGCGTATGCTCATCGTGATTTATCCTCTGTACATTTCCTTTGTAAGAGAGACAAGATTTTAACCATTTGCCATCTGATTGAGTTTAAACTGTAGAAGAATTCTGCTGGTATCTTTTTTCAGCTCAGGCCTTTTAATAACAATTTGACACTGCTATATTTATGTCGTGTGAGTGACATAAAGTAGTCCCTATTAGTGCTGGGTGTCTTTCAGAGCATGCCAATACGATATGACTTCTAGACTTTTTAAAGTCAAAATAAAATTAATAGATATGTATTTTTGTTTTTAAATAGGGAAGACATTGTAATAAGAAATCAATATTAAAGAAGATGAATAAATAAAACGATTACATATTTCTTGAAAAATAAAACAAAAATCTAAAGATATGACTTGATATCTCCTAGTAGTACTTCGTCAAGAATTTATGATCTAAATTATTACAATTACAGTCCTTTAACACATTTCAACCTGCACTCTCTCTTCCAGGACATGTTTGAGTTTCTGAATAAAAAAAACATGAGGCAGTATATCTACAAGGTAAAAGAAATCCATATGTTCGCTATTGATTATATTTGCACTCTAAATAGTATCTCCAAAACTCATTCAACGCTATTTCAAATGCTTCTTTCCAGAACATTATCCATAGTTCGGGTTCAGTCCAGGATGAGATGGCTCATTACCTTTACGTGCTTCAATCCGTGACATTAAATCATTTAGAGCCACGGATGAGGACGCCGCTGGACAGTTACAACCAGGTGAGAGCCAAATAAAAATGTGCATTATAGTCTTAGAAAAGTATTATTACGAAGTAATTACATTAGTGCTGTGTTTTGAGATGATTTATTTGATATTTGCGACTACTTTGTTTGAATCATTTCTTGGCCCGAAGTTTTTTTTAAATACAGTTCATAAAGCGTGTAATTTTTGCTTTCTTTTTTTTCAGGAACAAAGAGACATCCTCCATCGCTTACGACAAGCCGCTTTTGAGACTGAACCGGAAAACAATTTGAGCCATGAAAGGCGACGCTCACTGTGTGCGAAGGAGTTCAAGAAATTAGGTTTTTCGGTGAGTGTGAACTATGAACTATTATGAAATGTGAGATTTTCATTCTAGACCTGAATAACTTGTTTGAAGACATTTCTGATTTGAAAACGATATCGTTAAAATAAGAGGTTTTCTTGCCCCACTGGTAAATTATCTGGAGAAAAAAAAAACTACACATTCCTACAGTAAAGCACTACTTATCATGAAGTAAATGCTAAGCTAAACAAGACAATCTAGAATAAAAACTCAAGTTCAGTTCATTTTATATGTCCTTTTGTAAAGCATCTTGGAGGGTCCAAAAAAGCGCTTCTTAAATATGATTATTATTATTATAGTATTATTATTATTATATTGTATATTGTCCGTATTGGGGAAATGTCAGTGTTCTGTTGTACTGTTTTGAGGCCTCAGGGAAGACCCAGGACAGTCTGGAGGGACTATGTCTCTCAGCTGGCCTGGGAATACCTCTGGATTCCCCCAAATGAGCCGTAGGAAGAGTGGGTGAATAGGGAAGTCTGGACGTCTCTGCTTAGGCCATGTCCACACGTAGCCGGGTATTTTTAAAACCGAATATTTCCCCCCTTCGTTTATAAAACAATTTGCATCCACACATAACCGAACATCTGCGTTTTCAGTCCTCTGACGTCCTGCGTTGGGGGAAAAACCACAGAAGTGGGCGGAGCTTTGATACTGACGCCGGTGCTTCTGTAGCGGTGCTTTTACAGTCATTGAAGGAAGTCAGGATACAGACATATGTTTACAAGCACTGACTCCCGTCCTCAGCCCTGGTTTAATCCTGGTTTAGCTCCTGTTTTGGTTGTTTTTGGAGCGTGAGTCCCCGTGATCACTTTGCTGCTCTCTGATGTGGAGTGAGGATCGCAGCAGCGAACCGCTCGCAGCAGTAAGATCCATGCTTCTTCAGTGATCAGAGGTCGCATGTGTTGTTTGTTGTTGTTTTGGGGGCATTCTGTGACGTGCGAAAACGCAAAACTCCGGTTATCTCTGTCTACTCGCAAATGTATAAACAGAGTTTTCAAAAATCTCCACTTTGCCCGGAGGTTTTTTATATATTCGTTTATGATGCGTTGTCATGTGGATGACAGGTGTAAATGAAGGAAGAAAAATATCTGCGGTTTAGCAGATACCTGGCTACGTGTGGACGGGACCTTAGACTGCTTCCCCCCCAAGCTGGCAATGGATAAAGCGGAAGAAAATGGATGCTCTGTGTTGTATCGTAACAATGTCTCCTTCATTCAACAGAACAATAGTAATCCTGGTCAAGACTTGGTCAGGACTCCCCCCGGGCTGTTGGCGCTGGACACCATGTTTTATTTTGCCACACGGTATCCAGACGCCTACAGCAGAGTGAGCACCACTGTTTACTGACTCGTTCATGTGTTTGATTACATGATGTGGATGCTGAACATGTCCTGATGTTATTTCTCTCAGTTTGTGCTAGAAAACAGCAGCAGAGAAGACAAACATGAGTGTCCGTTTGCCAGGAGCAGCATCCAGCTCACGTTGATCCTGTGTGAAATCCTTTGTATTGGAGAAACTCGTACGTAGAGGTTTGCTTACAATCACTGGTGGAATGTAATAAAGTGAACAAAGTAACCACAAGACCATGAATATGTAATACTAGTAATACAACTAGTTCCTTGTGCTTCAAATGCATTTTAGCCGCTGCCAAATCACCTTTCTTAGACAAAAATCTAAAAAAAGAGTACAACGCTCACTCAAACAATAATAAGTGGAAGACACACTTATTATTGATTATTATGTTTTGTTCACATTTCACGATAAGAATCTTTCCGGTAAAAACATGTATTATTTGTGAAAAACAGCATAAAGAAGGCCTACATATACATTTTTAATTATAAGTATACTTATAATTAAGCGACAGTAGCTCAGTTGGTAGAGCATTGGCCTTTAGGCCTGAAGGTCATGGGTTCGTTTCCCACCTCGACATCTTCTCCACCGACTCCCACTGATGTCTGCTGTCGTTGTGTCCTTGGGCAAGACACTTAACCCCACTTTGCCTGAAGCCCCCGCTGAAAGATCTCAGCTCCTGTGGACTCACCACCTGCAGGAGGATCAGTGAGGGGCTGGTGCTAAGTGTAATGGGTGCAGCTCTGACTGCTAAGTGAAAAAGAGCTCTTTTTCATTCAAGCCTCAAATATTTGTGAAAATATGTGAACGTACATACTAATTTATTCAGACACATCAAATTAGACTTAAATACTTTTACTGGAGTACTCCTTTCTCTACTGGTTTCAAATTTGGGCCCTGTGTTGGCCAATTGATAAAATCACAACTATGGGTTTCACAGAATTTCTTTGCTTCACCAATCAATTGTGTTTGTTCTTGTGTCCAAAGCCTCGGAGACAAGGTCCAGTTATCACCCGATCTTCTTCAGTCAGGACAGACTCCTGGAGGAGCTCTTCTGTGTTTGTATTCAGCTTCTCAACAAGACGTGGAAGGAGATGAGAGCCACACAGGAGGACTTTGACAAGGTACAATACAGTTTGATATCACCCCATTTATTTAGATAAGGCAAGTTTAATTGTACAGCGCAGTTCATACACAACACAAAGGCTTTACAAAACAAGAAAATAAATTACAATCATAAATAAAAGCACAGTTACTGTGCTCCTCAGAGTCTGAGTTTGTAGTTGTGATAGGACATGTTGTTCCTGCATATTAGCTGTTTGTTAGAATGATGTTAGAATGATTCATGCTAAGTCCAAAACAAACGTCAGGACAGTCAACATAAAAATAATATGAGTTAAAATGAAGTGGGAAACTGAGACTTACTCATCAGGGTAAATGTTATAAATGTATACATGTTTTTTATATGCATTGTTCTGAAGAATTACCATTTATACACAAAGATCAAATAAATAATATTAATTCCTAATAATAATATAAATTGCTCCGTTGTTGGGAATTAGTATGTTCCGCTCATTCATACGCTAACATGTCTCTATACACAGGCGGCAGACGGTGTCGCTAAACAACATGCTGACCTTAAACACACATTGTTGTTTTAATGGTCAGTCCAGCTTTCCGAAAAAGACATTGTTGATGTGAAATATTGAAAACCTACTTCTCATAAAAGGCAAAGTGACTGGACTTTTGTTGTGGGTCACATTTCCCCCATCGTCTAACTTAAAGTTATAAAAGTTTGGCACCTATTGACCTTTAAGGGCAAGCCAGTGTCCCGGGCTCCATGACAGCGGAGCAGCTTTTGTCTCCTACCCTCAGCCCCCAGCTGCTCTGGAGCAACGACAAAAGGGCATTAGGTGGACAAAGAGAGTGTGGTAGGCGGCAAAAACAGACGAGGAAGCACGAGAGACAAAGCCTTCAAACCATCAGCGGCAATCACAAATCCACACAGAAGATGTAAACTTAAGAGAAAGACCTTTGCATTTGAAATGGAAAGCACATGAACAAAGGTAAAAACTACTTGATACTTTTATGATAATTTTAAAAACCTGGTTTTAGTGTCGAAGCTTTAGTCTCAGTGTATATGCCGTCTGTGCTAACGGTCATTCCTAATCTTCCCTGGTCCAGTTCGACCATGTGCTGCTGAGTTTAGGGGCCACGCCTCCTCTGATAGAGGGGCTGTGCCTTTACAGTGTTTACAAAACAGACCTCTGTCATGTAGGTGACACTTTCACTGCCACTGACAAGTACACAGCATCCTCTGGAATTACAAGTAATTAATAGTGAAAATCAGGATTCAAAGAAGAAAACATGGAGGTAAAGTAACTGTTTATTTAGCTATAGATGCATTGTTTAATGTATGGATGATTAGCTGCATGTTATGTAGACTGCAACCACAAATGGCATCACTGTTTTGCTAAGGCATGCATGTTAATGCCCATCTGTCTACTGTATTTCGTTTGTTTAACCTAAACTACATTATCTGTCACATACACACACACACTAAAAAACAAGTACATTTCCACTTGGTTCATCAATTATAATCTGTCAATAGGTGTGAACAAGAATGATCTAGGTCAGCAGTTAACTCGACCATGTTCACTGAACAGTATTGATTAGTCCATAGTTTTTAATTCAATTCGCAATTTCGAAGCGATGGAACGTATTTTCAGTTACAAACTGAGGACAGACAAGGTCACCTACAGTCTCTCATCTTATGTGTGCAAATATCCTCCTTTTAATTGTCTGAAGATTTAAGTTTTAGTTGTACTTTTCGCTTTTCACTTTACTTCCACTTTAAGCTCCAGTAGAATGCTTAAAATTTAAAAAGTTCTTAAAAGTAAATAAGTTGATGTTGCTTCAAAATAGCAGTAGTGTACAGTTTATAGCATGCACTCAGACAAACTCCAGCACACGGACATGTTGTGTGAACGTGCCACACACAATTATTTTATTAGTTGTTATAATAATATTGTAACTCATGATAAATGTTACTGGATAATATGGACATTCCTACCTGTGACCAATTCTCTATCGCTCAGTAACCATTTTATGCACAGAATCCATTAAATACGTTACATTTGTGTTCAGGTGATGCAAGTGGTGAGGGAGCAGATCACACGGACACTTTCCAGTAAGCCCACGTCTCTGGAGCTCTTTAAAAACAAAGTGAATGCTCTGAACTACAGCGAGATCCTCAAACTACGACAGACAGAGCGATTGCATCAGGAGGAAACGCTGGCTCCCCCTGTGCTGTGAGTGTGCAAACACAATCCACTGTCAATGACCCAACATCACATACATGTATTTGTTTCAGCGAGCTTAAGGAGCGACTGAAGCCGGAGCTGTTGGACCTGATACGCCAGCAGAGACTAAACCGGCTCTGTCAGGGGACCATGTTCAGAAAGATTAGCAGCAGGCGGAGACAAGGTTGACCTGGAAACTACAGAGAGTAATCGAATCAAATCAATAGCATTTGCCTTACATGTCAATTGGATTCTTTGCAGACAAACTATGGTACTGCCGCCTATCGCCCAATCACAAAATGCTTCACTACGGTGATGTGGAGGACGACACTGACATGCCACCAATCGAAACACTACAGAAGAAAAGTATGCATCTAATTTATTGCTGATTTGAAATATACATGTTTTGCATGGATTTATAGAACAAGTACATCTGTATACATGTATTGTAAATGGTGGACTAACTTGGGGCGCATTCATAATATCTATCCTATCCTATATCTAGGCTGCACTTGAATGAATAACCAAAAGCTGATGGCGCAAAACAAAAATGATAGACTGTTTTAATTGGTCACAAATTAATGGATTTAATGATGAGGGGTTTTAACGCACCATTGACTTGTTGTGATCAAAGCTAAAGATAAATGATTCACCTCTCCCATCGGCTCGAGAAGCGCTTTCTAAAAGTTCAACTTTGGGTTTATAATTACAAGCAAATCACTTTTCCCATGCAAATGTATTCCAAGCCGAATTAAAAATGTATTGTGAATGAACAAAGAATTTCTTTGCCCTTTCTGTAGTTCCAGTAGCCGATATAAAGGGTTTGCTGACAGGAAAAGACTGCCCTCATATGAAAGATACCAAAGGAAAACAAACTAAGGTGAAAACAAGTGTCTAAATAATATATTTTTAGCCTATTTGAATATGTTATACATTCTATTCTAAACATGTTTTTTTTTTTCCTTTTATGCAGGAAGTGCTGGACCTGGCCTTTAGCATCACCTATGATGTTGAAGACAGCCTCAACTTCATTGCTCCATCTAGAACTGACGTGAGTCATTTTTTCTGTTTTTTAGTAAATGTTTTGCCAAAAATATTGAAACCCACCCATTTTAAATGGGTGGTTTTCAATATTTTTAAATGTTGTTTGTCCGTTGTGGAAATGCAGGTAAATAGGAATCATGTTCAGGCATTATGGATGAACAATAAAATAGAAGAAGAGTCATTTAACTTCTTGCAGTGGTAATGTGTGTGTTGTGTAGAGTTTCCGTATGGTCACTGTCCTCACTCTCGCTTCAGTTCTGCCTGTGGACAGATGGCCTGAGCGTTCTTCTTGGCCGAGACATGAGCAGTGAGTCCATGCGCAGCGAGCTGGAGATCCTCTTGTCCATGGAGATCAAGCTGCGGCTCTTGGACCTGGAAAACGTTCAGATTCCGGAAAGCGCACCTGCCGTTCCCAAACCGCCGAGTAACTACAACTTCTGCTACGACTTCAGCCAAACTGAGCAGTAGAATAATAGAATAACAAACAATGTGAGAGCCAGGTACTGCACATCCCTGCACTTAAATATGCAATCCATTTAGAGATACCACTTTAAGAATCCTTTTCAAACTCCTTCACTATCAGCTTGCTCCCAACTCTATTTATTCAGTCTTAATAGGTTGTGTTGTCAGTTAGAAGACAGGTGTACAGTACAACTCTATGGGAAGGAAGCAGTTTTTGGAAAAGAAAAAAATACAACACACCATATTAGTTTTATGTCTGAAAGTCCTTTCTTCTGGCCCATATCGTCGAGAGACTGGAACGTTTTTATTTCATGGATTGGGCCAGGAATTGGAGGAATGAGCTATAAACCAAGACCAAGAAATTAGACCTTTTTTCACTCACCATAGGTACCATAAAGATATTTCAGATGCCCAGCTATAGGCTCTTTGAATGTCACATGAACAAAATGTACGAACGAAGATGCATAACAAACATACTGGTGAAGAATGCAGATCTTTACTGTTATAGTAGTGCATAAAAATCTTGAACAAATTACTTTTTGAGCGATTTGCCACATTTACCACAGATCTGTTGTCTTCGGTTTGGTCTGTTTCAAAGTACATCCCTAAAATAATATAAGTTTGAACACCCCTGTATCTGGAATGCAGATATAGGGGTGTTAATAATGCATGTTGCAAAGTGCTGCATTCCAATCTATCGCAATCAATTTTACAAGATCTTTTATATTTATGTTTAATGCTATTATGAAAACTTTGGTACTTTATGAATTCCAACCATTACAAAAATAATGTCTGCCTCATAATGTCTGTTTTACCACTATGTGACTTTTTAATTATGTTGCATTTTAATACAGAACCATACGTTTATAGCCTAAATTGTTATGGTGGTACGTTGTTATGTACTGTGTGGTTTGTTAAAATATAATAAAGACTTTGTTTACAGATACAGTGAAAACTTAAACGTGTACTCACAATAAAAATAAACAAATGTCTATTTTAACAAATGGGAAATGTCTTTGTGTTTCTGTGATGACGAGTTAAAGTGTGGACGATTACAACGATTATTCTGTTCTTTTGACAGTGAAAGAAAAAGCATCAAAGTGAAACTGTTGAATGACGACAAATAATCATTGTTTTATTGTTTAATATATAGAGATATATTGTATTAAACAATACAAATATTATTGTGACATATACACAGGCGCATTTATAAAGACATAATGTAAATAATACTTAAATAATACATTTCCATTGCACTCTTACAGAAGTTCCAGTCATAGGATGTTAGAACATCTTTTCTATCAATCGCGAATCCAGTCAGTTTGGATGAAGGAAGAGGAAAGGTGCAGACAGTTCTTCCTGTGTGCCTTTTTGCTCTACACATTTAGGCAATTGACCACCATGAATTAAATGAAGCTTAGCCCCTTCTTAACTTGTGATTGGACAGTTCTTTTCTGTGCATAATACGTTCTCTGTAGTGGGTGCAATAAGTGAATGCAGATAAATAGAATAATTTTAAAACATTGAATTGTTTTGCATCTTGTGTTGGTCACAAACAGCTCACAGCGGGCATAAACTCTTTATAATGAGTACAATGTGTTTACATTTTATTACTTATTTTATAAATAAAAATATACTTTTTTATTAAATATGTTATAACCTAAACATACACGCTGAATATTCCAAGCCTTAACGAAAGGTGGCTGATAAATTTGCAATCCTTTCCACCATTTACTTGTCTGGAGTCTGTCACACTCTGGTCTTGCAGCTGGTGAAGTAAAATAAATATTGTTGCATTTTATAGTAGTTTATAGTGCAATAGTCGCCCTTTCATTTGGACCATTTACAAAAGTACTGTGAGAGCGCGGGTCTCTCTCAAAGAGACAGCGTGAGCCCAGCTTCACCTATAAACCGACAGTAAAGGTTTTCTAAAAAGGGAAGTTGCGTTTGGATATTTTCCACAGTTGTGACAGAAATATTCTTGCACCTTGAGATGTCCAGCGTTCTGAGACGTTTGCAATGCTGCGCCAATATGGACATGGACCTAAAAGAGTAAAGAGACCATTTCACGATTCACTGATAAGACATTTAAAAGTGAGATTTATCATTCAAACCTGTCCGTGATATTGCTACAGCAGGAGAGGGAGAGGTGCTGCAGTCGCTGCAGGTGTGGAGCGGCTTTGGCCACTCCGTGGTCACTGATCTGTGGACACTGGCTGACGTCCAGGCGGGTGAGACTGCGGCAGTGAAGGGCGACCGATACCAGACTGGCATCAGTGAGCTCAGGGAGCATAGACAGAGACAGACGCTGGAGGTCTGGGAACCGCAACACCTAAAGGAAGAGTTCCAGTAATCAAGGTGTGAATGGAAATAGGAAAAATGCTTGTGCATAGTTTATTTACAGGCAAATTACTATTGTAATTGTGACATGGCAATATTTAGATTTAGTATCAAAGTAGAAATGTAAAAATATTCATGTTGATTAATCAGAGACAAACATTGAGGTAAAATGCCTTTGTCCAGGAGTGTATCATAGCAGAATAAGTTTTACACATAGAGATGTTTTCTTTTGACACCAAACATAAGTCTTCTGAATGGACATGGTCTCAGATTCAGAATCAAAGAAAAAGGTTGGGAGTGAACAGTGAAAATATTTTGGCAAAACATATTATGAGATCACTGCTACCTGTATGATGCTGCTGTCTGTGAGTTTGGGGCACGCCGACAGGTCCAGCTCCTGCAGTCGACTCAGAGCCATCAGTGAAGAACCAGGCTGATGTTTTAAATGCTCCAGAGTATTCTGCATTGCCAGCTTGGGCCGCTCCTCAAAAGGCAGCTGCGGTGGTTTGAAGAAGCCCATGTTGCCAAAGGTTCTTGTAAACTTTGGACCATTGTCACCCTACAGGGCACATTATCAGTAAACACAATCTGTAAAATCCGACAGTGGATGGATGGATGCGTTTTTTTCACCATTTCATTGTCAGGATCACTTTCGACCGCTTGCATCACACCCAGAAGGCCAAAGTCGGTCACTTCTTTGCACCAGCCAAGGCGCAGAAGCTTAAGCCCCGGTGAGAATGTGGTCAGAGCGTGCACTGACAAGTCTGTAACGTTTGTGCATGAGGTAAGATCAAGCTCCCGGAGAGTCTCCCCAAAGAGCTGCAGGAGAGAGAATACTGCAAGATCCTGAACAAATCATTCAAATCATCAGTTTGTAAAGAATCAAGGGAAGACAAAGAAATTGTGTTTTTGAAATGGCTTTAGACGCACCCTGATATAAGTGCAGCTCTTTAGGTTGAGTGTCTCCAGCTGTGCTCTGGATGTGTTGGCGCTTGTTAGACCATTCACTGTCTCCACGCCGCTTATATTCAGGCACTCCGAGAGGTCCAAACGGCTCAGAGAAGGTACTGAGAGCAGATCGACGAGACCTGAATGGGACCCGCACATAATGATTTTCTACAATGATGAAAACATAGAAACATCGACTGGTCTACCAAAACTGTTATTTATTCTTGTAGGGTGTTTTTATTGTTTTAGTCATTCAACTGAAAAATATGGTTACATTCAAATAGCAGGTGACTATTCTATTACCGTTTTGGAACAGTTCAACATAATTTTTCCAATGGGCTTCTGTATGTAGTCAGATGTAATGTTGCAAATAACCACAAGATGGCTATACCATTTATTTTATACAAATATTATAATTAGCTAAAAAATATCACATAAGATTTATTTAAATTATTAACTGCTTTTCACAACCCCAGAAAAAGAGTAAGATCAGAAAAAATGCAAACTGGATAAAAACAACACTATCATCGTGATGTGGGTTCCAGATCATTCTGATATTAACGGTTTGCAGGAACTCTTCAGCCATTATAGTTTCTTCTGAGACCATCATTCAATTCATTAATAAATGGCCTAACTAATTGTAAGAAGATATAAAAGCACAAACATGTTAGATTTTTAGTATCTAGTGCAAACCTTTCTCTGTGATCCTCCAGTCTCGTGACAGACTCAGGTGCCTCAGAAACTTGAGTCCATGTGCAACAGCCTTCACCGATCTGCTCGTCAGCTCTGTGCAGCCGCTGATGTCCAGAATCTGTAACCCAGGCTGATGTTTGACCAGGACCTCCACGGAGTAATCTGTCAACTCTTTACAGCCTTGAAGACAGAGCTCCTCTAAGACCAAACCTGGAACCTGGAACACAATGGAGATCTTCAATCTTCCTTGTAGTAAAGTACAAGTGACATCTTTATATAATTAGAACAAACAACTACATGAGAGGTTAGGCTAAAGAGACTAACACACCTGTGCAATGGTTCGCAGTGACTCCGGCGAGATGGAGGTCCGGCTTAGGTCCAGAGCCACCAAGGTGGACCTCTGCTCCGTCAGCAGCTTCCTCAAGTTCCTCAAGGACAATAGGGCAGAGGAGTCTTCAACTCCCACGGGGCATCCTTTGTACGGATCAAATTCAAATGCAATGTGGCAACCAGCCAGCGAGAGGCGTCGGAGGCGTGTTGTGCAGCCCGTGAGGCGATTAAAGGTCAGGTCCGAGAGATAACGAATGTCAGACAGGTCCAGCTCCTGGAGACCAGACAGAGCTGCCCGCACCTTGGGACATGGAAAAGTACATATGTCAATGACACAGTATATTAGACAGTGATATTCAGAGTGAGACTAAAATATTATGCATTTCCCAATGGAATACACAGAATGATTTTCTGAATTTAGACTCCAGACAACATTGAATTGAGGCATTGTTCAGATATCAAAAAGTACATTCCTCAACTGTCCGGGTGGTGAGCTTGGGTTCATCTGAATGCTGTTTTGTCCAGATATTTAAGTATTCAGTTTGTCAATAAAACTTCCTTTTGCATTGAAAACAAGCATGAGACTTCACTCGGCTAAGGTACATGTTGTATCTGAAGAGGCGAGTCTTCTCACTGCAAACGTTTTTAAGAATACATTTGTTTTGTTTTTCAACCAAACTGTGCAACATTTAAAGCAAAGCAATAACATAATATTGTAAGAATGAGGTCTCAGACCACATCACATAAAGCAGGTCACTACCAGGAAACTACCTTCAAACAGGAACACACAAATGTTTGTGGATGTGCAACTTGTTCTTGGTTTTCTAAGGTTACTTTATTTTTTTGTAAACAGATCAGGAGTATTCAATGTCTGTATGCAAAGGTCTGGGTCAAGCATGTTGTCCCAAGACAATTTTCCTCATTGTCCTCAAGACAAATTTCTCCTTTGCAAGACAAGATAAGATAATCCATTATTATTTCACCTGATGTCTGTGTTCCTCCCGAGAGAGAAAGGCTCCAGACATGAAAAGGCTATCGAGGCCCCTGAGGTCCAGTTTGCGCAGTGCCGTGAGCTGAGGCAGCAGCATCAGCAGAGTGGCCTCAGTGATGCTGCTCCCGGGCAGGGCCAAGCTCTCCACCTTCGAGCCCAGAGACTGTCCCACCTGACAAACAACCAGGGATCATGTGGTTCAAGTCAATGATACAACAGGAGCCATAAACTCATTTTTGTCATAAAGTTATACTGAATGGAAATATAGTAAATGGAATATGTTAAGAAGCTTATCAGAAACTAACTCACTTTTATGGGAAGACCTATAAACCAGAAAAGGGTGACTATGCTCCAGTGGACTTCAAACCAGAAAGCATTACCATGTCCATTCATTTGTTCTTGCTTTAGTGGGAAGCTGCTAAAGGGGGCTTAGTTAGGGGACTTAAATTAAGAAAAAATAAAAATCTATTCCAAATAAACTTTATTTGAATTGATCCAAAACAAAGTCATTTAACTACCAGCTACTAATTAAATTAATTAAAACCCAAACAGTTGTAACAAACCTCAAAAAGCAGAGTTCGACACATGCCAGACCCGTCTAACTGACTGATGACCAGGTTGCAGCGGTGCTTTCTGCTCAGACCTCGGATCAGCTCCAAGGACGAAGCTGAAGCCGGGAAGGAGAAAAGCATCTTCTTCTACACAAAGCAAAGCACAATCAACACAAACACACACACAAACACACACACACACACAAAATACAAATACTCCTATTCAAGTAGCAGTCATTTTAAACGCCTTTTGTCACAGTTGTGGTTACAGAAATGACTGATTCAAAGTTTGAAAATATTTTTTGCAGAATCTACAACTCAAAAACAAGAAGAATATATGAAATTGGTCACACTCATTGGTCAACTTGATTTTGTTTACTGTAGCAGCAACAGCCCTCATGCCTTCACAAATTAGTCAAATAAATATTTTAGAATGTATTCCCTTGAGCCAGTTCCAGAGTACTTACAGCAGTAAAAATAATAACAGTAATAACAGTAAAGTAATCTAACTGTACAAAATATTTGGTTAGTTCACCATTATACGTATTATATATTCATTATTACAGTATTCATTTTGACAAAACACAAATGTGGTGTCCTTCTTAATTACTGACTGGTTAATTTGACCCTAGGAAATTGTTACTCAAATAGGAACAAAAAAGATTGTCTAAAAACGACTAGAGACGTTTGTTTGAAAGTTTCTCATGTAAAACTACCATATACCTCAGGACCTCCATCTATTGATTCAGAATCAGATCCAACAACAAGAGACTCATGTGAGACTCATTCTGCCTCATGATTGGACATATGCATTGAACCAAAACACCACATGTGGCTATTACACAAACATTGCAATTGTTTTTAGTAATAACAATATTTGATTTGAGTTAAAAGCGTTCTCTCATGATAAACATACCTGGAAGTGTGAGTCCTGGCTGGCATAGTACCACCTGCGACACACGAGCGATGCTTCTTTTCGGTCTGAAGCGCTGAGCAGGCTTAGGATATAGACTACTATCTATTTGACAAGGGGAAAAATACTGTAAAGGGATGTGTGATCGAAGAATGTATAGATACACGCATGTCATATACACTTTCCATGCACCTCAATAGGAAGTTCAGGTGAGCCGTCCTCATCGCTGGAAGACTCATCCATAGCAGCTTTCGGTCTTCAAAGTGTTCCAGAAATCTTATCAGCCAAGCTCTAACAAACAGCAGCTCTCATGTCGTTCTGTATTTTCCAGTCCCTCCACTTGAATTCTTCTGTCATAACTCCAGACTCGATGCAGTTAAAATTAAATAAAAGATTATGAGCATTACAAGCTATTGACGTTCCGTATGTCCCTGAACACATCATGTTCTTCCTCTTGAGGCGTTTTAGGAGCACATTGCCCTCTATGGGCCGTAGAGTGTATTGCGTGTAAATGATACAGTGGTGAAAAGGGGTGAATATATATATAATTTTTTTTATTAAAATTAACTAACAACATTTAAACAATCACCGAGACAACAAACTAAATTTAGAAAATAATACAAACTAAATCAAAGAAATTAGTTTAAATGAAGCAATAGACAAATTACAGTGACTATTGCTTTGACTAAAGTCTGCGGTAACCAGTTGTACCTTCGCTCTTTTTTTTACCCAGTCTCTAAACATTCATAGTTCTCAGTTGTTTTCCCAGTATCAGGCCTTTAAGCCTTCTGCTGTTTTCATGTTAATGAGTGATGAGTGGTTGCTCAGGTGAGCTGCAGAGCACCATATGGGAGGTGCATGGGACACAGATATGGGAAAGAGGGAGCAGTCTTATGAGTATTGTTTGAGCAAGGCCAGGTGCAGACAAGAATAACCACATAACGCCAGTTTTACATGAGGAAGTACTACTTTGACTGAAATACCTGCGCATGGATTATTTGTTTCCTCTTATGAATATTATCAAGACTTACATTGTTTCTTGGAACTAATTTGAGATATATTTATACATATTTTGATATTGTAAGCATGGAGGACTTCCCATCCAAGGTAACCACAGAGACCAGTACTTCCAATGCCCAGAGCTCACAGCAGGGGGGCAACAGTCTGAGAGGGCTGGCTGCCCAGGTCAGCTCTGGCATGGACATGTCCTTTGTGAGGAGCATCCCAGCAATCCTTATGGTCGCTGAAATTGTGAGTTTATTACAGCCTCACCACTGTGCACTGTTGATACATGCATAATTCATGAGTGTCATTTTAATGTGGGCGTCGTCATATTTCCATTAATGATTCTGTCACAAATCATTTAGATGTTGAAATGTACAAACACAATCGCATTAAACACAATAATACCTACTGCAGATGTAACATTATACTTGTCTTTAAGACTGATCATGTTTAAACACTGCAGTTATACAAAGAATTGTAAACGAATGCATTCATGAAGATTGTATTGTTGTTTTTTTGCTTTTTGGCAACGGATTCAAGTTCAAACAGATGAGTAAAATGTGATTGATGATTTGAATAAAAAGCTATTCTTGTCTAATCATTTGTCATAGGCACACCATGTACGACCATATCAACACAGAACATTATAAAAGATCAGGAAACAAGAGGAATCCTCTGTCGACAGTATGTGACAGTTGAATTTCATGTTCTTTCTAAATGTTGAGTTCCTACTATTTGTACTGTAGGTGTGTCAGCTCGAGGAGACATGTGATCTGCTCAATGACTTACAAACCCACGAGATCTTTGTCCCTTGAGGCTCAGTGCTTCTGTGTGCCTCCTAACACCACTCTGTTTATCTTCTAGAATAATAATAGTAATGTTCAAAGACACACCGGCACCAATCCTAGTTTTGTTAACCACTGCTTTCCAGGTGCTTTATGAGGAAGCACAAGTGGCCTGTAAAGTATAGACTGATTAATGATATGCCTAATGTACTAACTTGTTAGTGTCTAATTACTTTATTGAATCAACATATCTTCTATTTTGCACATAATTACCTCAATAAAGTAATCAGTCGTAATTTATCATAACAGAATAGTAAAGCTGGGTTACCTAACTTTTCTAGTTGAGTCACAAAAGAAAACTTTGTGATAAAAGCCATCGAGTTTGGTACTATCACGAGTTTTGACATGGATTCTGCGTTATATTTTGATGTATTTATTTATTTTGACAGAAAAGTAAAAAAAAAAAAAAAAAAAAAACCTTGAATCAGCTCTTAGCCCAAAGTGTCTATTAGTGATATTTCTTCATAAGATACCACTGCTTTAGACTGGTATGTGAATTTCTTGCAGCTTGATAAATTTGCTTTTACTGTGCCATTTCTACCTGCTAAAGTAAGACTATGGTTATCATTACCAGGAATTACATTTACACTATATTTAGTTCTGTCAACTGATGTTTTGTTCACAATCTCCAAGGCATAGGTTGAATTACGGCCTGGAGAGGATCAGTATTTTGTCAAGTCATCTGTCACTCCTCCCTGTAAAATTTTATTTTGTTTTGTTTTGTTTTGTGCTGTTCTTCATTTGTTGCCCATGTAAGTGGGTACAGCGTTTTCTGTATGGCGCAGAATGTATTAATTTTGTATGGCTAAAAATAAAATATTCAATCAATCAAATTATGGGAGGCACTATAAAATTGCTGGGTTTGGTTCATTCAGTATTTTCTTTGTTTTGACTCAATGCAGATGTTGATCCTGAATAACTGACTGAGCTGACATTGCAACACACCCTGGGTTCATTAGTTACAAAAGTGATGCAGAAATGGTCAATAATAATGTCCTGACTCAGGTCTTGTGTCCTGTAGGTACTGGGCCTGCTGCACTGGTCCCTGATCGCCAGTACTCACCATGCAGTGTTGGCTGCGTACGGTTGGGTCATGTTTGTGGCTGTCACTTCATGGCTCTTCACTATTATATTATTCTTCCTCATTTTGTACGGAGTGCAGAGAAAACTCCCATCTGTACCCTGGACTCTTGTGGTAAGGAAAAAATATGTATCTTAAGGAAGGATACACAGTGGAACATTTCTTGTGCTGTCCTGCTTGTTGCTAAGGATATGGTATTTCTTTACTTGGAATGTACCTCAGCACTGATATAGAAATTTTCTAGACACTCAAAGAAGCAACAAACAGTATGTGCCATCAGCCCTTCCAATCACCACCAATCATTCATGCACACACCAGACACATATTGAGCAATGTTGGTGACGTGTCTTGCCAAAGGACACTTGCACTTCTCAGTACTAACCAGGCCCTGTCCTCAGGCTGACCAGGATCAGGCTTTCACATGCAGGTTGTACAAAATGTTGTTGTGTAGTTAAAAATGGTTTTATTACTTAAAACAGATTTAAAAAAAAAATTATATAAATATACAGTGGGGCAAACAAGTATTTAGTCAGCCACCGATTGTGCAAGTTCTCCCACTTAAAATAATGACAGAGGTCTGTAATTTTCATCATAGGTACACTTCAACTGTGAGAGACAGAATGTGAAAAAAAAAATCCAGGAATTCACATTGTAGGACTTTTAAAGAATGTCTTTGTAAATTATTGTGGAAAATAAGTATTTGGTCAATAACACAAATTCAACTCAATGGAAGGAGGTTTTGGCTCAAAATCTCACAATACATGGCCCCCTTCATTCTTTCCTTAACACGGATCAGTCGTCCTGTCCCCTTAGCAGAAAAACAGCCCCAAAGCATGATGTTTCCACCCCCATGCTTTACAGTAGGTATGGTGTGCAACTCAGTATTCTTCTTCCCGACGAGTTGAGTTTATACCAAACAGTTCTACGTTGGTTTCATCTGACCACATGACATTCTCCCAATCCTCTGCTGTATCATCCATGTGCTCTCTGGCAAACTTCAGACGGGCCTGGACATGCACTGGCTTCAGCAGGGGGACACGTCTGGCACTGCAGGATTTGATTCCCTGTCGTTGTAGTGTGTTACTGATGGTAACCTTTGTTACTTTGGTCCCAGCTCTCTGCAGGTCATTCACCAGGTCCCCCTGTGTGGTTCTGGGATTTTTTATCACTGTTCTCATGATTATTTTGACCCCACGGGATGAGATCTTGTGTGGAGCCCCAGATCGAGTGAGATTATCAGTAGTTGAAATATCGTTGTGGGCTACATTTGGGCTGTCTTTTATACAGATAACGAGTTCAAACAGGTGCCATTAATACATGTAACAGGTGGAGGACAGAAGAGCTTCTTAAAGAAGAAGTTACAGGTCTGTGAGAGCCAGAGATCTTCCTTGTTTGAAGTGAGCAAATACTTACTTTCCACTATAATTTACAAATAAATTCTTTAAAAATCCTACAATGTGAATTCCTGGATTTTTTTCTTCACAGTTGAAGCGTACCTATGATGAAAATTACAGACCTCTGTCATTATTTCAAGTGGGAGAACTTGCACAATCGGTGGCTGACTAAATACGTTTTTGCCCCACTGTATTAGTTGGATTGCCTCTCCACAGATATGGCCAGTACCGTCACTTTCTTCTCTCCAATGTAGATGGAATATTTACCATAAGATTCCACCTAAAACTACAACATTTCGATCAAGCAAAAGGCAGACCTTCCACCCTCCATATTGTTAAATGCACCTTTAAACTATTGTATCATTGATCTCTTCAGTCCTAAAACATGATACAAGGAAAACACATAAAATCATATGTTTTGCGTTAATAAGTGATGCCATTTTATCCTTAATTTAAAAATCTGTGTTTTTGTTTCATTAATTTATCTTTGAATACATTTTGTGGTATCTCAAAAAGCATCTACACTTACTTTTTGTAAGGAAACATAGTCAAATAAAATAAAAAAATATATACATTAGATGGAAAATGTGTATTTGCCTTTGTCTGTATATACAATGTTTGTGTTTTTGTCTGTTACAGTTTGACAGTGACAGTATGATGTGTGTGTCTCCACTATAGGTGATGGTGTATTATGGTGTGGTCACTGTGCTCTATCTGACAGCTTTCTTCACAAATGCAGCATCTGTCTACAACAACCTTTACTATGGACATTTTGCAGCCGCAGCGGTAAGAACACTACAGCCTTTAAAACGTATTGTGACCCTTTGAAAGATAGTCCTGCTTCCACAAAGTTATGCAATGACATTCTTTCTTGCTTTCCTTGACAATGATATAGAAAAATGTCCAAAAGCGACCAAAGGAAATCATGTATTGAATTAGTTAGTCTGCCATTATAATTTGAGAAGATGTTAGATATTATATTGAATTAAAATGTGGCCAAAATCTGTAAAACGCTGTCCACAATACTTTGTTACAAGTTCAGGTTTAAAAGTCTTAAGCAAAACAACTTCTCAATTACAACTAGTCTTAAAGTAATTAGAGCTGATTGGCTGAGAGGGGACTGGTAGTCTCTTTTTCACTGAGAAGGTTGATCTACAGATGTGACAGAGGCCAAAAACAGATGCATGTGAAACCAGAACAAATGATGGAACAGTTTCTGCACAGTTGTTTTTTTAGGGACTCCATGTTATGATTGTTATATTGGATCCCAAAGCAGAGACTGAGACAAGGTTGGATTCTAGCTGTAACCTTGAAAAACCTTCTCCTTTGTGTAGCTGAAATGTAAACATGCTGAGAATGATTTGTGTTTCAGTTTTTTGCAGTGGTGGTGACTATCTTATACGGTGCCTCTGCTTTCTTTGCCTATTTGGACTGGAGGGGCGACGGAGGGAACGCAGCCACCAACACCGTGCCCACATGAGCCTATACTCTGTTCGTACTGTATATGAATAACATTGAATAAACTGTCGCACTGTTTACACTTAATTATGTGTATACTAAACAAAATGCATAGTGTCCGCACCATACAATACAGTCAGCCTAATCACCTTCAACCTTACATTAAGGTTTTTACCTCTCACAGCACTCACACCCAAATACCACAATTAAATCCAATTATTCTAGCTCTTACTCTCTACCAAATAAATACAGATATATAAGAATAATTGTTTCCTGAAACTTTATTTTGATACAAATATATAAAAAATTGCAGACTCGAACTGAGCACTGAAAAAATACCATTGCACCAAAAAAGTGCAAATGTTATGCACATCAAGGAGTTTATTTTGTCACCGCTGTTCAGTTTAGGGCTATCTAACTACACTAATATAGCTATAGTTAAGATGAATTGTGACAGATGGGCCAAAGATTGTAGAGATAACATAATACCTCCTCTTGCATCTCTTAATGTGTCACACTAAGAGCAAACTATATGTGATTGTTCTCATCAAATCATCCAAACACTTTATTTACTCTTGAGTGTAACAAAAAAGTAACAGCACTTTTGATTTGTACAAAGATTACATTCTGCAAAACAATTAGTCTTTCTTATACACAAACAGCACATAAAGCATAACAAACATTAGAATCCTGCACATTTAGGCAATTTAGAAAGAAATACTGACAGATGGATAAAATCTGTGGAAATGTCACTGAGATTTACTCGAGCTGCAGTGTTTTCTATGAGAAGTCACCAGCGGCGTCACGACTAGTCCAAGATCCACACAGCTACCTTCTTTGTCCTTTAACACAGCACACAAATATGTCCTTATTGATAGAAATGAATAAAGAATGTACCCAGTCACCAGTGTTTATTGCTTACAGCTTTGTATTCAAGAAACATCTCTTTGAAGGCAATGAAGTCTGTATATGGAAGTATCACGTCAAAGATATCACCTGGAACCTCTTCTTTGTGTTGCCTGTAAAACACAATATCGGTTTCTTTGATAACCAATATTGAGTGACATTTGATGTTAGGTAAGGATAAGGATTAGTTACATTAGAAGTTGAATGAAGTTATTCATGTTGAAGTCTGGTATTCTTTCCAAAAGCTGCTGTTCTAAGTGCTTCTCCAGCAGATCAACCTATAAATAGAAAACAATAAACTAAAACTATGAGGCTATTATGCAACTTTAATTTAACCTGCAGCACTTCAGTCCAACTTACATAATCATTGAATATCTGTGTGTATTCAAGCTTATTCTCTTCTGAAATATCAAACTCTCGGTAATATTTCTCCATGAAGCTTTGTTGAAGCTTTTGAAACCCATCTTCTATAAGACAAAGCAAAAGATTGAGTTATTATTTTTATTTAATCTTTAATTCAGACACATTAAGAGTCCATATGACACACACACGCAGACAACAAAAATACAGACAAAAAACACACAAACATACAATATTTACAAAATTCTGTAAAGACGGTTTCTTCAATGCCTTATTTAATTAAACGCCTTTAAGATAAATTATGTTCACACTTACCCACAATAATGTCCTCTATGCAGCCAATGGCGACATCAAACGCGGTATCAGCAGCGGAAGAGCTACATTCATCAGAAAAACACGACACAAGCCACAAAAATAAGTCAACTGTTCGTGTCCAAAGGCAGTAGCGTAGTTTAGTCACAGTAATAGTCACCTTGAAATGGCAAATATCTCCTCTCCCATGTCAATCAGATCGAAGGCTTCCGTGCAAAGAGGATTCGTAAAGTACAAACAAATTATTTAAGAGGCACATTTTCCAGAAGATGTAACTAGCTTAAAGCTGTAACCAAGCAACAGCTAAACTAGCATTAACCTTAGCCGCTAGCATGACATTCACGACAACAATTATATTCGCCGAAAACTCACATTCCTCCATGTCCATATTTTCAAGTGCACTTGTTTAATGCCGTCAAACAGAAGAACAACAATAATAGTCGATTTCAGTCACACGGCGATCGTTTTGAAGTATTATTGGTTACTATGGAAACGTTATCCTTCAGCATAAGTAATCCGACTAAAACACAGAGGAACACATGGTTCCTACACCTACCCATCATTTTTATTTGTAATAATATAACATATTGAACACCTCATAAATCCTCCAAAATAACACATTAAATGAACAGAAAAAATACATATACAGTGAGGTTGTTTTATACAGTATATCGATGGGAGGGACAGGCGAGTTACTCTTGTTACACACTCTTTTCCCTTCCCACTGAATGAAACATGTCCCATATATACAGTCTATGGTCCCAACCAACACCGTTCATTAAAGGAAGAGTATGTTACATGTACTTTGGTGGTCCTAAAGCCATTACAATTACAATCACGCTTAGGTTGCCAGAATTTTCACATAATTTTGATTGTTTTTATTTTTTTCACATGTAGCTCCTAAGAACTGATTACTGATGCAAGCTGCCTGCTGGAGTTAGCTTCTATAGAGGCCGAATAAAGTCATGTATTATGCATGACTACTGCTTTCATTTAAACATATATGTAGAGCTAAGGGATTATGTTTTTATAAGCCAAATGCAGCTAAATGCAAATACAAATGGGCTACTTTAAAGAGGATCTTATTCAGCACTCTGATTGGATAATTTTGCTTAAAAATGGGCTAATTTCTAATTTTAATTTTTTATTTAGAATTACTCCAGTTAAAACTTTTGATAAAAATAGGTCAAATATGATTTTTACATGTAGGCTGACCTATTATCTGGGAACACATAAAAGATGTAATTTAAAAAAATCAAACAAGAGTAATATTTTTTTAAATTGTTGTGTAGTTTTGAGTAGTTTTGATTCATCAACTCTCTTGACAGGGTTTTTGAAATTTAGGACCACGGGTCTTATTAGCTGGTTGGCATTTAAGATTTGTAAATTGGAATATGTAAGGGTAGTTTGGACAGTAGTGCCCTCAAAAAATATGTATGTCTTCATGTGTAAAGGCAGAGGGTGACAGGACTGCTTGGCCGCTGAACTAAAATCTTTTCTGAATCTCAAACCAATTTGGCTCTAATACTTAGACGTTTCTGGGGGCCTTGTTTTGCCCATCACTAGGGAAAAGTACCACAATGTCAGAACAGTCAGAACATTATGAATTAATATAAAAGACTTTTGCCCAAGTTTCTGGATTTAACCTGCTTGCATAAACTATGCTGGGCTGGTCTTAACTTGCATCATCTCGCATTCCCCTAGCCTGGTCTGAGCCATCCGTACACTCCGGTCAATCGTCATTTTCCTGCATGTAACATAGTACTAAATGTAATTTGTACTATGGTGTGGTACGACCAGGCTTGCATTCCCCTAAAACAAAAGTACACAAACAAATGTACACACTTTTTCACATTTAATTTAAACAAAACCTGAAGCATCACTGTTAAATCAACATGTTTTAGGAAAGCATTTACCATAATTTCATATAAAATAAAATAAAATCACATCATGTGGATTCAAAGTGGCCACTCAAACAACAATGAAGAGTGTTCGTCACAAACAAAGCTTAAGACATTTTTTTTCCATCTGCCCTGATCTATGGCCTAAACAACAAGCACATTTTGCTTGGGGTTTCAATATTCCAGCCACATGTGGGGTTAAACCTTGTGCTATCTTTTTTTTTTTTTGAGCTGGATTTTGATTATTTTTCCTAAGTTGGAAAAATAGGGATATTTAGACCCTAATTTAAAACAGTATTTTTCTTCTACTTTTAAATCACTGTGGCAGGTCATTTTGACCCTAGGATTGCATAAGGGTAACACCACTTTCTGAAGGTGCTACTACACCTACACAAAATGGTTAAAACCATTATTCTTCAAAAAAGATATTTTTATGTAGTACTGTGGGGAATTTTAAAGGGGATATTTCCTTTAAGATCAGCAGGTCAAGTGAAAGTCTGTTTAGTAAAGATGCAAGCCTGCTGATAGAAAATGTGTCCTAAGTGCAATATAAACATCCAAATTGAAAATGTCCCAGTGGGGCTCAATGCATCTTTCTTAGATAAGATTGTATCAATGTGATACATTTGTCTTTTTGATGATAGGTGTGAATTCCAGTTTCTAATTTTCTAAAATGCATTCAATTGTGAAGTAACTTAAACTACTTCTTTGCATATGTAAACAGAAGAGTAAAATTACTATCAAGAAATCACCCACTTACAACATTCTTCCACTTTCAGTGGTCACCAAACTCACAACAGTCGCAACTAATTTGGTCCGATGAAAGAGCGCATTAGTGCTTCGTCACAGTCACAGAACATCATTAATCTAAATATGGACACCATAATGTGTTATCTTTTCAGTACCTTGTGTTTTAATACTGTATGAATGCTTTTTACCAGCCCTCTCGCTTGTGACATAAATAGAAGCAGCTTTGATTGAGAGCTAAAAGAATTCAAAATGAGACTTCCACATCTCTGTAGATGAAAATCAGAATGCTGACTGACACAGGGCAGAAACTTGTTGTGGGACGTCAGAAGCATTAAAACAAGAGAATAGTACGAGTGGTCCTCCTTTCATCTCATGCCCCTCTGCAGACATCTTTGCTGTGCTCCAGCATCACAACATTGAGACCTCCTACCCATCCTAGTTGGGCATGAAAAGATCAAACGTGGAGTTTTCAAGTTTTGAGTCTCTCGTTGATTAAGGCAAAAAAAGACAGGAGAAGTGTCAGGACACATGTGCAATCAGCCTGACACGAGTCTGGATGTCCTGGCGGCATAAGGGGCACGTCTCTAACTGTAAGGCACACTCCATACAAATACCACTGTAAAAAAATAAAAAGTTATAAACCATTTGTCTCTTTCAGTAATTATAGTAAATAATTTAAGCATACCCATGTCCACATGGTCGCAGTTCTGTGTCAGCCATCACATCACAACACAACGTGCAGCAATTATCTCGAATGCTAACCTGTTTTAATAATGCTAATCGTCTGTGTCTGCAAATAATAGAAAACACAGGAAAGAGACATAGAGTTAGGATGAACACTAATAATTAGGGACACAGCTAGACCGATTTAAATTAATCAAAGTATGTATATAAAGAGGTACCACACAGTTTTACACAAACGCACCAGATAACAGCTACAGTGCCTTGCAAAAGTATTCGCCCCCCTTGAACCTTTCGCCACATTTCAGGCTTCAAACATAAAGAATCAAGAATCAACAAGTGGGACACAATCGTGAAGTGGAACGAAATGTATTGGATAATTTAAACTTTTTTAACAAATGAAAAGTGGGGCGTGCAATATTATTCGGCCCCCTTGCGCTAACACTTTGTAGCGCCACCTTTTGCTGCAATTACAGCTGCAAGTCGCTTGGGGTATGTATCAGTTTTGCACATCGAGAGACTGGAATTCTTTCCCATTCTTCCTTGCAAAACAGCTCGAGCTCAGTGAGGTTGGATGGAGAGCGTTTGTGAACAGCAGTCTTCAGCTCTTTCCACAGATTCTCGATTGGATTCAGGTCTGGACTTTGACTTGGCCATTCTAACACCTGGATACGTCTATTTGTGAACCATTCCATTGTAGATTTGGCTTTAAGTTTTGGATCATTGTCCTGTTGAAGTCCCAGTCCCGTCCCAGTCTCAGGTCTTTTGCAGACTCCAACAGGTTTTCTTCCAGAATGGTCCTGTATTTGGCTCCATCCATCTTCCCATCAATTTTAGCCATCTTCCCTGTCCCTGCTGAAGAAAAGCAGGCCCAAACCATGATGCTGCCACCACCATGTTTGACAGTGGGGATGGTGTGTTCAGGGTGATGAGCTGTGTTGCTTTTACGCCAAACATATCGTTTTGCATTGTGGCCAAAAAGTTTGATTTTGGTTTCATCTGACCAGAGCACCTTCTTCCACATGTTTGGTGTGTCTCCCAGGTGGCTTGTGGCAAACTTTAAACAAGACTTTTTATGGATATCTTTGAGAAATGGCTTTCTTCTTGCCACTCTTCCATAAAGGCCAGATTTGTGCAGTGCACGACTGATTGTTGTCCTATGGACAGACTCTCCCACCTCAGCTGTAGTTATCTGCAGTTCATCCAGAGTGATCATGGGCCTCTTGGCTGCATCTATGATCAGTCTTCTCCTTGTTTGAGATGAAAGTTTGGAGGGACGGCCGGGTCTTGGTAGATTTGCAGTGGTCTGATACTCCTTCCATTTCAATATAATTGCTTGCACAGTGCTCCTTGAGATGTTTAAAGCTTGGGAAATCTCGGACCTGCCTGGTGTGTTCCTTTGTCTTCATGGTTCTCTCTGCGCTTTAAACAGAACCCTGAGACTATCAAAGAGCAGGTGCATTTATACGGAGACTTGATTACACACAGGTGCATTCTATTTATCATCATCAGTCATTTAGGACAACATTGGATCATTCAAAGATCCTCACTGAACTTCTGGAGTGAGTTTGATGCACTGAACCGAATAATATTGCACGCCCCACTTTTCAGTTTGTTTGTTTAAAAAGTTTAAATTATCCAATAAATTTTGTTCCACTTCACGATTGTGTCCCACTTGTTGATTGATGACAAAAAAATAATAATTTTATATCTATGTTTGAAGCCTGAAATGTGGCGAAATGTTGAAAGGTTCAAGGGGGCCGAATACTTTCGGCCCCCTTGAACTGTAAATGTATCTCTTGTGCACATCGTTATGTGGGGGGAAAAAACCCAGATCCCTTTAGCTTTAATGAGGCACATCTTGTCATAGTTTAAAGTAAGAAACTCCAAATACATGTATAGTTCAAAGGAGCCCGTGTCCCAGAATAGCTAAAGGTCTAGCGATGTCCCTGCTTACAATCAACCAGAAACATACCTGGGCAAAATTATCTTTTCGCTTGGCAGTAAAGAAGCAAAATCATTAAAAGTGCTGAACTTGACTGAAGGAGGATGGCGAAAAGGTTTGGACCCAAAGTTAAATTCACACTGTTGATATGACATAAAACTAGCAGCTGCAAAGAATCCGGACCTATCAAAAAAAATAAAATAACATGACACATTCAATTAAAGTCACAAGTTGTTAGTCTTCGTTTGACTCACGTTGCAGATGAAAAGACTTGTTTTTCTGGGGGAAGTTGGTGTCCATTCAAGTAGAAGACCATTTGCTTTTTGCTAAGATCCAAGAGGAAGCCAATAGCATCACCTGAAAATTATAAATAAGACAATAGACAAAAAAAACTCTTCCAATTTGTCTCAAACTATATGTTGCAGACCTTCTTTCCAGCAAGGATGAGCATGGGGTTTGCTGCGAGCATTATACCAGATGAGCTGCCTGCAGCCATCATACGCACATGAATACTCATCATCTCCTATTCCATACCCCTCCTGCAACACATTCCATCACACATGAGTCTGCAAGGACAATTGACACCTCAAATGTATGTAGTAGCAAAAGTAATAATCTCACATGGTTGAGGAACTTGCTGTCCTTGGTAGCCCATCCTATTTGCATTACACCTGATGTAATGACTGTTACTTCGTAATACCAGATACCCGAATCAACGCAGAACGTACAGCGGACACTTTCAAAAGATGACGCATCGCATCGTGCCTTTCAGTAAAAACAGGTGTTAAAGCAATACCAAGCAAATGCATTCGTATTAAGATGATATCTATATTTTTACTTCTAGTCCAGTAGGAGAGATCTTGAGGTACTCGCTGACATCATTACTGTTGAGCATGGCGTTGATGTTCGTGAGATTTACTTTTTCATATGTGAACTGACGTCCTTCTTTTAAAACTGAAAAAGATGACTACCATTTGTACTTTTCTTCAAATGCACAAAGTGTTTTTTTTCAAGCATGTAAGCATAAGCTGGGACTCACACAAGTTGTCCAGGCTCCATTGGGCACAGAATCCAACTTGCCGCTTTAAGTAATCTTGGTGTTCTGCCCAAGACTCAAGAACAGCAAGCTGATTACTGATGCAAGACTCTGACACTGTTAGTTTGTTCTCACCTAGATTAAATTATGGAATAAATACATAAAATATAACAATGACTATTGTACCATGAAAATAAAAAACAAGATTACTTGTTTGTGAGAATTTTTCCAAGGCAATGAGAGCAAACAACATGACTGTTGGGTGAGCTTCTGAACTCTAAAGGAGAAAAGTAATACAATATTTATGTTAATTTCCTTATTTTTCTGTAAAATAAAATGATAGCACTTACAAGGCTTTCCAGAAGATATTCAAGAGTTCCTGGACTCAAAAGGCCAATACTTGCTGGCCCTTGTAAAAATACAATAAATAATTAGAAGAATAGCACAGGTGAACAGCTACAATACATGTATTGAATTGAAACTGGTAAACAATTCAAATAACCAAATTATGTTTCATAATGTAAAATACCTGCTAATTTTTCAGCCAAACACCCCAGAACTGCTGTAGTGTTTCTGTGTTTCGCAGGACATAAAGCATCTTGTTTTGCTACAGCTGCGCTCAGATTCAACATATCAGACAATTTTTGAAGCGCATCCTGTAAAACAAATAAAACACTGTTTTCTTAAATCCTGAATTTGAATATTGTTGAACTTCATCAAAGCAATACGCTGTCACAAATAATGAGTAAAATAACATTTGTGAAATTAAACAAGATGATTGCAGGACAAAACATTTTCAGTAACTGTGTAAAGCCCTTTAAGAGTAAAGAGTAGGGCTGAAACAACTAATCGATTAATCGACGACTAATCGATTATTGAAATAGTCGACAACTATTTTAGTAATCGATTAATCGTTTTCTGGTTCACACGGACTCAAACAGAGCAAAAATGACATGAAAATGTAGTATTTTTGATTAAAACTGACTTTGTTTTTATAATTTCATGAATATCTGTCTGTCTCATCCAATCAGATAGCAGAATTAGCACAAAGAGCCTGTTACAAACATTTACTTTAAGTTTGTGATGAAAAAATAATTTTTTTCTACACAATTCACAGCCAAGCGATTACTCGATTAATCGTAAAAATAATCGATAGATTAATCGATTTACAAAATAATCGTTAGTTGCAGCTCTAGTAAAGAGATGGATTTACTTTGAGTAAAGCACATAACAAAGAGGTAAACTTAAGCAGGAATCTACTGTTCATCAGGCTTTCACTAATACAAGATCCACTTACTTTTGTAGGCAGTGGACACTCATCCAAAAGAAGTGTAATGACAGCAGGACCCAGAGGATCATCCAGAGGTATAACTCGAATAAGTGACTGTACTACCTCCAACCAGCCATCATCTAAAGCAATAGAAAAGAAAGTATAAATTATTTGTATCAGCTAAATCTCTGAAGTATCAATTGTTTCAAATCTTTCAGTAACCTCCTCAGCTGTGAGTCTATCTATGCAAACCAATAAATGGTAGGAGTGCAGTCCCAATTTCTTATTTTTTATTTCATAACATCAATTATTTTTTCCCTGATTTGGAACTGTATATTCCATCACTGGTCTTGATGAAGAACACATCCGCAGTATTACCTTGTCGAGCTGTGTTTGAACCCCCAACCTATGAGTGGTGATCACCCTACCATGGACAGGGACAAACTCACACTGCAGAATGCAATTATAAAATATTTGGCACTAGTGAAACAGAAACACCAAAAGTCGGGACTCATTCTGCTTTATGATTGGCCTGTCGTGGGTTTGACCAGGGAGCAAAAAAGATTGAGATCTCAATCTTATCTGGTCTTGATTATCGAGTTGTGCATTTCAATCGAAAGACAGCAAACCTGTGACAGTAATAGCACAAGGGGCTGAAAGGTTACACTCACTTGTGAGACGAAGAAGCATCCATAGGAATCTATTCACTCATGTGCCTCTAAATAATGATGATATGATTTATGTCATCATAAATCATATCATGCATGCGCCACCATTAGACAGGTTAGGACCAGGGCCAAGCATTCTGGTTTTGATTCAAGTAATTGTATGATATTTCTACATTGTATTATAAAATAGAAAATCTTCTTACCTGTCTCTGCCATTTCATGCAAAGTTATCATAGAGTAAGGGGGTTCTTGGTCACTGTCAAAATAATAGAGATAATAAAGTTAGATAAAAAAGATGGAAGGTTTATAATGGCTTACTGGCTAAGTTACAGTGAAAGAACATTCAAAATTGACATAACCTACATTACTTCATACATTATATGCATCCTATTCAGCACAACCCCTTCACTCTATGAAGGTCAACTGTGACCAGCCTCCTCCACCATTCCTAAAGTACACTTCATTAATTTTATAAAACAATATATTGGGCGGCACGGTGGCTGAGTGGATAGCACTCTCGCCTCTCAGCAAGAAGGTCCTGGGTTCAAATCCCGGTTGGACCAGGGCCTTTCTGAGTGGAGTTTGCATGTTCTCCCCGTGTCTGCGTAGGTTTCCTCCGGTTTCCCCTACCACTAAAAATATGTACAATAGGTCTGGCATGTGCCTCCTGTACTGGCACCCCCACTCCCAAAAATAACAATTGTAAACCGCTTTGAGACTCCGATGTGCAGTGAAAAGGCGGTATATAAATAAAGATTACTTACTACTACTTACTACTTATCAAAAGTTACTGGATTTAATACATTTTAAATCATAATAAACATAACAGCAAAGAATAAAGACATTATTTGTAAGCATAAAATAACTGAATTGAGCAGTGTATATTAGTTTTAACAAAGTGGGTTATTTTATAGTGTAGATTCAAACTTCTTACATTGTGAATTTTCTATACCCATAAAATAAATGGAAAATGTACATATGGAACCATGAAAGGCAATGTGGTATGTGGATTTAAAAAAATTATTGACACTTGATCTAACCCTTCTATATTTATTTAAAAGCATGAATACTACCTTGTCTGCAGAACCCTGGTATCCCACAAGATACCCCTTGCTTTTTCTGCACATATTTTTCTATGATTTGTATTTTTCCATATTCATAGTAGTAGGACTACTTAATAATCTCAAAAACATATTGTGCATATTATCTGATCTTTTCAGTGAGAGAACCTACTTGTCTACAAGTGTCCTGATGACAGCCAGTGTGTCCAGCACTAGGCCATCCACATTTTGCTTCTTGCGTCTCGGCTCATGTGGCCCTCTTCCTCTTCGTGGAGGCCTAACAGGATCCCTAGGCCGGCTGCTGCGTGCTTCTCCAACCTCAGGGCCAGCTGTAGGTCCATGATCAACCCGTCTAGATTGTCCCCGGGATGCCCGGGTTGACCCTTGGTGGTGGTCCTCAAAATCACTGTCCTCTCTGCACACACAGCTGTTTCCCATAGATGTAGTTGTGAGGGTCCCCCAAAAAGTAGTGAAGGAATTTGAGGAAGAAATGTGACGCAGAACCTGTGCAAGGCTTCTGCAGGCACAGAAAGTGATCCAGGCAGCTACTATCATATCATTTGGAAAGCTGGGTTTGGAGGGATACTCCCAAATTGAGTGGAGTGAGCACAAACTATCATGTTTTTGTCATGTAGAAATTAAGGGATTATAATAACTGTCTTATTTGCTGGTTGATAAAATGTTGGCTGATTCATTGAGACACCGCTTCTAACATGGTTGATTAATATTCTCTATGCAGCGTGGTTTACAGGTCATGAATTCTGAAAGACAAAAAGCAGGACAAAAGTACATGAGAGGATTCAGTCCAAAGTAAACAGCCGTACACGTGATGTTCCCTCACACCCTTTTAGAGACCACATATTGCATTAGAAGTTTTATGTGTTTCTCAAAGCCAAAAAGCACACGAACATTTGATGAATGTTGTCATCTGTACGCCAAGTCTGTAAATGTATTTTAAGTTTGTAATAGATCGTAATTGCTTCGTAAATACAATGTGATGATGTAAAGAAATGTTTACTTAGCATTAGCATAACACCAACATAAACCTATCATGCAAAGATTGTGCTTTTGTGAAAGAACCCCAAGTATAATCAAATTATCGCTAGCGAACGAACACGAAACGCTCCCAACAAAGCAAATATACACATACCTACGACGTATACTCTTGAAATCGTTGGATATCCGACATAAACTAGTCCAATTAGCTATACTTGCGCGGTAGCATTAGCATCTACGCTATGGCAAAACAAATCTGAAGTCTTGCATTACAGTTAGCTGCTGTCGGCTATCGTTCATAGCAAGAAAGACGTGGCTGATCCACAAAACCCAGTGACATGAATATAAAGTATGTCTGGGTTCGCTGGAAGCATTTAGCAGTTAGCGCTAACTTCTTATTTTCCACTAAACGCATGAACACTGCTACCGTAGATCATGACTACAACCTGTAAGCTAGCGCTACTGAGCTAACGCTGAGTTCCTTCCGCGTCGGCGGTATACTCACTGAAGCCATAATCAGCTGTGGGTGTGGATCCGTGTGGATCATGTGGATGTGGGATGTGAAGGAAACCGCACGTACAATGACAAGCAGATTTTTTTTTTAAAAGGGATTAGGCAGATTAAAGTGGTTCTCACCCCCGCTCCTCGGAGCTTACGTTACTCACATTTCCTGTTCAAATCTTCCTCTAAATGGGCGTAGCCTGGAGGACTAAAGGGGGCGTGAACGAGACTGGGCCGTTTGCATTGCTCTGGGCGGGGGGCTGCTGACGTCAGGTCCAACTTGCAGACGTCAGGTCCAACTTCTGTGCCAGTGTTGGCGCCAGATTCAAAATTCAAATGTAGTAATACAGGTCGCCAGCAGATGGCGCCTCACAGACGGTTTTAGGCAGAAAGTCTAACTTTCAACTAATTTGCACCAAAGTGACAAGATTATGACCAGGATATGTAGACAACACTATTGGACACTCATTTATACCGTTTATCAGCAAAAAAAAGTGGATTTGAGGGTGAGTTGTCCTTTAAATAGATAGCATAAATTTCACAATGTGCTATTTTTTTTTAGAATGAGTTAGTTCTTCTCACCTTACACAATGGCGTTTTGATGATGAACAATTTGGCATAACCATGATATGGCTGGACTAGCAGAGTCAACAAGTAGACATGAAAGTGATGATTTTCGTAATATATTGGATAAAAGTGCGAGATAGAACATACTGAACACACGTCAGTAAATACACGCACGCACTTGCACACACGCCAAGACACATACAAATGGTTTAAATCTATCCAGATTTACAAAAAAGTAATTCACACAAATGCATGCCGACCTTTTATTGTGAAAAGAAAAAGTTGTTTACACCAAATGTGTCACACAATTGCATCACAATTTGTTTTGACCAAGAGATGTATTAAAAGAATTATTACAGTACATCCCACTCCGGCTCAATTCTTCAGAAAATCTTTTAGATCTTGGATGAAAGGAACGTGGAGCAGTTTCAGAGTTCGGAGGATCACGCCCATAGCCACTTGAGGTGGTTTCATAAATTAGAGCACTGTACTTTTTTAGCGGATCTATTTCAGGCCGAACAAAACTTCCAGGCCCAACACTGCTGAGAGGGATTCTGTGCTTCTCAGACTCTGACATCCTCCTTCGAAACCTGTGCAGAAAATAAAGTTAGGCCTAGAACGTTTATGAAAGCATCAGTGACTTTCACCACAAACTAGCTAACTATTTAACATGTAATTAAAATGGACTGAATGACTGAATTTCAACATAGTGGTCATATATCACATGAACTCACCCGATAATTTTCTTTAATCCCCTTAAAAGGCGTTTAATGTTTTAAAAGCGTCTGATCTTCTGTACAACCGGTCAAACTAACCCTGTTCCCATGGCAACCTTAAACATTGCGTTCGTTAAATGTGAACCTGTTGTTTTCCCCTATCTCTATATCCGAGCATATTATCAGTTCTTATCTAAACAATAATTAATTGTTTTAATCGTGTAGCATGGTAGCACTACTCTCTTTTACGTTTTGTGAAAATGAATGACGTAATCAATAGTCGCAGTGTGATGTCAAACGTCCGCGCCAGCGCGCCTGTCGGAGTCGTAAAGCAAATACATTTGTGTACAGTCTATGGTTTGGAGCAAGAGATCCATGGACTGTTTCATTTTTAGGTTTGTCTGGGAGTAGAGATTGTGTTAAAACGAACCTAATATGGATAGTGCTATTCAAAGAGATGGGCGACTCTTAGATCTGACTGATGATGCCTGGAGAGAGGATCGACTTCCATATGAAGATGTCACAATTCCTTTGGTAAATATTACACTGGTTTGTTCCATATTTATTTAGAGTGCCAGATAAGGCGGTGTATACCATAGACTGTAAATATTACTATTGTGTATATACATTTGATTCAAAAGTGTTCAATGTGTTGGTATGATTTAGTTGACTGAATTGTCTTTTCTTAAAAAATGTTTGGTTTCTCAGAGTGAACTTCCTGAAGCTGAGCAAGATAACGGTGGATCCACGGAGTCAGTGAAAGAACAAGAGATGAAGTGGACTGACTTGGCCTTGCAAAGTCTTCATGAAAATACACCCAACACTGGGAGCTGAGACAGAACAGACGTTTCAGTCTTGACGACTTTGACCATTCATAATATATTGTTTTTCAATTGTTTGTGTTCATGGCAAGATTTTCATTGCTCAGAAACAATGTTGAATGTACAAATAATTGTTGGCCTTTTATGACAAAATGTAATATCGATTTATTCTCAGTTAGTAATAAAATGGACATGATGTTGACATTTATTATTTTGGTTCCCGAACGGATCCAAATCAGAATTTGTGTAAGTAAACCACTTCTAGTCTATATGACATTGTGATAAAATTATTATTGTTAAACCAGTAAGTGCAAACCTCAACTCTTTCCCTTCATGTGCTTCTCACCACCTTTTACTATAAAAGATTGTGCAATCATTCAAGCTTTTGGATGTCATCATGTGGCCCCTTTCCCATCAAGGCTGAAGGGTAATGGTAGGAGCCTCCTAAACGGTCCCACAGTGTGAAGTATTGTCCATAGTTATAGTTGAAATACAAATGATGGTCCACGTGATGAGCTGCTCCATTAACTATGTGGATGAGTATTCCAGGAATGCGGTAGTCTCCATCGTGTATAGAAATTGTCCAGATGTTGACAAAAACAAAGAGTGACAGATAGACCATCTGAAAGAATGATATTGTTTGAGATAATTTCTCTCTTAGAAAAAAAGAATGTCTTACCTTGCTGAGTGGAAAGATGAATGGATAAAGGTGATAGGGCAAACTTTGCAGGAAGCCATCTACCGGGTGGAAAGCATGGCTAGCAAAAGGTGTCGGAATCTTAAATTTATGGTGCTGTTTATGTAAATACTGAAAAAAAAAAACTGTGATAACAGTTTGTCTTTGTTGTAAGTGATAATACACCAGTTTCACCTTGTAAATGGCCTTATGATGCATACAACGGTGGATCCAATAAATGCACGTATCAGTAAAGAGCAAAAACCCGACAATGCTCAGTAAGACACCAGACAAGCCTTGGATATAAAATATACTCATATCACAAATTAAAATAAAAGTTTACTTTAAAATTAGTTGAATTTATTTTTCATAAGGTAACACAACTTTTGAATATAAATATTTAAGTTGTACTAGTAATATAAGATGTTTACAATATTACCTAGAGAGCCTTGATACATGTCATGAAGTTTGCTGTGCCCTTTAATCTCCAAATAAAAGACAGCCACTGTAGGAAAACTCATCCAGAATACGGCTGCAGATCCAAGCTGAATCTCTTGTTTTACCTGCTTCTGTATAAACTCAACAGTCACAAATATGAAACATTGACATGGGAAAAATCTGATTATTATCACACTATACCTTAATAAACAGTGGATGTTTCATGAGTTTATGGTCAAACACAAAATAGAAATTAAGAGCACCAAATCCCAGATAAATCAGTTCTGCTCCCAGAAATGTAATCATCCATAGACTGAGAATTTGCCGCACAGTATTGGTCTCTGGCCATGCCACTGGGTACACCAATGGAGTAAAGAGGTAAGAATCCATGAAAGCCAATACAAGATCCATGTCTGAGGCTGTCAAGAGGAGACGCTAAAGGCCATGTGCCACTGCAGAGAAAAAAAAAAACACTTGTAATTAAACTTCCAGTGTTTCAGTTGGTCGAACTTTGTATGAGACAGTTGTGCTTGAAAGTATACACGCTCATGAAGAATATTTTTTGCCATCTTCAAGAAATCATGAACGAGAATGCAAAGACTTTTTCACTCATTGTTTGTGGGTGTGTGTTTGAAAAATTCCCTGATCGCCTGTTAATGTTATAATTAGAAAATAGAGAACATGTTTGTTTGAGAATAAATGGCTTCATACGCACACTAACAATGAGTGGGAAGAAACAGGTTTTTTTGTGCTAGAATTCTATCATAATCAAGCTATTATCTCCAATATATGACCAAAACCATAATATCCCTGAATGGGTGTGTGAACTTTCAAGCACAACGTTACAATTTTCAGATAAGTTGCAAAGTTGTAAACCGGCTATAACGTAAAAAGATCAATCCAGACCACATGCATGTCTCCTTGAAGTCTTTTGCGGCCAGTGTTGCATTTCTTGTTAAACTGACCTGGGCATTCAGCAATCTCATCTGGGACTTTCAAATGGACGAAGAAAAAGTGACTGTGCTAAATGAAGCCTAGTTGCAAGTGTCTTGGTGTATGCGTCAGCTCTGTAGAACAAGATCCCACACTCTGCAAATAGCATGGCTCAGTGTCAAGATGTGCATACGTATGTCCAAATGTCTGAATACCCATAATCCTGGGCAGCAGAAGCCGTTTCTGATCTTGGAGAGCATTAGAAACAAATCCAGTTATGACATATGCATCCTGTCAGACTCCCAAAGCTAAGCAGTGCACGGTCTGGTCAGTGCTGTGATGGAAGACCTTGGGGAAAACCAGGTGCCATAATGGTTGGCACTTGGTTGGCACCAGTTGGCTGCGGCTGTAAAGTGCCAAACTGCCTTTGTGTCTTCAGGCATACACTTTGCCCATATTGCCTAGAATGAGTCCGGTGAGTGAATGAATGAGTGAATAATCAGCTTGTGAGTCAGCTGTGGCGATAGCATGCAGTAGCTTAAAACCACCAAGTTTGGATTGAATGAAAAATACCATGCGAAGTGTCTTTGAATGTTCCAAAAGTACTATATAAAACATTTTGCACAGGTTTGTGAATGCAGATATAAAGCAGATGCGCCTTGCCACACATGGTTTATTAAATGTTTTGGTTGTTTGAGCTGTAAAAGAGCTCTAAGGCTTTTTGGACACTCAAAGATGTTTCAAGTGACATTATTCATTCACACTGTACACAATGGTGGTAAACTACTATTGTAGCAATGAGTAGCCGGAAGATAAGCCTTGCACTACTCACATGTATGGCAAAAGTGGAAGCACTGTAACAAAATGATATTCAATGAATCTTTAATTCAGACACATAAAGGTTCCCTACACAACATGAAAAACAGACAAACAACAAAAGTATTCTGTTGTATTTATATATTATATGCACACGCTGACACACAAGTGAATAAACATAATTACCTTGTATCATCAGTGATTTTATGTACTAACAATTACATTGTTGTTTGATGTTTTGTACTAAACTCTGGTGTGTCTTATATTAATCACTAAGGGTTTATGGTGGTCAATGTCGGCTAAAACCATCTGTGGCCGTAAGATCTTCGTAAACTTAGAAGAAAGTTACAGATGTTAGCTGGCTATCACAGGATAGAGACTAAAATATCAATCTGAAGACAATGCATAATTAGGGAGTGTAGCTTCCTGTTTCTCTCAGATGTTTTTCAGACAAAGTGACGAGATGTGGAGGAGGAGAAAGGATACGGACGAGACTCTGAACCGGAGTCCAGGTCCAGGTCCAGGAAGAGGTCCAGGACTAGACCATATCAATGTCGTTTCCTGATACGACACGCCCCTTCTACACATTAAACTTATGTGATGTTTCTGATTTGTTAATCAGTCGGACCAGGTTCATGCAGAGTAAAGTCAGGCGCTCTGAATCATATATAGATTTTTACAGGGAGAGTTATTTAAGGTCCAGACCACTTTATCAGGCTTCTTTGTATTAGGGAATAAACTCTTTTGGATTTCTGAATCCTGGTCATCATTATATGGGATTTGAACACGTCTTTTAATTTGATAATACTCAAACAACATACAATGTTGACATTCTAATTGATTTTAAAAAGACAATCAGATGGCTTAAAAATAATAATAAAAAACAGTACAATTAAGTACAATGATAGGGACGGGAAGGTACAGACAACGTTTTGGAGCACTGAATCAATATGCTGGTCATTAGGATGACTCAAACATAGAAGAATCAATCACTTTTGGTAAGTGATTGAAAAGGGAACAATACTAGGATAAGGTTAGAAAAGTCCATATCACTATTCATTTAATTAAATCAGACATTATCTAAATTCTTTCTAGACAGGAGTTGATTTTTATCACGTGTTTAAGGATAATACACCAGAGATAATCAAAGTCATATATGACAATATGTACTTTATCATAAATAACTTTTTAGGAGCTGTTTTAATCTGCTCTTTATAATATTCAGTTGTGAGGACAGTTATTGACAGCTATTGATGCTCATTGCTCACGACACGATCGCTCGCGACTGTAGTGAGTCTGTAGTGACCGAGTGCAGCAGCGCGTGGGATGGTGCGCGTGCAGCACGTGGTCTGGAAGTTTTGCAGGACCGTGTGCACATCCCCGGCCCGCCCCGTGGCGCTTTATTTTTGTTTTTACAAATAATAATTCATTATTATTCTAACCAAGTTATCAGTCCCTTGTCTCTTTTATCGAATTCAATACACTATGGATTACCATTGTGTGACAGGCTATAATAACAATTGCAAAATGCATCTTTATTTACATTGCTGTTCGCCATTATATAACCTTGTTTTAATTATTAATTATTCCGGGGTCGTAAGTTTGTGCAAAAACGGGATGTACTGTGTTCTGGTCTTATGTAATTAGTTGAGAATCCTATTTCCAGTTCATTAACTGCATTCGTCTCCACATCGTGTGCTAAACAGATTGATGGCCGTGTGCAGAAATTCTTTGTATGGCCTACGCGTGACGTACCTGCGTGCAGCGTGACTATGCGCGATTGTTTGGAGTTTGCACTCGGTCCTAATACAAGTCAGCCCTATAAAAGCACCAGGACACACACTGTTATTCAGACGAACTTCACACTGAGAAAGACACATCTATCTCACCGCTACAAGAACTGAAAGCTATCGATTTGGAAGAATGGATCCCTGTGACTGCGCCAAGAGTAAGTTTTTTTTGTATTTTGTTGTTGTTGAAGAAATGTTCATTTTTAACTCTTGGAATTGTAATTATGTAAATCTGTATTCATCTGTAGCTGGAAACTGCAATTGTGGAGGATCCTGCAATTGTAAAAATTGCTCCTGCACTAGCTGCAAGAAGAGTAAGTAGACTGTCAACATTCAGCTGGGTAGAAGACATGCATTTCACTGCTTTTTAATGTTCTCTGAATTTGTCGCCATGTATTTCCAGCACGTTCTACCCTGAGATCATGTCATGTGTGTCATGCCTGATTCTAATCCCAGACATTAGCAGAAACATGGATGTCACCCATGTGTCTCCTAACCGTACAATCTCTTATGCAGGCTGCTGTTCTTGCTGTCCATCCGGATGCAGCAAGTGTGCCTCTGGTTGTGTGTGCAAAGGGAAGACTTGTGACACCAGCTGCTGTCAATGAAGCTCCACTAATCTGCAAGACTACAATGTCCTGTTCCAGCTGCTGTCAATGAAGCCCTGATTAAAAATGTTTGTGCACTAACTGTTTTGTACTATTCCGAAACAATAAAATGTCTTAAGAGTTTCCATGTGTTTTTGTAATTGCATGTGTGGTAATATAAATGACCTGAAGGTATTAATTCTGGGCTTTACTTTTTTTTTTTTTTTAAATGACTTTCAGATTGTTAGAGGGCAATGCTCCTGTCCCTATTATTTTGGATCTGTAAAATGAGCTCTTTGGCTAAACTGGGTGATCCTTTCCCAATTAGCTCTTAGCCCAAAGAATGACCCAAGGGCTGTTTATGCAAAGTATTGATCAAGCCTGCATACGTCTGACTAAAATGTACCTGTCGGGACAAACTTTATTGAACCATGGCTAGTTTTATATATTAAGGCTAAAAATATCAAGTGCCTAAACTGCAAATAGGCTTCTGGGGAAGAATGTCTCAGTTTATAAACTCCAAGGCTGTGTTCTTTCTCCCCTGCTCCTCTCAATCAGTTTTATACAGTGGGGGAGGGTCCCAGCTCAAAAGTGGCCAAAATGACGTGCGCTGACATGCTTGCAATACCACCCCGGGCCGATGGGGGTGGACCCAAAAGCAGAATTAGCCAAAGCTAACATATAGCATTAGCAGACCTATCGAAAACGTCTTTACAGGATGGACCAAAAGTTGGCTCTTGGTCCAAAGCTCCGTTCCGTGGGGGGGGAATTTTTTTGGTCCACTCTAGTTTACCTGCTGTAAATTTTTGAAGTCTCTCGTTCAAATGAATGGAGCTGCTCCGGCTGACGCATGCGCAGATGCGTTTTTTCACAATTTTCTTGTGGGCGGGACCAGTTGCGGCCATTTTGGATAGCTCCAGTAGAGCACATTTTTTGGCCCATTAGTTAGAACGGCGGACTCTGTCCATTAATATATACAGTCTATGGTTTTATATAGCGGTTTTTTTGACACTCTACATGTCATTATTTTTTCACTCCAACTACAGCTGTCCTGCAGGGGCACACTGACAGAAGCAGGGCAACCAGTATGTGCCATTGATACCTCCGACTACCACCAACACACTAAACTCATTCTAGGCATTCTAGGCAAAGTGTCTTGCCAAACGACAATTTGGCACTTTACAGCCGCCCCACTGTGGCTAGTGTTCCCAGAGGTTAAGTGTCTTGCCAAGGACACAGTGGGAGTCGATCACACGACCCTCTGGCTCAAAGGCCAATGCTCTACCAATTGAGCTACTGTCGCCCACTGTACCACCCTCATTGGACGCTAGAGCCGTTGTCAGGGACAAGAAGAGACTATAGCGCATTGTGCGCTCTGCAGAGAAGGTGATCGGCCGCAGCCTCCCATCGCTGCTGGACCTCTACGCCGCCCGAGCTCGAGGCCGGGCGGGTTGTATCACAGCCAACCCCTCTCACCCTGCACATGGTCTGGTCCAACCTCTCCGCTCAGGCATGAGGCTACGGTCCATTCGGACCAGAACCTCCTGCCATAAGTACATTTTCTTCTTCTGCTGTTGGACTTCATAACCCTTACTACCAGGGCTGGACTGGGACCAAAAACCGGCCCAGGTATTTTTGCCTCCTTGATGGCCCGGCCGGGTTTTTACATAAAAAAAAAAAAAAAAAAATATATATATATATATATATATATATGATTATTTATACGGTATGCGAAAGCACATACTGTAGAGGATGTATGCAGTTTCAACAATTAAAATAAAGTGCAATAGTCCACATTATTATATTATTATTATAAGAGAGTAATAAACATGTCACTATACATAGTTCCCACATGACGTCACTACATACGGGGATTTGCCGACCCGGCGCCATTTGTCTTGGCATTCTGTGGGCAAAACAATAGAAAAAGAAGCTGAAACGTGTTAATGTCGTGATAAAGTTGAAAATGGTCATCTCCTGCTGGGTCAATGGATGTTCAAATCGTGCCGGAGGTTCCGTTAAACTTGGATTTTACAGTATACCCATCATTAGACTTCATGAATGTGAGAAGACTAAGCTTTTGTCAGAACAACGACGGAGGTTATGGCTTGCGAAGATAAACAGGCAAGAAACTCCCTCAAAACACGCAAGAATATGCTCGGAGCACTTTGTGTCAGGTGCGTATCGTATCTTATAATGTGTTGACAGACGTAATTTACTCAGTACTAACTTGTGTATGCTGATATCTGGTAACTTGAGAGTTTCATTATTTAGCGTTAGATTACTTTATTATGAGGAGGATCGGTGTCGCGTCCGAGGCTCTCGAGGGCAACGTAAATGTATTAAATAGATAATAATAGTTCTATGGTGGGCTAAAACAATGTTCACAAACAGCATTGCTTCTGTAAAAAGATCTGTGTCATAAAATAAACTGCTCTTTACGCCTGGAAAAATCAGTTGCCCACCATTCACCAAAACATACGGTCAAAAACGCAGAAATAAACAATAACAGCAATCCAGAGTGTCCGTGTGGCATTAGCATTAATTAAATTAATTGTTAATATAATTAAAATAATTAAATGGAGCTCCAACTGGTATTAAATCTAAAGTTTTTGAGAAATGTTTGCATTGCTTGTTAATTTTTGCTGCATAATTTGATCAAATATGTAAAACATGTCCGTAGCACGTTAAACTGTGGTGCCATTGTATTAATATACAATTATTTGCTCAAAAGTTGCCCTTTTTTTCCAATTTGCGTTTGAATATCTACATTTATTCTCATTCTTCTGTTTAATGGTGTGCACAAACACAGCAGCGTGCCATCAAAGATGGCGTCTCCGAGGAGGTCATGTGACATTCATTGGTCTGTGGGAACTATGTGAGGGAGATGGCCACAGAACAACACTATTGTTGTTTGTCACAGGGATGAGAATGGGACATTTCAAATAAGTCTGAAATAATGTCAGCCAATGGCTGTCATTAAATCTGTTTTATTTGTTCACAGCCTTTTATTTTGGGCACAACCAACATGGGCTGTTAATGCAATGGAAAATTTAGATACCCCAACTTTAATTTAGCGAGTTTAGTTGAACTTCAGGGGAGACACGGGCACTTCCCGAGGCTTTATAATACAGCTCTGTTTCTTGCAGCGGTGTATTTATAGCATGCACAGGTTACGCAAAGACACGCACACAACAAGCAGAGAATGGTCCTGTGCACATCCAAGGTCCTGGGAACATTATGACCATGTTGCGTCTGCACGTTCGCCAAGTTGTTGTCAAAGCCGTTCACAGCCGCTGGAGGTGGGAACCGCTGTCATTACAAAGCGGTCGCAGCTGCCCCTAGTCAGAAGACCGCTGCGACCGAGGAAGATGCGGAATTCCGTTTGAGTACATACAGCAAACAGCAAGTGCACTGCACTCATGTGCGCCAGCCTCGAATATTTCTTTACAGATTTACACATTTCACAAAAATTACACTTTCATTTTGTGCATGACCGGCCCAAATATGGGCAACGGCCCGATGGCCAGTCCAGCCCCGCTTACTACCCTTTATAAAGTCACTTTACTGCCCTTTATAAAGTAACATTACTTCCCATCATAACATCACTTTACTGCTGTCACCTTATTGCACTGCATATTACTGCATATTCTCTGCACCAAGTATACTTGTATATTTTATATAGTAAATTGTAATCATTTTAATTTAGATTTTTATACTTTTGCCTATTTTTTATTATGCCTTACTCTAATCTTTACCTGATGCACCGAGAGCCAAATCAATTTCCTAGTCTGTGACTTCATGTTACTTATATGGCAATAAAAAATGGTTGGACTAAAATGTATAATTACGGAACTTAAATCGACTGGAACAGTTGTAGGACGGACTGTTTTGAGTGGTGCGCACCGGACATCGGATGTGTTTTGTGATGACTCCATCTCATGGATCTATTACCATCTATGTTCGCCGTTGAACTGTCGTAGCAGCGCACTATATGGGCACATTGTGATCGGTTTTTGCCATTTATCAATTTTAGTGTTTCGTTAATCATGCCAAAAGTCGTATCGAGGAGTGTGGTCTGCTCTGACACTAGGGATCGTGAAGAATATGACGACGGAGAGAAGCCATTGCACGTCTACTACTGTCTCTGCGGGCAAATGGTGTTGGTTCTGGACTGTCAGCTTGAAAAGTTGCCCATGAGGCCCAAGGACAAAGCCAGAGTTATAGATGCTGCGAAACACGCTCACAAGTTTTGCAACGTGGAGCAGGACGAGACCACTTACATCAAAAGAGAAGCGGGTATTGAGAGGCAGTTCAGGAAGAAGTGCGGCAAGTGCGGACTGCTGCTTTTCTACCAGCATCAAGACAAGAACACCACCGCCACTTTTGTTGTTGACGGTGCCGTGGTGAAGTTTGGCCAGGGATTTGGAAATACCAGTGTGTACAGCCAAAAGCCACCCGAAGCCCCTAAGAAGGTGCGAGTGATGATGACCAAGAGGACCAAAGACATGGGGAAATTCAGCTCAGTCACTGTCTCCACCATCGATGAGGAAGAGGAGGAGATTGAAGCCAGAGAAGTGGCTGATTCCTACGCTCAAAACGCCAAAGTAATTGAAAAGCAGTTGGAGAGGAAGGGCATGAGCAAGAGAAGACTGCAGGAGCTGGCTGAGCTGGAGGCCAAAAAGGCTAAGATGAAGGGAACACTTATTGATAACCAATTTAAGTGAGGGACATGAAGGACATTTATATGAACATTTAAATCTGGAGTGCCTAACTTTTTTTGTTTCATAAATAATACATTTTGTTTGTCGAAACAGAAAGGGTCTGAAAATGTGTGAGCAAACATTGTGTCATCATTAGATGCCACGTTATCTTGAGCTGATTCGGTGGTCCCTTTTTTCACCTTTTCTGTCTCAAAAAGCTGATGTGACGGATAGAACCAAACTTTTTGAGACAGACATTTTATTACAATTTGTTTTTTTTTTGTAGTTTTAAAAGTTGGCTACCCAAGCTTTAACACCAATGTAAGACATATTTAGAACATTAAACATCACAATGCCTTTGGTATTTTCTGTAACATGTGGACAATGCAATACATTTTTTGCAATTATTGCCCCAATTTAGTCTGAATTGTAATGTCTTTTTGAGCCATGTTTGGCTAAGTGTGTTACCAAGGGTCAAATATTGTAATAAAGTATACTTTTTCATTATTTAATTTCTGTGGATAAGTTATATTATTCAAGTTTATTTTTCAGGAGAAATAAGGAGTGCACAGAAACTGATTAGTAGTTCTGAATAGAATAGCACAACTTTGTCTTTAAAATCCTTGTCTTGTCCTCGGGTCAAAATGACCTGCCACGGTGATTAAAAGTAGAAACACAATTCCCTTCTTTTCAAGCTGAATTTGGATGACTTTATCTAACTTGACTGGCTCTTACCAAAGGCATAAAGACACCTCTCTGTTTCTGAGTTCTGATAGGGAGGATGGGTCTGATACAGGGGGCAAATTCCCCTCTATTTTTTTGAGCTTTTGTGAAATAATTTTGATAAACCAACGATGTAAACAGCTACATAATTCTAACAATGATGTCTATTATTGTTAACATCTGTCAGCAGCAAAAATATATCGTACATATAATTGTAGTAGTGGTGAATCTTATGCCACCAACAACTTTTAGACCACAGTTTAGATTAAACAGTATTGTTTAATTGATCCACTTTAGTTGAAATAGTAAGAAATAGATAAACAGATACGTGCGTGCGTGTCTGTGAGTGTGCGTGTCTGTGTGAGTGTGCGCGTGTGCACGGTGGGCAATGATTCTGACATGCACACGCATATCTTCAGACTGTAAATATGGATCATGATCTGTATATATTATGATATGGATCTGTAAGTTGGTGTAATTTCATTCCGTAAATTTGGTGGCGCTATTGCGTTTTCTCACATTATGTTGTCACAGAAGAAAAAGTCCTGTCACGTGGAGACTTTTGTCCAATCGCAGTTATGCTCAAAAGTACCGGGGCAAACAACCATCTGAGGACAAAATGCTTTCCATAGCCGTTTAAAGTCGGTTAAGAAAAACAATCTCACGTTAAGAATTAATTCTTGGTGTGGTTTGACATCAGAGTCTGTTCTATTATTCAGATTTATCCTATTTGAAAGACTTTACGGTAAGCGTGCGAAACGTAGCCTGTTAGCATGTGCGTGCTGTCTGTGTACAACATTAAGCTAACGATAAGTTAATTGTTAGTCAAATAACATATGACGTAAATATAGCTCATGCTAATTGTATATTTAGCTCGTAAATACGAGACGTATCACTTTTCAAGGGTGAGAATGGACAGTAGAGCGCGCAATTACACTGTCACAAACCCTTGTTCAAAAAATCTCCAACGAATAGTTGATTCCAGGGATGACATTAACTTTATTTTTTAAGATGTTCTATGATAACATAGTTTCATTGATAAACAATTACTTCAGTCTCGTAATTACGTGGAGCCTATGAGTTTATCACCCTGGTACCTTGGTTAACATAGATTTTTGGCACTATCTAGCAGCTCTAATGTAATAAAGTGTGTTGTTTATAGGGATGGATGCAGAGGGCTTTGGGGAGCTGTTGCAGCAGGCGGAGCAGCTCGCTGCAGAGACCGAAGCGGTGTCAGAGCTTCCTCATGTTGAAAGAAACCTGCAGGAGATTCAGCAGGCGGGAGAGAGGCTGCGCTCACGCACCCTCACTCGTACCTCTCAGGATGCTGCTGATGTCAAAGCGTAAGAACTCACTGTTTATTTTACATGTACATATTATAAACAGTTTTTTTCTGCCCCCTTTTACAAGCTCAATATTGGTACATGTCCATAAAATCAAGATTTATGTAGGCCTATATCACCATTTATAGATTGTTCAATTGGCTTATTCTTTATCATCACTGTTTCTATATTTTTGATAAGAGATAACGTGCAAATATTGTAAATATTTGCAAATAATATTTTCGTGAGTAGGGTATTGTGAATAAGTCACTTATTGCTGTTGGCACAAGAATTTACGTTTGTATGTAATTAAATGTATACACTCAGCGTAGCCCTAGAGTTAGTTAAATTGCACTTAATACTAGCGATAGTTTTCCAGCAACATGATTTTCCATTCCATTCAATTCAATTCAACTTTATTATGGACTCAAGGTCCAAAAAGACAGCGACATCACAAACAACATTAAACTACAAACAAATAAATTACACAGTCCCTTTAAAAAGAAAGCTATACCAGTGCCTCCACATTAGCGACTGATAGCGAATGGCACTACAGGTGACCTCAACCAATGAACCAATTACTGCATTAACAGACTTATTCAAACGGCCATTATAATGAAAGAGCGGACCAGAAGCATGTCCTGGGAATTGAACTCCGGGAGTGACATTCAAATTAGGGTTGGGCGATATTTTTGTTGTACCGGTATACCGGTATAAGTAAATTAAATGATAAGAAAATGCCTTATACCGGTGAAAACGATCATTTAACACTGAAAACAGCGAGCGGAAGACACGTTTGTGTGCGGCGCACTTTGATGACGCATCTGTGCGGCACGTGTAGCAGAGCGGCGTGCAGGGACAACAACAACAGAGCAGAGAGCAAACATGGCTGAGGGCGGCGGTGAAGACCATGGTGAAGACATGCAGATTGTAGAAGACATTGTGCCAAAACGCGGAGCTACCTCAAACATATGGGAGTAGTTTGGGAACTAGATAAAAAGACGCAATTGTGTGTAACTATCGACAGTGGATCTAATGTTGTGAAAGCAGCTGCCCTAAACAACTGGACTCGAGTGGCTTGCTTCGGACACTCGCTCTCTCTCTCTCTCTCTCTCTCTCATAGTGCCATTGGTAAGCTTTATTTACTGTTTACTGTCATTCATTTTACTTCAATGCATGTGTTTGTCTACATTGCAATATAATTACAAATAAGTTATAATTACATAATTATAGAAACGCAAAAGGATACAAAAAATATATACAGTATTTGATCATTTTGACTATATTGGGATTAGGAAACATAAGCCAAAGTGATAAAATAATTATTTGATAATGCTACACTTTTTATATTACAAAGGACAAACTTTTATATATTTTACAAATTACAAATGTTCACCTTTATTACATGTTGCCTGCAATTTTCAGTATGTACAAAACAGAATTCTCTACAATTCAGTTTTGTTAATACGTTTTATATACAATAGCTGTATTACACATTTTGCTGCCAATAAATCAGTAAATGCACTTTAAGGCAAGTGTGTTTAAAATTATCAGTGCTAAGTTTTTATAGCTTTTATATGAGGCTTTGTTAAAATTATCATATCGTCATATCGTGATACATACCAACAAAAATCGTGATACATGCTGAGGCCCATATCGCCCAACCCTAATTCAAATCTAAATTTGGTTTTGGGCTACTGTGCTACTAATCGCTTAACTGAGTGTGGGTTTTTATTTGTTTAGTAATTAACTTATACTTTCAATGTTATAATTCCGGAACCTTTTTGCCTCAGAGAGCCAAAAATACTTTGAAAGGTATTTATGTGGATTATTCTGTAAAGATGTGATCTTTTTTTTTTTAAGACAAGATCAACACATTCAGTGTGTAATTTTAGTCTCAGAATGTATTATTTTGTTTTAATAACATTTTTACACTGACAAAATCCAATATATAAAACATTCTTACTATTTATGCCTTTTAGGACCAGACACAATCATCAATAGAGCCACATCTGGCTCTCGATGGTTTGTGGTTGAAACAGGTGTGGTTAATGTCTGATGTCCACTGCATCTGGTGTTTATACCTTCGTAGAGTTTATACCTTCGTAGAGTTTATAGTAGTTTTATGTAAATTATTTTGAAGAATAGGATGGAAATGGGTTTTACATATTGACCTGAAAACCAACCCCGATGCCCTACTTTGAATTTACACTGTAGTGCCCTCTAGTGGATTGAAAGCAATGGCATCGTTGTGAAAGATGATTTCTTGTTTATTTTTTGTACTTTTTTATTTCAGATCAATTCTCTTGGGTTCCAGAGGGTTGGATATATTTCACATTTCACAAAGACTTGAAACCTTGAGTGCTGCAACAACATTTGAACCCCTGGAACCAGTAAAAGACACTGACATTCAGGTATGGTATTAACCTTTTAAACATAAAGGCCGTCCATGTGACAGTGAAATGCCCTGAGAATGTTCATCCTCAAAAATTATGAGTAGAAAAATCATGATACATTTTGGCAGCAGTGACTTGTGAGTGGTTAGAACAATACAGCGCCGAACGAGATGACGGAAGGTCAGTGGTTCAATCCATATCTCTAACCTATGTTTGCATACTGTCTTGGTGTCCATGGGAAATTCACTTACTGTAATCTCTTGTTTCTATCCTTAATTGGTGGAATAAATGTTACAAAAGAACTTGATATAAAAATTCCGTTCGACTTTTATATATTTTAAATATTAACGTATTATTATTGTAGCCAATAATCTATTTCAGAGTTTCCCAAAGTGCGGTCAGAGCCACTCGAGTGGTATGTGCTGTCTTTTACACCATTTATATTTATTTTGAAAACCTGCGTGTAATAAACACATTTTACGGACATTGCACTAGTATTTATTGAAATGAATATTTATGAATATACTAGTGCTGTCCAAAATATCGCGTTATTAACGCGTTAACGCAAATCAATATTAACGGCGTCATTTTTCGCCCGATTAATTTTTGTTTTTTTCTTTGTTGTTTTTTTTACTTTTTATTGCAGACAAACACATATACAGGAAAAAAATAGAAAAATACAGGAAAATAGAAACAAAGAAAAGGACTAGTTCAGATACATTGTAGACAGAGATTACAAACAATATGTAGTTGGAGATACAGGGGGCCAAAGAAGAAACCCAGAAGGGCACATAGGAGGGGGGGGGGGACATGAAGTGGGAGATGGAGGGGAGGGGTTAATAAAAAAGGCAATACAAGCAAACAGTATACAGTCATAGATATACCGAAAGTAAACAGAGAAACAGCATAGAGTATTTACATGAACAAATTTACAAAATATTTACAGATTGTTTATCATCATCATAATGACACCATGATGTTTCTATACAGTCTATGGTCTATACCCACACATACACACCCACACACACACACACCCACACAAATGTGTGACTAATTTGCGATTAATCGCGAGTTAACTATGAAATTCATGCGATTAATCGCGACTAAATATTTTAATTGTTGGACAGCACTAGAATATACAAGTAAAAGCATTATATATCCTTTATATAATTGTCTGTGCAGAGGCCCAAAAGATCTTCCTATTGACAACAAAGGCCCCAGCTCTTAAGACTCAGAACAGAGGGTCTATTTCATTTACAGCAAATAGATCCGCACAAATAGCCTCCAATTGACAACAGCCATTATTACTTCATTTCCATTACTTTCTGATGTTTTTTTGTACACTGTGTAAAAAGACATTTGATTAAACTTGTATTTGACTTTTTTGAAATAAATATACATATTTTAGAAGAATTACCTCTCAATATTGTGGCTTTTGGATATAAAAATACATTTTTTTACATAATTAACTGCAAGCATATGTTTTAATGATTTAATTGAATCTTTCGTTACATTGTTGTCTTGGGGTCATAAGAAAATATATTTTTTAAACTGATGATCGGAAGGAGATAATCATCATTATAAGTACGGAGGTAGAGATCACATGACTCATGGTTGTGCAAAAAAGGCATGGCAGAGCTGGCAAAATGGCGACAGGCATTGAACTGACTGTCCATGTCTCACTTTTCCTCTGTACTGAGTTGTTTTTGTGTTTACTCGTAATGTATTGTATGCATGCCTATTATAATCCCTCACGATTTCTGGTTGCTGCACCCTTCAATGTGCATGGGACACATTCAGATGAAATTGGCTGAGCCCAGAGCATCTGCTTGGATATATACAGTACAAAGAGTGATCTTGTGGCGGCGGTGAACATACTACCCTGACCATGTCTAGAGTATGTGGGTTGTAAGCCATTGCAGTTCCTCCATGTTAATTCTCATGAATGAATGTGTAGCGTAGCGCTGTCTGCACGTGGCTTGCTTTTCCTTGTGTGTCTGCTGCGATGAATTACACACTTTATTAAATGCACGGTTGAGAATGTATGTGTCATGACGCTTTATGAATGAGGGCATGCTGTATCGATATATGGCCTATGTAATGGAATTTATGTGAGCTCTGCTTGGATTGTGGTCTGCTGGCAGTGAGCATATAGAAAGGCCTACCCTTACGTGCCTCTAAAACCCCTCATTAACTAAACATGACCCTTAAGAGCATGATTAGTCTCATTTCAAGACGGGATGTCGGAAGCCATCAACTGAGGGTTGAAAAATCCATTACTATAATTGCATTGAGCTGAGGGAGGGAGGAGAGAAACGGATGCATGGATGGTTGAAAGGGAGGAAAGTGAGTGGGAATGAGGTAGGGAGGAGGCTGTGGGCTTTCAGAGATGCTGCGATTAAATGAAGGAGGGAGAGGTTCAGGATGTAACATGAAGTCTGAGGAAGGGGGGTATCATCTGATAGTAGGAAGCGATCATCTATATGAACCATAGCTCTTTCTCACGGATCCCCCCTGTGTCTGGCTGCTTAGTTGGTACAATCCTCTGACAATAAAACCACCTCCAAAGACTCTTGATGTGGCACTTTTACTCAGCTTGCGAGCAAGAGTCACCTGTGCACTTTTTAGAAGAGAAAAGCTCGGAGTGGATGAGGATGCCACTTCACCCTAGCATGGGAGATCCATCGCAGTGGGGGGGTTGTTGTTGCCTCTTTGGTCCCGCCATGTACAGGGGTGCACTGGCACCAAGGTTTTTTATGCTTCTTAAATCTTTCCATTTAGAAGTAAAAATAAAAACTTCCACATCATATCTTGACCCGTTCCACCAGCCTGGAGGTTGGCCACTCCAATGTGAGTATCATGTGTTTCTGTCCTCATACACATGTATGATTTGTAATTTCATAATGACTGTTGTGTCTGCTTTCGATGAAAGACACGAACAATGGATTGAAAAGGCAAATGTGTAAAAGACAATTCTTTTTATTACGGCTTCATTATGTGTGACAAATTGTAACATCTAGAATTCTATTTTGTGTACAGTTAGTGTCATTGGGAAGGGTGGGGTTGCTATCATACGCGCACATGCATACACTCATGCGCACGCACACACACACACTCTAGTTGGGAGGTATTCTGTTCATTGTGTCAAGGCAAATAAGGACAGAAAGCTTTCATTGTTTTGTGAAAATAACTACCTTTTACTTTAGTAACCCATTCAGTATTTTTAAGTCAGTGCTTTTCCCCATATGTTTTTTTTGTTCATCTGTCCTATTCATTGTATATTTACTCAAGTTATGATACTTGTACGTGGTTAGTGATTTTCGTTTAGCTGAGGCACATTAGAACTAGTTGTCTGAGGGTTTTCACATGCGTCCTGCTTTGTGTCATGTTTTTCATCCGGTGTCAAACTGTTTCTTCAAATATATTGTGAATGTATTAAAAGCGATTGCATTTTTAAGTGCTATATTGAAATTACAAATCCTTTTTTTTTCTGGAATTGTCAATTGTAACGTGAAATACTGTATTTTGGTTCTGTTTTTTATTAAATACAGTAGCGTAGGATACAATACTTTTCGGAATAATTGTATGATAATACTTAATTACAGTAAAATAATCACATTTTGATTATGTCTTTTTTTGTGTGTGAATCTATTCTTCTGACACATTTGATTGTTTCTTTAATTAAGATCAATTCATTAAAAACATGAATTAATAGTCAACAATTAATAGTCAACAATTATTTGTCCGCAATTACTTTTTAAATTTTGTTAAACCAATAGACAATTATAATCCATCAAGACGCCTTTAGTCATAATGTACAAATGTAATAAACTGTTACATTTTGTCGTTTTTGTATAAATAGTAATTTTAGAATATATGAATATGATCTAAGTTTGACTACAATTTCTAAATTTTTTTTATCAGTCACACTGTATCTCAATATTGTCAAGCCTTGATCTTTATTACAGTGTGTTCACACATAAGTAAAAAAATAAAAATAAAGTATTAATTTAACAGTTAATTCTTCTCTCAAATAGTGTGTGTACTGTACATATTTTCTTTTAGTGTTCGAAAAGATTACTCTACTATTATTTCACCAACTGAAAAGATCTTAATAGATAAAGCTGATGTGAGTCTGAATGAGGATTAATGGATCATTAATACACACTTGTGTCGTTATTCCTGCTCTGTGCGATGACATTGCAGCATATTCATGTTTGGAGTTTGTATGTAGACTCTAGAGCAGTTGAAAATCATATGATTATTAACACAGTAGTTATTAAAAGTGATTATAGTTACTTTGTCCTTTATTATTATTATTATCTGTTTGTCATCTCAGATCAGTCTTGACATTGAGAAGACCTGTGCCAAACAACGTTCATGAAAATGAGATGTGTTTGTCGAGTTGTTTTAATGTTAAATTCGGCCAAGGAAAGAATATTATTATGTTAATGATTTGTAATAATGTTCATGCTCATTTTCTGAATGCACATTTTGATTTCTTTTACAGGGATTCCTAAAGAATGAAAGGGACAATGCACTCCTGTCGGCCATTGAGGAATCTCGCCGCAGGGTCAGTTCTAGCCTTGATCTATGGCTTGCATTACAATGTCTTATTGTACTTGTGAATTAAGAAATTTGTGGACATGTTCTGCTTGTAGTAATGTCCTGAAAACATGTAACTATACCAGTTCTATCAAATAGATCTTAAGATCGTCTGCTGTTTCCTTCAGGGAATGCTTTTAAAATGGCTTCCCTAATGTGCAGATCTAATAGGACTTGGTTAATTAGCTGCTGTTCATATTAACGCGCTTTGCTCCCGCAGGAAGAACCAAGCATCTGAAAGTGACATTATGTTGAATTGCTTTAATTTGTAGTTTTACTTAAGCAATTGTTATATATGCACTTTTTTCATAATTTTCCATCCCATACATAAGATTACATTGTAGTAATAATGTATGTACTATATTTAAACTACTATACTGTGAATGTGTATAAAATGTATAGAGCAAAATTAACCCATTACCTTTAAACTAGATTCATAGTCCCTAAGCTGGTTATTAATTATCTTCTGATCCCATTACCTTATTTTCAGTCTCTATGGAGGGTTAAATTAGATTCATAGCTGCCCTTGTGGATTTGTACACATTTGTTCACTTGCTCCTCCATGATTAGAATTTGATTTTGAACACCACAGTTGGTGGAAGTAACCCACTAGGTGACTTATAGGCATGTGTCCACTCGTTTGCCTTGGGGAGGACTGTTGCAGAATATCTTCCCACTGCGCAGAGCCGTTTAAGGGGTCCTACATGAGGTACTCTCTCCTTAATGGGTCCAACCCTGTTTGGCATCTTGCTCACTTTATGGGACACACCACTCTGCAGAGGAGAGACAACGGGCTAAGATTCAGGATTTCAAGATGAGAAAACAATTAAAACGATTCATTCTTTCGGTGGGACATTATATGTACTACATGCAGTCTCTTGTTTCATAACACAAGGATCAAAAATATTTTTTGTGTACTGAAAATTTTGATTTCCTTTTTAACACAAGGCTGTGTCTGACCTCATTTGCAGACATTCCTCTTGGCAGAAGAATACCACCGGGAGTCGATGCTTGTGCAGTGGGAGCAGGTGAAGCAGAGAGTTCTACACACACTCCTTGGAGAAGGAGAAGATGCTCTGGACTTCACTCAAGATATGGAGGTATCACATGAAATCAGATATTCGTCATTCTCTGCTCGGCTGTTACAAAAAAATTCATGCTTTCATGCTCACTGGTGGAGATGTTGCATATGTGCGTTCGGATCTCAACATTCTGTCAAATTGCTTCACTAAAATCTTCTGCCATAAAATATTTATGTTGAGCTATGTCTTGTATTACTGTGTTACAACTTCATGTGTGGTAAGTGTTTGGCTCCACATCTTTACATGTATTAATAGTTATTCAATAGATCTAGCTTCGACAGTATTATCATGTTAAGGCTTTAATGCAATATTCTTTGACAAAGCTGTTCCATTTACACAGATCCTGTCTGTTACTATAATGGCTTATATTCACACACGTACTGTTATTATATGTGCTTGTTCTATCAGAATAAGCGCAGTTGTTATTTTTGAATCGTCATAAACATTTTATTGACCTACGACCCATTTTGCAATTGTCCCAGAAATCAAATGCTTTGTTCAGCCAAGGCTTTATGCATATGCAGATAACTGAAGCTATCTTCTTTGTTTCATGGGGCAGCCCAGTTTTGTGAGTGAAGTTTCAGCCCCCGGAAGAAGTGCTTTGGACAGCACAGAAGTGGCTTATGGCCGACAGGTAATTTATACATTCAAAGCCAACTTCAATGATGGATATAAGCTACTAGGTTTTGTGTATTTGTTTAGTTTCTGCTTCTCACAATTTTTCCTGTTCCCATTTTGGTGTTTTAATGGGGGTTATACAGCGAAGCAGGAAATGACAAATCATATTGATCATCCTATTGATTGGGTGGAGCAAACAGACATGGGGTATTTTCTCTCTCTGGCTTTGTTCTGTCTGTCCTGTACTCCTCAGTCAAAGCCTCCCCTAACCATGTGCCGCCACATTGCCTGTGGTGTCATTTGTCTTGTTTTTGTAATCTTCTTTGATGATCTTTGGAATATTTTTATACTTTTTACATTATTCTTGATAGTGAACCATTTTACTCGATGGGGATAAAAAAATTTATATCACAAGGCTGGTATTTTGCATAAGGATTAGTGAAAAGTTTTTAAGAATGTAATTTATGCCTGCTTTTCCTCTTGCAGATATACATTTTCAATGAAAAGATAGTGAATGGTCACATACAGCCAAATCTGGGTGACCTGTGTGCTGCTGTCGCTGAGGGTCTTGATGACAAGGTAAGCAACATGTTCTATCTCATAATATAACTACATCAATATAAAGATGTTTCATTCTACCAGTAATGGCTAAACTTTTGTTTATTTGTAGAATGTGTCTGATGTCTGGTCCATGGTGAAGCAGATGACTGATGTGTTGCTGGTTCCGGCCAAAGATACTCTTAGAAGCCGCACTTCTCTGGATATGCAGTTGGCTTTTGTCAGAAAGGCAGTTAGTTTTTTGGAAAGCAGGTAAGTTGCTTTTATTGTGGATATACATTCTGTATACTTCCTCCAACATGTCCAAACCCAACCATGTTTCCCACAGCTGTACAACACTACCCTTGTATCATGGACAACTCAATGTCATATGTAACGCTTTGTAGGGCTAGGCGGGGTGACTGCGAAATGTATTGTGGGCATACTCGTTCAAAATCTGATATAGACCTTTTCCCGTCGTTTTATTCTTTATATTCAATACCACTTTTTAATGTTATGTTATATTTTTTGAGTTACCTTGTCCAAGCTTGTAGTTCAATGATGTTTTCACATCTGGATTGTGTTTGTATTTATGTTTTAGCTACAAAAACTACACTATGGTGACTGTCTATGGAAACCTTCATCAAGCACAGCTCGGAGGAGTGCCAGGAACATACCAGCTTGTCCGCAGTTTTCTTAACATCAAACTACCAGGACCTCTGCCCGGCATGCAGGTAAAAGACGAATTAAAAAACAATTAATGATTGTTTTGGCTCAATAAAAACAAAAGATGTAGATGAGATGAGATGTATTAATCTCATTGTGCTTTACAGGACGGTGAGATCGAGGGCCATCCTGTATGGGCAGTCATTTATTACTGCTTACGTTGTGGAGACCTGAGCGCAGCCATGCAGGTGGTGAATAGAGTGCAGCATCAGCTTGGAGATTTCAAGACCTGGTTTCAAGAATACATGCTCAGCCCTGACAAGAGGTATGCGTTTCATTCTCTCCTTCTATTACCTCTGCCTTCTTTTTAAACCGTGCTACAACAATGTTTGCTCGTGGAAAAATCATACCCAAAGTTCTTCTTAGGTTCATCCACAATGATATCTTGAAACGCAGGCAAAAAAATAGGCTGGGTTACAATGGAGGTGCATAGGATTGGGAATTGTAACAAAAAAACTACATTAATAAAATGTTTTTTTTGCCTCTAATGGTAAATGTGAATGTACTTGTCAGTGTAAAGCTAATTCCTCCTGCAGGAAACTCAAGGGTGAATTTTATAGTGGCCAAAAAAGTATTTCATCAGCCACCAATTGTGCAAGTCCTCCAACTTAAAAGTATGAGAGATGCCTGTAGTTTTCATTATGGGTACACCTTAACTATGAGGGAAAAATTTAGAAAATAAGTCCAGAAAATCACATTTAAAAAGAACTTGCCAACCACTGCTCCTGACAGAGGCCATGTAGAGGACGCTACAGTAATCATTAAAGTGGACCTTAACCATTTTGACGTGAAAAGTTCTGTCCTTTTGCATGTTTTATTAGGCTTACACCAACATCAGAAAACAAACTTCGGCTGCACTACCGCAGAGTGCTGAGGAACTGTGCTGATCCATACAAGAGGGCTGTCTACTGCCTGCTTGGTAAATGTGACATCAGTGACAACCACGGGGAGGTGGCTGACAAGACAGAAGACTATTTGTGGCTTAAGGTATGCCTCAAAGACCTACTTTTTACATCTTATTTGATTGATTTCAGTGAATAGTTTGTTCTCCCAACAGCTGAGCCAGGTGTGTTTTGACGATGACAGCAGCAGCGCTCCCCAGGACAGACTCACTCTCCCACAGCTGCAAAAACAGCTTCTGGAAGACTATGGTAAGAATGAATGCAAATGAATGGTTAAATAATGTCATTCTTTGTGATCTCCTAATTAAGCACCTGTTGAAAATGTGAGGTTTGATTTACAAACGGGGCGAGGAGGAGCTTTGAGTCGCCCCGATTTAGACCTAGTTCTTCCCCCTGTGTGTATTTGCTCTATTGGCCACTTCTGCTCAGTTCAGATAAGGCTGTGCTCCTTTTCCCTCCTTTTCCGTCGCCTGGTAACCTCTCACAGTCCTCCATCTTGGCTCACAGCAGGACACAAAACCTGGGAGCATCTCTTGATTTCTCTCTTCAGTCTTTGCCAACTGGGTCGGATCTAGCCCTGCTGTCTTCCTCAATAGTTTAATACTTCTCTGTTTAGGGCAGCAAGATGCATCCTAATGGAATCAAATTCAATTACCAATTTACAAGGACCCGCAGTTATTAACCTGAATGATTTCCTTCAACCTCAAATTATCTTGGACAGAGATACAACTATGACTTGCAAAAACAAAATTGTGAAACGGTGTAAAGTTGAGTCAAAATTGAGGCACACATTAAATTGTAACTGAATGGGCGGTAGCAGACAGACCGTCCTATAACCTCTCCACCAATCCTACTTTATTTATGTAGCACAACAAAACCATGACCAACAATTTATTTTCAAAGTGCTGTACAGAGAAACAATAAAAAACTAAATAATTTAAATTAAGACACACGTTTTTTGTTGCGTTGGTGCTTTGTCTTTATTTGCATCAATAAATGCAAATAAAAAAATTGAAAAAAAAAATGTCCAAAAAGAATTGTTATGCTTGTGTATCTTGTTTGCATATAAATTGCCATTATTTGGAAAATTCCTTGAACCTTTTTATTTGATGGTCAACTAAATTCGTCTTAATTCAAGCCCATTTCTGTGAATTGTTCTTACACTGGTTTTCATGCCATTAAAGCTTCACACATCAAAATGCGAATTCTCAGGGACAAGTTGAAAATGTCATCCAAAACATTAAAAAAAAAGTTTAATGGGCGTTCAGCAATCTCTGAAATCGCCCAGCACGATCTCTGTTCCCTTTGCGCGGTCCACACCTCTCCTTCTGGTGTTTTGTGCCCGTTTTCCCTCACTGTTCTGTAGATTTGTCCTTCCTGATTGCTTGTTTGCGCGCTGCTGCAGTCTGCATACTCCCACACTCTTATCTCCCAGCCTTCGTCCTTCCTCCTCATCACTCTCTCGCTCTCGTCTCCAGAACGCAGCCGCTTTTTGAACTAAAGTGCTGCCAGTCTGAGATAAGCCTCTAAAATGGCTGACACGGTCCACCCTGTTCTATTCCGCACACTTTTTAGCCGGCTAGAGGATTAGGAATTATAATTAAAAAAGTAAAGTTGATGACTAAGTACCTGCACCACACAAAATGTTTTTACTCATGGGTGGTGGTGGTTGCTATAGTAACACATGTTTTTGGGGCAGTTTGTACAGATGCTAAATGCAATTGGAGATAAATTATCACAATATTCTATACAATTTACCATCTGGAAGTTACTTTAAGCTATTGACTAACACGATAGATTTTTTTTATGGATAAGATCAGTTTTTCTCAACTCATATTTTAAAGCTGGCGTACCCAACTTTCTTCATAATAATACGTTTAGTTGGCTCAGACCACATTCTGCAGGCTTGTGACTTATAAAATGTATTTTTGAATCAATATTTGACACATCATCCTTTTTTTTTGTCAAAAAAAAGGCAAAAAAAAATGTTTTTTTACATTAATTATATTTTTTGTGGTTTGAAATTTAAAGTACTACAGCTTTAAACATTTGTGGTATGGAATTGTGTTTGAATTTAAAAGGATTCATATTTAAGAATTTGTAGGAATGAGGTTATGAATCACTCAACGCATAAAAGTCCAGCAATCCATACATTTTCTTCCCCTTTGTCCATATCTGGGTCGGGGGTGTGGCAGTCAAAGTTACACCCAATTCACAGAGCACCAGCCTCTCACTGATCCCCCTGCAGATGGTGAGTCCACAGGAGGATGGCTGCTCTGTCAGTGACAGCAGAGCCTTGATCTTTCAGCGGGGGCTTCAGGCAGAGGGGGTTAGGTGATTTTACAACAAAATTATATTATGCCAACGACTCGGTAAAAAGCAAAGTGGTCAAACTGTTGAACAATCACAAAAAGCTTGTCATTACAAATACATTTTACAAACGGTAAATGGTGATCCCCAAAATAAGGCTCAAACTTTAATGTATTGAACTAATTTGGTCTATTAGTTATTCCATGCAGCTGTTGTTGCATTTTTCACTGTTGTCTGACTGAGTTGTTTTCTTGCCTCCGCAGGAGAGACGCACTTCTCAGCGAGCCAGCAGCCCTTCCTGTATTTCCAGGTGCTGTTCCTGACCGCTCAGTTTGAGGCGGCCGTGGCGTTCCTGTTTCGTGCGGAAAGGCTGCGCAGTCACGCCGTCCACGTGGCCCTGGTGCTTTATGAGCTCCAACTGCTGCTGAAGGCGTCTGGACAAAGTGCTCAGCTTCGTGAGTGCCACTATCACTAGTCACTTTTACTGCTAGTCTGGCCCCTGTTAGTGAGGTTATGTCCTCACTTTTGGGCAACAAGCTCGTCTCTATCCCCGCTCAAATTAGCACGCACTGATTGATCAAAATGCTCACATGTTTTCTCTTTTTGCAAAGTATCATTGAGATACTACCAATGCACACCTACTCCTGAGAGGAATAGAATAAACCAAAATGCTAGTCGTCTGCTAGCTGTTTGGGTCGGCAAACTTTAAGCACGCCTTGAATGGAAGGCCATCTTTTTGAATTAAATCTGTATGTTTAGCACACCAGCCTTGTACGATTTACAGAGTTGTTGGTTTGGTTGAACAATAAATGCTAATAATGTATTTAAATTATGTGGAACATGCCAAGTAATTCAATAACAATCAGGAGGAAAACTCGATAAGAAATGGGCACTTGCAGTATCCATTTTAACACAAAATAAGATAAATGGATGACTTCTGCAGTCATAATCAAATTGAGTCTACTTGTGTGTGTGTGTGTGTGTGTGTGTGTGTGTAATATATATATATATATATACATATTACACACACAAAAAAAAAAAAAAAAAAAAAAAATTATATATATATATATTTTTTTTACACAGTAAGCCAAGAACCCGGAGATCCCCCCATGGTCCGCAGACTGAACTTCATCCGCCTGCTCATGCTTTACACCCGCAAGTTTGAGTCCACTGACCCCCGGGAAGCCCTACAGTACTTTTATTTCTTACGGTGAGATAACGTTTCTGTTTAGTCTGCAAAAAAACCTATGGTGCAACATTGACATTAACGTCTTTCTTCTGCCTTCTTTTGGAGCAGCAACGAGAAGGACAGCCAAGGAGAAAACATGTTTATGCGTTGTGTTAGCGAGCTTGTTATTGAGAGCCGTGAGGTGAGCGATACTTTAATACAAGGGCACCTGATAAAACTCATCATTATGCTTTGATTTATTGCAATTCTACATTATATTTGCATTTAAAACGGTATCGCATTACGTGACTTTGTCTGTTCCAGTTCGACATGCTACTGGGGAGGTTAGAGAAGGATGGCAGCAGAAAGGTAGATGCTCATACAGATTTATGCCTCATTGTTCTAATATTGTCTGGATGGCTTCCATTATATTCTGTGAACTGCTTGTGTTGAATCCCTTGCGCTACTGAAACTATTTTCTGTTATTTTCCTTTCCCAGCCTGGAGTCATAGATAAGTTTGCTGGCGATACAAAAGCCATCATCAGTAAAGTGGCCCTGGAGGCTGAGAACAAGGGCTTGTTTGAAGAGGCAGTCAAACTCTATGAGCTGGCCAGAGTAAGTCATATTGTGTTAGTGCTTGCTGTGATTTTTCGTCATTGATAACTGTTGGTTTTCCCCCTGGTCTGCGCAGAACTCTGATAAGGTTTTGGAGCTTATGAACAGGCTTCTGAGCCCAGTGATCGCACAGGTCAGCGCGCCACAGTCCAACAAGGAGAGGCTCAAGAACACAGCCGTGGCCATTGCTGAGAGGTTATTGAATCAATCAATCCATTCCATTTATTTACACTTTATTTGTATAATTTGTAAGTACTTTTTTAAACCTGCATCAACTTTAAGCGGGGCCCCAATAAGTATAACATTGTTTAGGGTGCAAGAATGTGTATTTATATAAAGGTACAGTTTTCTAGTACTGCTAAATTTCTAATAGCTGATGGTCTTGCACATTGTAACATAACAACTAAATAATTCATATTTCAGTAAACACCAATAATACATCATAGTGTACATGACTTATTTTTTTTTTCATCATTTAATTATTCATGGTGTGGTTTAATGTATGAGTTGTACCAGTGCAAAAATAAACTTAAATAGTTTGAAGGTGCTAAATAGGGCTGGTTATTATTTTTCAGGTACCGCTCCCAAGGTATATCAGGGGAGAAATCTGTGGACAGCACTTTCTATCTGCTTCTGGACTTGATGACGTTTTTTGACGAGTACCATGCGGGACACATTGACAGAGCCTACGATGTATGTTTGCTCAGAGTATTGTTTCATCGTTATAAACGAATGAATGGTAAAATGTAGTGTTTTTAGGTGATGGAGCGTTTAAAGCTTCTGCCTCTCAGTCAGGAGAGCATTGAAGAGAGAGTGACTGCATTCAGAAACTTCAGCGATGAGGTAAAAAATAGTTGACAATTTGCAACAAAGGAATGTTGGAGCACTTTATCTGGCAAGTGTTCCATCGATTGTTACTTTTGATGAAAATATATATATATTTACTTTTTTATATATTCTTAGCAACATATTTAACCCTTTGGGCACTTTAGAAGTTTGATGTGAAACAGACAAAAGATGGAGGCCACATAATTGGCTGCTGTATAGAACGTGTCCTGTTGCTTTGGCACTTAAAGGGTTAAAGTATGATTATTTTCCATGAAAACTTCTTTAATACTAATCACAAATCACATTCAGAGTTGTCAATACCTAGAAAAAGTAGTTCTGTTACTTGATGTATTAATGTTAAAAACTAAAAATATTGTTCGGTTATGCCTAAGGGGCCTTACAACTGATACGCTTTTTACTGTTTTATTTTTTGTCAGGTCCGCCATAACTTGTCAGAGGTGCTGCTGGCCACCATGAATATTTTGTTTACTCAATACAAGCGGCTGAAAAGTGCCCCGGCGGGGACACCAGGAAGATCTCAAAGGACCATTGATGACAGAGATGTGGTAGGAAATGTTTCATCTATAATGTAATGTATTATTTGCATGCACTTAACACACTCGACCTCTTCGACAGCAACTGCGCAATCAGGCCAGGGCTCTGATCACCTTCGCTGGGATGATTCCTTACAATATGGCAGGCGACACCAACGCAAGGCTGGTGCAGATGGAACTACTAATGAACTGAGACAAAAAACAAACAAATGTATGTGTTAAAAAAAAAATGTCACTTTTTTAAATTTTGTGTTTGCCATTTTCAATTCTTTTCTTCTGTCAACCCCACCTTTTTATTGTTCATGTTTGCATCATTTGGAATAAAAAAAAACATTCTTCTGTTTCTGTTGTCAGTTTTCATGTTGTTTATTTTTTGTTTATTTTGTTGCTAACACCTTTTTTTGTGCCTTTTTAGTCTTATTATAGGCAAGAATTAGACGACTACGGAGGTGCAATGTGGGTCAACCCAATCCTATTATTAGATCTTATGAACAGAACCTTTCCAAATAAAGAATACTTCCAACAATGACAATCCACTTTGAGGGGTAGGCCCATAGATGTATTATAAAATCCTGTTTCACATCGACATGTGTACCAGTACTAACCTTGCATTTGTGGATTGTTTTTTTGCAGTAGTAGCGTACCCGGCTTTTAAACTTTAAAATCTGGCTTTTTTATATGAAGAAATAATTTAGGGACAAGCTAACGTCCCACCAGCCTTTCATTTAAATTTGTAATCCACTGTTTGTCCTTGAGCTTGGCCCGAGAGGAGCAGATGGAGCCTCATTCTGTGTTCTATATACTGTAGAGGCATGTGGAGTTTGCTGAAGGCCATAGACACTGGAGGGTTCTGTGTCCTGTGTATAGACATAATGTACAGTGCTTTGTGACAGCTGAAGACGGCCCTATCCAGTGAATTGGGTGCGTGTGCTGCAGCTGGTGTTGTGAATCAGGCCGATGAAAGACACCGCCAATAACCCGGCTATTTCACAACACCAGGGTCGCACTCCACCACTGACCACGAGATCAAGATGATGTTAGTGATGAATAATACAGAGGGTAATAAAATGAATACAAAATAATCTGATCTGTTCAAAACTCGTTTTTCATTCATGCACAACTAACACTTGGACATTTTTTAACATATGACAATGCATGGGTGAAACTGTTTCCTCTGGTGCATTTATTGTTCAGGCTGGTCTCCAACAGCCCTTGTTCACTGTCACTGATGAGCAGCCTATTGTGATGTATCCCTTATAAACAGATGGCTTAGTGAAACAAGGGTGCTGTGTGCAGCCTGTGGTCATGACCATTTGGCAGCTGAAGAAGTGCATTGTCCCAGTTCTTACATCCCATTTGACACTTGTTTCCTACCAGTAACATTTTATAGCTACATAACTCCAGTCCTTTTCTTGTATAATTAGACTAGGACAATTCGTAGTCTATGAGTGTGGGTGCTTTTTAAACCAATGTGGACCAATGTGACACAAGATCATATGTACTGCTTACAGAATGGCCTAAATTGTGTTCAGCAATAAATATATCTCCAGTTTGTAAAAATGATCGAATGATAGGGTGACTAGCGTATAGATGTATAGGCCTAGAAAAACCCCAAATGGTTTGGATTAATCTGGAACATGACTCAATCGTCCTGGCTACACCTGAGTAAATGTAAAACAGATTGTCTTTTGCTATTCATTGGCTTTTTACCGGAAATGAAACAAATACATATATAAATAAATATGTTACAATTGTGGACAAAAACAATACTACACATATTACAATTACATTTCAAATAATTGTCGTCTTGTCGCACAAATGAAAAGGAGCAGAAAGAAGAAAAAAAATCTTATGTTGCCTGCCCCTTTCTTCATACATGTACAAATTAAATAAATTATATATATATATATATATATATATATATATATATATATATAATATATATATATATATATATATATATATATATATATATATATATATATATATATATATATATATATATATATATATATATATATATAGATGCATATACATATAATTCACAATAAACGTTCAAATAAGTAAACATGTAAAAATCAGTACAGGTTTATACCACCAAGGTCAGCAAAGGATGAAGAAATGGGTGTTTTTATTTGGATGCAGTCACTAACGCAGGGTAGTCCCAGTTATTTTACCAAAACTATCTTTCCTCACTAAAGCCTTCTAAGTACATGACTATGGTTTTATAATCGAGATAAGTAGGGAAAAAAGTAGAGTTTCAAGATTGCAATGCTCAGGTGTGCTTAATTAGTGCGGCACGTGACCTGCACAATGGCGTCGGAGAGCGCCCAATATAAATCTTAGTAAAAAATACTAGAAAAACAACAATGATTTACAGAGCTTTGAAGGTAAGTGCTGACTGGAAACACAAAATTAAACAATAGATCCTCTATAAAACAATGACTTTATATCAGCTGGGCGTGGTCCTTGTGGTCCTTGTGGTTCTCATTGGATTTGAGTCCAAACACTTTGTCAACGGTGAGTACAGACAAAGCTGCCTTCATGGGTGAGTATTATGAGAATTATAAGTATTAGTAATGTATGTCTTACTCTTTTTCTAACAGGTCGTTGCAGTGTGCGTCGTTGTAAAAATGACACAACATGTATCATCTCCCAAGACCATAGAAGCTGCAAGTGTGTCCAGGGATATTATGGCGACCACTGTGACCAAAGTAAATCCTCTATTCTAGCCATTTGAATTGTGGTATATCATTTTAAAGGCCTTTTCATTTGGTGAATTAATTCTAGGGTACTTAACTTTCAAACTACAAAAGAATGAAACTAATGTGTACAATCTTGCAAACTAGTTCTCTGCTCTTAAAACAGTATCACAAGTCACTATCTTGTCTATCACCTTTGCTTGTATTTTTGGAACAACCTCATTCAGCAAATTGTTCTCAGCCCAAAGCTTGAGAATGTAACATGTAAGATGTTCTCTAGTCAACTACTGGATCCATATTAGGGTCTGATTTGTTCACATTTTAATATGCCAAGACTTTCTGTTGAAACAAACGCGTATTATTAAACGAAAGTCAGGTACCCCAGCTTTAACATTTGACCAAGAGCATTGAGCATGACCAAAAGAATTTTCCGGCAATCAGTAAAAACTAAATTGTTTTTTTCTTTTAACTATTTCAGGTGCACATCTTCAAGTTATTTGTGAAAGAGACTCCATCAGTATCCGAGCACTAGAAAGTTTCTTCACTTATCTCAAAGTGCCCCTGGACTCTTTGCATTTACCCAATAAGTCATGTCGAGCTGTGAAGGAGCTGATTAATGGCGTTTCATACTACAGTGCTAAGGTTGCTAAAGGCAAATATTTAACGTGTGGAGGCAAACCGCTAGAGGTAAGGTTAAGAGAGAAAAAAAAAATCAGCCAATGTCCAATCATTAATGTTCAGTGCTTGCTTTGACAGAAAAACTTTACTCATATTTCCTATTCATCAACTTTGATGTCAAACCCACGGGTGACAGGAAATCTTATCAGAGAGCCTGCTGTGAAAATAGACTTCAAATGTGTATTTCCATACATCAGGACTGTCAGTCTGAAATACCCAGTCTTCCCATTTTTCAGGTTATTTTACACGGGGGGGGGGGGGGGGGGGTTTATCATTGGATGTACTTATTTTGAAACCCTCTTCCCTGTTCTTAGTGAAACTGTGGTGCGAGTAGAAGAGCTTGAAGCCACAATCCAGATGATGCTGTACACAGACCACTCTTACAACCAGCCCTACACCTTTGCCCCCTCCATTGAGCTGGGTGATAAGGTGACTGCCTTGGAATGGTTCAGCTTAAGCACCTGTTTTATGTCAGTCTTACACTCCTGCACCTCTTTTTCTTTTTTTCACTAATTAGGTGTATGTGGAAGTGATGGTGACCGAACCGGCAGATTTCTTTCTGCTGCGGGTTAATGAGTGTTCGGCCACTCAAAGTCCCCAGGCCAACTCCACTGATGGTGACGTTCATAGGCTCCTTCTAAATGGGTCAGTAGCCTCCCACAGCAAAAACTCTGGGTGGGACAAGATGAAACGATTAGGTCCATGGGAACAAGACACAAATTATTTTTTTGTTTGCCAAAAACTCTCAACTATTCGTTTTGATCGCAACATGTTTCTTGAGGGTAATATTTGTAATTTTTTTTTTTTTTTTTTTTACGCAGTTATTCTATAAACAAGGATTTATTTAGGATATCAACTAATGCAAATTTTAGTTGACTAGGATTCCAGTGAGTGAGGAAATTGAAGACCAGTGGCCTGTGAAATGAATTAGTGGAGCAGAGTTTAGACATGGGAAAACTCATTCTAAGGCTGTGCTGTTTTTTATCTGCAGGAAAATGTTGAAAGCAACACATTTTGACCATACTATATTTTGATTTACTTTATTTTGTACTTATTATTATTTGTCATAGTAGCAAGTGTGGCATTAGAGGAATATTTGATCTCAAAATGGCCAGTTTGGGCCCAGCCATTTATCCCATGTTTTGGTCCAAGCCAAAATGTAAATGGCAAAAGGGTGCACACTTGTCTAATCCTTACACTTACTACTGCCCTTTTATTTTTTTACTGTTTATAAAGCCAGTATTTCTACTTCTCGTGTAGATGTGTTGGGGATGACACTGTCCTGTTTCTTAATGAGAGCAATGGTGAAGGCTCCATCGTTCGCTACAGCTTCGAAATGTTCCAATTCACCACAGAACCATATGACGTTTATTTGCACTGCGCGGTTCAGATCTGTGAGCCAGGGGACTACAGGACGTGTAAACCTGTAAGTGCGTGTGTAAATGTGTGCTTTCGCTGTTGTTCCTCATTGTATATTTAAATGCATTGGTTTTATAGAACTGCAACTCGAACACTAAAAGAGAAGTGCGATCAGCCATGACGGCTAACGGCCTTCTGTCGTATGGACCAATCAGGCTGGATGTGTCTGAAAAAGTTCAGTCCAGTGAGTTGATGTTTTCATTGTTCATTTGTGCATTTGTTGCCTTGGTGCCAGTTATCTTGGTCTTTCAGACATTTTGGCGTCGGTGGTGCTGCCTGTTGCTGGAGTTTGGATTGCTGGCTTTTTTCTGGTCATCCTCATCATGGTGGCAAAGGCTGGACACCGGAGGGCAACTCAAGCAAATAACTGACAATGACCAAATGTGAATAAAACTGATCAAGAAGTCCTCAAGTGTCTGTATTGTTATGAATCTTTCAGTGTTAAACTATATCCGTATTGCTTTTGTGTAGTGTTATGTTACTTTTAATCAGAAGTTTACATTACAGTGCCGATTTAACATGTGGTTAAAATACTCAAGCTTTTGGTGGCTGAATGGATAGCACTCTTGCTTCTCAGCAAGAAGGTCCTGGGTTCGAATACCGGTCGGAACAGGGCCTTTCTGAGTGGAGTTTGCATGTTTTCCCCGTGTCTGCGTAGGTTTCCTCTGGGTGCTCCGGTTTCCCCTACCACTAAAAACATGCATAATAGGTATGAATGTAAATGAGAGTGAATGGATGGTGTTGATTGGGGGCTGATGCACCGGTGTGTTCGGCGACTCGCTTCAGTCATCACCGTGTGTGGAAGGATTGGAACAATATCTGAACTCTGAACATTGTAAAGCCCTTTGGGTGACCTTGGTCTGTAAAATGCGATATATAAATAAACATTACTTAATTGTAGTTTTTTAAAATCTCAACTGGAATAAAATGCATCCCGTTTCTCATTTATTTCCTTAGACTTGAGTGGGGGGAAAAAGGGGATTCTGTCACTCGACTAAACGATGCCTCACAGGGCTCTTGCTTACGATGTTTGAAGTATTCAAAAGTTTTATGGACATGAAGATGCTGCTTTGCTCATTGTTTTGTTCATTTACAAGACTTGTACGCATTGATTTAATCCATAATATCACATATCCTTGTGGTTGTCATTCGTAAATGAAGCCAGCAGATGGCGTACAACATCCCTATCAATAATTTATTTTCAGGAGGTGGGATTCTCTTTGGAAATCAAGTCATTGTGCTGAAGCTCGTGGCCTTCACAATCTCCGCGCTTTTCCACTAACTGCCCCCAATGCCTTGCGTCAGAGGAGACTGCAGTGTACATGCGAACATTTGGATTGTCCTTTTTGCGCGCTGCTGAGCCATGGAAGTATAACAGGAGCAGTTTGACCTGCGCGGAGACTTCAGACTTGTTGCTGCTTTCGCTCCGCTCTTGGCCGTGATCCACCGCTGTCACTGGAGCTCAACACGCAAAGAATCTTTATGAGCGCGTTTTGCTCTGAGAAAAAATATTAAGATTATACACGGTTAAAGTTGTGACACATGGAGCCGTAGTTTGCAGGGCGTCATTAGTTGAGTGTTTTAACGCTTTGATACAATAGCTCAAGCGAGATCTGCCTTTCAACTATGAAGTCCCACATCTAAAGTTTGACTCCACCGGGGCCACCTCAGCCGCTGCCTGTGATTTGTGTTTTTACTTTTTGACGCTGGAGAAGAGTGAGCAGATCTCCTTGAAGATGGCATTTCTGCATCCGTGCACCCGCATCGTTATAACATGGTTGTTGACCTTGGCTCTCTCCTGGACAGAAGGGCAAGTCCCAGAGGAGGAGGAATTGAATGCAGAGGTATATCTTCATCTTTACATAATGTAGCGCTTTTATTCTGTAACATTGTGTGAAACAACTGCATCGTGTATGTAGTGTACTGAAAACATTACGAATATGTAACTTTCTGCACCAATGGCACACAATACTGTGATAGTCCTCTTAACTGTGGCTTGCATCTCCACACACCTGACTCACCAGTCCACCCTGCTCATGTCCATGGAGATGTTGCTTCTTTAGTTTCTTTATCATGTTCCAAAGTACGGCTTTAACTTATTCCATGGTGACATGCCGTAGTTGTATCATTAACTTCCATCACATATAACAGCCCATTTTGAAATTGCTTTCCCTCTCATTGATTGTATATAAATAAATTATAAGGATAACTAATTTCAAATGATTTACTAGATTGCTTAAGGATTACTTTATTGGTAATGTAGTGGCAGGGCCTGGTTAGTATTGTGATGGGAGACTAGGTGCCACAGTGGTGTGGCTGTAAAGTGCCAAACAGGCAAGTCTCTTCACCCACATTGTCTTGTATGAGTCTGGTGTGGGAGTGAGTGAATGATTTGGTGGTGGATGAGGGGGCAGATGGCACTGATAAGTTGCCTTGCGTCTGTCAGTCTGCCCTAGGGCAGCTATCGAACTCCCACAGTATATGAAGTGAGTGGATGCATCACTATCATTATTTTGTTATCCAGAGAGGTCTGAATGAGAGCACCAGGCACAAGCAACAACTACAAAAGTTTATAGATTTCCAATATCAAAAAACCAGATTGTGAAAGTGGGCCTAATATCCAATGTAACAGTTTGAAAATAATACAAAAATGTAGAAAATATTTAAAAGTTTTTATCCAGAGCTTGATTCCTATAGGTTTTTTAAAGCAAATAATAATGTGATGTGTGTTTGTTCAGATAATCAGTGTAATTTTCATTAAGTAATTTTATAGATACAATAAATACACTTACTATTTCGTTAGACTCTCTCAAAGTATAATTTTAATTGTGAAGCTTGAACTTGGAAAATTACTTGAGATTAAACTTTATGGGCTTTAATGTTGTATTAAAGGTGAACAACACACAATGCTATCAACACGCAATGGAATCATTTTCCTATCATTGCTATAGTTGATAAAGTGATTATCCTCATCCAGCTCTCGACTTAACGTGTCAAATAGTGGCTCACAAGGCTCTTTCTTGTATTTAGAATGCAAAAGATCAAATGTTTTCTAATCCAAAAGATGGTTTGTTGCCCATTGATATCTATCTTTTTAATATAATTATTACAGTAACTAACACTGACCATAATTAATTAATGGTTCCTCTTAGTCATACACTATTGAAATTCGTGGTAACCTATCCTGTTGTTTTGAGTGCCCCTGTGGAGAAAATCCAAAGAGTTTTTTTCACTGTGGAGCTGATTAGATCTTGTACGTCTACGTGGCTCCATGGCTCCAAATGCCTGAGTTTATTTGGACTGTGATCTTGAGAAAAGTAACCTGGCAGTCAGACAATTTTTCCTTGACAGTTATGTCTTCTAATGAATAGTTTCATATTTGTCATTGTAATACAAAGCTGTTTTTTGCCTGTCTGAGCACAGAAGGCCCAGGAATGAGAGCTGCATATTCTGGGTAATAGAAGACATCTGGCCTTTATCACTTCTCTTTTTCCTTAGCTCAGATGCTTTCATTTTTATTGGACAGCAGCTTGTGTTCAGATCACTGTGCATGTATACACCGCATCTGACACATGTTAGACACTGCTGACAATACACTTTGTCTTCACAGACGTGGCTCCGTCAGTATGGGTACCTCTCTCAGGCCAGCAGACAGATGTCCACCATGCAGTCCACCCACATGCTCTCAAAGGCCATCAGCGACATGCAGCATTTCTATGGGCTGGAGGTGACGGGGAAAATGGACCCGGCAACTGTTCTGTAAGCAGAATAAGCCACTTGTTTACTAAAATATGACTCAGTTTGAATCATTTGTGTCCCAACGAGTACTGTTTGCACATTTCCTGTCTTTTGCACAATCTGAGTGATCCTATTTATGCCAAATGTGACATGTGCATTTCTCCATTGTGAGATCAATGTCTATCTTATCTTATCTTATCTTAATTTCTTCAAATAGAGGTCTAACACATTTGTGCACAATTGTCTTTTTAGGGCAATGCTCCGGCCTCGCTGTGGTGTTGCAGACCGAAAACCAGATGAACTTGATGACTCCACAAGGAAAAAGCGATATGCTCTTACTGGACAGCAGTGGAGCAAAGACCACATCACTTACAGGTTGAACATTGAATGCACAGTATACTGTATGTTTTTGATGTAATAATGTACCCTAAATTAGTCTTTTCTATGATAAAGCATTCTGAACCAGAAAATCCCCTCCTCACTGGGAGAAGATCTCACATATGAAGCTATCCGCAGCGCTTTTGACGTGTGGCGAAAAGTCACACCACTCACTTTTGAGGAACTACCAGCAATAAACAACAGCAGTCAATCAGAGCTGGCTGACATCCTCCTGCTCTTTGCGTCTGGTTTCCATGGAGACATGTCCTTATTTGATGGTGAAGGGGGGTCTCTGGCACATGCCTACTACCCAGGACCAGGGATGGGTGGAGACACTCACTTCGACGCAGATGAACCTTGGACACTGGAAAACCATAATCCACAAGGTAATCCACAGTGGTTGAGTTTATGTTTAGATCTGCGGTGTTGATGTGTTTCTGCTGCAGGCATAGACCTCTTTCTGGTGGCCGTGCACGAGCTGGGCCACGCGCTCGGTCTGGAGCACTCAGATAACCCTAGTGCAGTCATGGCACCATTTTACCAGTGGGTGCCCAGTCACAACTTCACTCTGCATGAGGACGATGTCAAAGGAATACAATACATATATGGTGAGAAGTTTAAATTTACTAATTAAAAAAAGTGAACATTACTTCCTTTAACTTTACTAATGCGTACAGAATTTTAGGTGTAAGCTTCTCGAAATTTTGACATAATTTTTAGTGGAGCCGAGTTCAAGGCAAATGTGCTGGGTTATGTTTAGGTTTAGGGCTGTGCTGTTTATTTCTGCAGGAAAATATTGAAAGCAACACTCGTTACAATTTTGACCATACTCTCAAAATATGTCAGTCTAAAATGTAATGATCAAATGAAAAGTAAGCACAAACAAGGGACTATAACTTGACTGACTTATAAATAGGGGATCAAATCCTTCAAATACTATGTGAATGGTCCCATCGCTCACTTCTGAATGGAGGGCTTTGTTATTGACATACAATCATCTGTGTTGAGGCACAGGCAGAATACGCATACTATATGTTTGATTTTGACTTTATGCCAAGTAAACTTTGTTGTTCAGATTTTCAGTTACCAAAAACACAACTTTTATGTATACTAATCTGTAGGTTAAGTTTGATGCAAACAACACAATTTTATTTTTTTTATTCTCCACTCAGCATGAGAAGCATCTGGCTAATCCTGTTTTTAGAAGTTTTTAGACACAATCCTGAAATCCTTAAGAAAAAAATGGACTGAAAAGTAGGTGAACCCTTTGGAATTACTTATTCTGAATAAGTTGGTTATAAAATGTGACTTGACCTTTATCTAGATCAAATAGATAAACAAACACAATATGATCCAATGAATCCCTCCCCCAACAAATCAAGAATTTTCTTCATGGAAAAATGCAAGTAAGAGTTTTCTGTTGGACAGGAGAGCGTCTGTAGAATTATTTCATGAGCACCACTGCTCGCTCAAAAGACCTCTCAGAATACTATTAAGGCAAAGGTGTTTGACAAAATGTCTATAAAAGTCTAGTACTGTTACTCTCCCACAGAGTGTCCAGCCTTTCAGTAAGAGCACAGAAAGCTTAATGAGGTGGGAAACAAACTGAAGTCACATATCTATGGCACAGGCCGGCAAATGTACAAGACACATAATATGAATCACGAATGGGACGATGTTGTTTTAAAATATCAAAACTTATGCTTTTAATGTTTTTAAGCTTTGGTTTGGGTGTTATGTTGGTCATTCTAAAGGGTTGACATCACTTTGGGTTCACATACTTTTTCTTGGCTTTGTACATTTACATTATGTCATATGTTTTTAAGCGGCTCACATTATTTTTATACCATAGTAACAGTTGAATGAGAGCATCACTTTGCCTTTTATAATGCTTTCCATAGGTGCGCCTCTCATGACTGATGCTCCAACCACATTAACGTCTCCCGATCATCACACAACTGTTTCCACCACAACAGAAGAAGAACCCACCTCCCCTTACGAGACCACTCTGCCTCCAGAGACACGGCCCAGCACCAGGGCTGATCCGGAGCCTACGACCCTGCTGACCACAACCACCTCAACAACAACAACCAAGCAATCAGTCACCTCGGACAGAAGACCTGCCCCCCCCACGCGCGCCCCTCCACCTGAGTCTCCGAGGAAACCCGACAATGTCCCGCCAAATATCTGTGACGGAGATTTTGATACAGTCACGATGCTGAGGGGGGAGATGTTTGTGTTCAAGGTGAGAATTGTGAAAACTTGGAAAAGTGTCCACACACACATACGTACACAGGCAGTGATATCATTTTTTCTGCCATATTTTGAAGATTATGAATGATACCCAAAATATGTTTTTATTCACTCGTTGTTTGAAGGCATATATTGTCAGATTTATATTTTCAAATGATAACAACTTTATGCGGCTCTGGGGACGTCTTAAACAAACTTACAGTTCATGTAAGACAGCCCAGAAATGTACAGGCTTTTTTTGCAGGCTGAACCTCCTGCACAACTACCACAAAATACTCTATGCCGTCTTTGATGTTAAAGGGGAATTACAAGCTATTGAGAACTGGGGGTTGGAGACTTCCAATCAGGGTCAGAAGAGTAGTTTCTGTTAAAATGGTTGTGTTCATGTTGCTTTTTCTATTTTCAATTAGTATCAACATGTTATCATTCATAATCTCTGAAATATGACCACCCATTTCTGCCTGGGTGTGTAAAATTTCAAGCATTACAGTATTTACAAAGCTCTGTGATAACTTTAGGGCCGCTGGTTTTGGCGAGTGCGCAGGAATCGTGTCTTGGAAAACTACCCAATGCATATATCTGGATTCTGGACAGGTCTTCCCAATGACATTGACGCCGCATATGAGCGCCATGATGGAAAGTTTGTCTTCTTTAAAGGTAGGTAGAAGAACATTCGATGTATTATTTCAAACATAAATATAAAACGCATCTTTATTGTAGATAAACCCAGTGGTGAGAAATGTGTGTTTCAATCTGACATGGTCAGGAATCTGCTAATGTAGTGTGGTCCTGATTTATGAGGAGGCTGCTTTATAACCAACACTGCCATAACTCTGTATGTCTGGCACTCGCACACATTGTAAATCTAAGAAGCATTATATGATTATGTAAAAGTAAAACCCATGGGAAAACCAGGAATTCTAACCACAGACAAACATAATGTGTCTCAAACCCATTGTCTGCATGTATCGCTGAACTTGTGCCTGATTGAATATGTGTTCTGATTGTGCGCCAGTGCAGCATGGCAGCAGCTGCAGAGCACAACAGCAGTCCAGCTGGGGCCAGAGGCCCTAAGAGAGACTCCAGTAATGAGGCTTACGTCAGTGTTTTAACACGGCAGTGATCCAGATGTGGAAATCTGCAGACCCTTTACTTTGTACAGCTCACAAAGTGACTTGTGATCAGCCTTTTAGAATATAAATTTGAATTTCCTCCATTAACCTTGGTATCATAAATTTAATACTATATATACTGGAGTCATATATGACTACTATATAATCATAATATTGTTCTATCATAAATACCATATTTTTATCTTTGTAAATATATAAAATATAACCTGTCTGAGATTTTATTAGATAATTTTAATTTGTTAGATTTCAACATAAAATGAACCAAAGTTAGTCTCTATATTCCTCCGGTGGCCTGGCAGTGGTGTTGGAAAGGAGCTCTATGTTAAGATGTGTTAAAAGAACTTGGACTCTGTACTGGGGAACCTTGGAAAAGAAGTGTTATGCCCAACTTTCTGCCTGCTACGACTAAAACAAAAACAGACTGTAGGCCATATGCTTCATTCTTCATTGTCTTCAGTGTGTGTGCATCTAAAACGTCAAAGTGATTTGTGTGCGTGTGTGTGCAGATGACAGGTACTGGTTGTGTCGCGAGGCTGACGTGTTGCCAGGATACCCACAGCCACTGCACGTGTACGGTCGAGGGCTCCCGGCGCATGGAATCGACACGGCCATTTGGTGGGAGCCAAATGAATACACATACTTTTTCAAAGGAGACCGGTGAGCTTTACCAACACTGCTCTCATTTGTCTATTTCAGGGGTTTGTTTACTAGAATGAATGAATATATCAGGTTTTCACATAATTGGAAGCAAGGGTGACATTAATGAAAAGACAATCTTAAATATCACTGTACAAAACAAACTCCAAACCTGAAATAAGTTGCAATTACATTTTCAAAAGAGGTTGTTTACATCCTTTGTTTCTGCTTGATACAATGTAATTTCTCTAAATCTTTTGTGAAACGATAGCCAAAAAGTGTTTATTTCCTAAACCTCTTTAAACGTGCTTGCAGCAATGAGAATGTTTTCTTCTGTTGACTCAGTGGCACCCATGTATGTGTGTTTTCAGATACTGGCGTTACAATGAAGTAACTCGTACCACAGACGCCGATTTCCCAAAGCCAAACATTAGATGGGGCAAAATCCCCCCGTCACCTAAAGGTGCTTTCCTAAGTGATGATGGCGGTAAGTTATTCATTATATATTCTATGTTACTACTGGTATACTGGAGTGTGGCTCAGAAATCCCCCTTGTTGGATCCTATTCTAATTGGAGCTGAGCTAATAAAATGCAGTATGTGCAGAGTTTGGTTTTACAAATATATATAAAATGTAGCTATCCTGGAGACTGGAGAACAGCGTGACGAATATACAGTAGGGTGGAGAAGGAAATAATGAAAGGTTATTAGAGTGTTAGCAAAATGTTTCATTTTTCCTTGACACAAAAAGAACTGAGAACAGACCGAGGGCATGGAGGAGACAGAGAGAGAGAATGCATGCTCTGGTTAAAGGGTTGGCCCATCCTTCCCTTGGAAATTAGATTTATGGCAGTGTGCTAAGAGCACTCACGGCCCAAATCCACCCAGACTCCATGAGTGTCTCCTTGGTTTCTAGAACTCAGGGATGTATTCCAGAAGGATTAGTCTGAAATCATTTATGAGAGTTTATTTACCAGTTATTATCTTATTTTAGTTCCTGCTGTTCCAACGTTCCAATATTGTTTACTTTGTCAGGAAATAGTTGCATTTACAGTATTTTTGCATTCAAAACAAGATTGATGCTGTTTTACTGTTCTATGCTCCTGCAACCGTTAAGTGATCTAATTTGTTGCAGACTGTCCATGTTTCCTCTGTAATCATGAGAGCTTTGTTTTCCCTTTGCTGCGGAGTGGTCTTACACAACTCCTGCAGCCTGACTAACAGTTGTAGGATCAACGAATAACTTTTTGCTAAACTTGGACTGAAATGAGTGCTTCTGCTTGCTGCTGACTTACGGCTCTTTTATCTTGATTATTGTTGCAGCCTACACATACTTCTACAAGGGAGCTAATTACTGGAGGTTTGATAACCGGCGGGGGGAGGCAGATCCAGGCTTCCCTCGCTCCATCCTCAGAGACTTCATGGGCTGCTCTGAGGCCCCACATCCAAAGCCCGATCCTGTGGAACCAGTAAACCCTACAAACAGGGACACAGACTCACGGGACACAGACTCACGGGACACAGACTCACGAGACACAGACTCAGACACCGATGTGGATACCAAAGTCCCGATGGAGGATGACGATGTGGACAGAGAGGTGGAGGTGGTGGTGACGGCTGCTGGCGGTCACTCTAAAGTCATGACGCTCATAATGGTGACCGTCCCACTGGTTCTGATCTTGTGCATCCTGGTTCTGGTCTACGCCATCCTGAGGACTCTGCAGAACAAGGAGACGCCCCGAGCCCTGGTGCACTGCAAGCGCTCGCTACAGCAGTGGGTGTAGACGCACATTTACAATAAGACACTCACTTTGTGCCACTTTGGAAAGGAGAAGTCAAAAAGGGTGCTTGGTTTACAGTTTCCCTAGTGCCTTCATTGTATTTGGCTTCTCTCAGATTTTCTAGCCATGAGGAAAAATATATTTTGAGTAAAAGCTGTAGTGTAGTATGATGCAGTCAACAATGCATGTTTCTCAGAAGCATCTTTGCTCCTGATTTTTAGAATACCACTGCTTTGCTGTCATTCCACTGCTTAAATTTTACTGTTTGTACATTGTCCTTGAGCCGCAGAATAATTTACCAACTGCCCAAAAGTGCAGATGAATGTAACAGTTGACACCATCCTTTCTCTTTGACCCATTGGTCTGTTTGGTTGAATGTTATGCTTAATAGAGCATATATTAAATCTTGTAAGATTGTCGTGCCACTACCCAGGTGAACTGCGAAAAGAAGAGGACTTGGTGTGTGCCCTTGCCAGCTCAAATGCGTTGCTATACTTTTGCACATTTGAAATCTTAATGTAGCTAAAAAAATAGAAATCTGTTGTGACTGGTGCTTTGCATGGGAAGCTCTTCCTGGGAGCAGAGCAGGAATGTGAGGCAGCTGCATCTGAGGCCGCTCTGTCGGCCTTCTCTCGCCCCCCCGCGTCACATGATCTGAGCATGAGGGGCACATATGGTGACAACACATGTGTGTTAAAACAACAGGACTACAGATGGCCTCCACCACTGTGCAGAGTCCACAGCTAATGCAGATACTTGGAGATATGACCACTGCTAGGATGGGGTTACATAAGATTTTGAGTTTAATTAATTTGAGGGTGTTGTTGTGTGTTTCAGTCTTTATGTACAACAACTGATTTTCTTGGTTGTTATGGTCACACTAATGTCCTACCTGTGATCAAAAGTTGGCATTCTTGATTAGGACAACATGTTGCTGATTGTGTAATACAGAAGGGGAAAAAAGGTAAAGATGGGAATTGCGAAGGAAAGTTAGAAACAACAGTGCAGATTGAGGAGTGGGAGTGATTCAGTGGAAAAAGAGGAGTATTAGAAAGTTGGGAGGAGCCATGCTGGCGTTGTGCCTCCTGACCTACATTGGGAAAAGTCCTCATCTTTGGTGCTGCTCTGACTTCCTCCATTTCCTCCACATCCTTTTCTTCTGTACTTTTATGGTGTTTCTCTGCTCATCAGAGGAATTATTGAAATACAGAGCTTGTGCAGAATGCTGTTCTTTTCCAGTTTTAGCTTCCCACCTCCGCTGAGGGTGGCATATTGCAGTTTTAGCCACATGAATAAACTTCAGTAACATTAGTTACTTACGTTAGTTGTTGTCCAGTCTGTAATATGTGTATACTTTTAGGGGCCTTATGAAATCCCATGAGGGATTGTATATATTTTTCTATTTCTTTTATTAGTTTTTAAAAAATATAAAATGATCATGTTACAGCATGCAGGGCATGTTCCGGGAGGCCTTTCACGTGTGTGTTGAGGAAAAGTCTTTTCAATAAAGCTTACCTCTGAAAATCAAAGGGCAAAGGCTTTTTGTCTTGTACTTTTTGACTCCTGATGAAGTACTTCACGTTTTAGCCACAAGAGGGCGCTATTACTGTTAACCATTAGAGCACAGAGGAGGGAAAAAAAACCATAAGGATGAAAAACTAAGGTACTTTCCATAGTTATATGCGCGAGTTCTACAATACTTTACGTCAAACTCTCGCGCGTTTTTTCAACAGTGAATGTTTAAACTTTCTGTTCCTTCAATAATTAAACTAAAGTCTGTTTAAATGTTACTCGGGCTGCAGGCCGTATTTGTGCATGTCATGCACAAATAAGTGCAACATAATACGGGTGCAGAGGGTTCTCCAGATGTGTGTGTTGCAGAGCGTCCTCTGAGGCGCTGAGTGTGTGCCATCCGCAGCCTGCAGTCCACTTTATCCCTTTTGAGCTCATTATGAGATCTGCCTCATGTGCCACTAACTGCATTCCCCTAACAGTGATTGTTAGGGCCTCATCGCTCTGACCCTTTAAAATCTGTTTTGCGTTATGAATTTAGAATGTGTGACGGATTTGCAAAACGTTCTACTTTCTTTTTTAAGTTTTTTTTTTTCCAACTTCAGCACGTTTTGTTTTTAAATGAAAAGGACGTAACCCTTTTTCACATTTGTATCTGTTTTATATTTATTTGTATTTTTGAAATGAACTGTTAATTTTATTGCTTCAACATACAGACAAAGCATGAAGTTTTATTTATGTTTAAGCATTTAAATGTCTATATCAAGTGAACAACTTCTAGTCTTTCTGTTCCCTGTGTGTAACACAAAGCATGCACCATACAATCCTCCAGCTCTGGTTGTCCTGAACTACAACATCTGGAGATGAGCCCCAGGCGCTGCACAGGGACAATCATTGCTCCTGACAGAGGCCCTGGTGGCATTCAGGGATGGGCCAAATGCAGAGGACACATTCCCTATCCTAACCTAACATTAAGTTAATCATTGGACACAGGGACTGTGTTCACTAGGACACAATCCCTGTGTTCATAGAAAGAGGAAACATTGTAGTTTGAACCAGTGTTATGGTGCAGTGTTGTGGGTCGTAACTTCCACCAACATGAAGACACTATTTTATTCCTTGAGGGTGAATCCTGTTAGAGTGGAGGGCCGTAGGTGGGCAGTGAATAGAGTTTATGGATGATAGCCTTGATGTCCGATAGCTTTCTCTGTCACTAATCTGCGATTGCTCACGACCAGGATTGTCCCCTGACCTTCAGGTGGTGCTGGTTAATCCTGTTAGCAGCAGGGCCGTGGAGGATCCAGGCAGAGAGTCACTCTGGAGCTCAGCACCATCGGTATGCTGGCCCACCTGTAGGACAGCAGGTAAGACCACACACATACATTAAACTGAGATACATTACACTTGGACCACAGCTCTCCATGCAACCATCAAACTCTCAGAATGTATCAAGAAAACGTTCTGTTATAGCTGACTATTTTAGCCACTTTTATTTCTCAAGGATTTTCACTAACATATTTGCTATCTGGTTCATTTCCCTTGTCTTTTTAAGCTATGTCTAAATTGCTGTCTTTTTTGAGGGAATAATGCATTAAATCGTTGATCACTAATACTTTCTTGTGAGGTGCTCCGGTATCTCAGGTGGTTGTCTTTTGGGCTTAGTGGATTAGACTGATAAATTGTCAAAGAGGATCATTTGCACATCACCGGTGCATTATCCCTCCTCCAGAGCAATTGACTTTTTCTCATGCATCATTGTGAATCGGAAGAATTAAACATGCAATGGTCATAACAGAGGGTTTAACTGGCTTATAGTTTGAACCCTGTGTCACCGAGAGGCTAAAGCATCTTAAGGTCAGGTTGAACACGAGAAGCTTTCTTTCGACTTCTGAACTGTTGAGTTTGATAAGATAAGATAAACTTTATTGATATCACAATGGAGAAATGTACATGTCACATTTGACATAGATAATATCACTCAGGTTGTGCAAATGTCTGATTCTGACAAACGTATGCATCATTTAATAAGACTTGTCCTGTGCTTTGACTTTGAGACAGGACACAGCTGGATCAACAGCGTACACGTCACAGTTACTCAAGAAAACATATTTTTGCGTATGAAAAGTTATGTACCAGAGCTTTCAGTCTTAGTGTAATCTTTATTTTAAATTTCAAATAAAGTTCACGGTTTAGCCTTGAGTCATCACAGATTGAATTTCAATGAATTTTTCTGAAATATCTCCTTTGTGGATCATGTATAAAGATGAAGGAAGGCTGTAGCATGTTTGTTTGATCCCCAGGATGTTTAACTGGGTGGTGAAAGTGGTCCCTCAGCCTCCGGAGTCCTCTGGTGAAGAAACCGCAAAGGCTCCTGTAAGAAAAGCAGTATATCACTACTATATATACACATATTCTATACACTGTCGAATTACACATCTATAAATCTAATCCTGATAACTAAAAAAATCACTGTGGTTCGCATTTTTAGGTGAAGAATCCACCCAAAGCCAAAGGAGGTAAGACAAGTTCATATAATTTCTTCTGTAGTACAAACAAAGCCGTTTGTAACTGGATTTGTCACCGGATGTTTCAGTGCCCCCAACAAAGAATCCACCTTTGAAGAATGCTGATGAATTTTCCGTTGACAGGCAAGTGTTTTTTGTTGAGTTTACTGATTTGAAAATGAAAAAATCCTGTATTGTATTTTTTATTTTTTTCAAATCAGTCCAACATTGCTTTCCTCTGGGTGCAAGATGGAAGTTTTGACTCTTGTACCATACAGCACCCTACGTCTCAATTTTGTGATAGTAATTATAAATATTATAGATGCTAATTGTTAGTTTTCTGTGCTTTAGCCAAAGTCAGAGTGGAGTTATGGGCTGGTTGTCCACTGGTTTTGTCAGTGCGCTGCCTCAGCCGGCTGGATCCCCGCGACTGAGCAAGGCTGAGGTGAGCCCAAAACACAACAAGCAACAACTTTGTCCAACTTTGTGAATATTCCTGTGGTTAAAACTGTGCTAACTCTTGTATTATTTCATTCCTCAGGGTGAAAAGGGGTAAGTGGCCGTAGATAATGTGTTGTTTTTTTGTTAGCGTCTTATGGATCTGTCTTTCTAAGGTCAAAAGTGTTTGGGTGGGTTTCCAGTATTCTGCCTCAGCCTGAAGAGAAATACAGAGAGAGTCCGGACATCGAAAACGAGGAGCACACTGAGGCAAGACGCACCACAAGACTACATTTTTCATAATTATATATTCTAAATAATTCATTTCATGTTACCAGATTTATGATGTGAAAGCAATGCCAGGTAACGTGCTTATTATCACTCATCACACATAAAAAAACCATGTGGAACTTGTCAGAAGTATTCACACTTGTGTCGTGGCAGATTATGACCCGTTACCTCACATTCCTGTGGTGGAGATGGTCTCGGATGATGAAGAGGAGACTGGGCAAAAGTCAGCATTCCCACCAAAGTAAGGCGATATCACCCACTGTGCAAACCTTTAAATTTGTTTGGATTTGTCTAAAAAGAACAATACACTTGATAAGTTTTGCGTATGTTGAACTTTTAAACATGGCGTCATCACGTCATCGACTCCCAGGTGTTCTCAAGTGAATTTCAAGTGTTTGTTAGATGTTTGTAAACTTCTCTCAATGTTTACGTTTACATAATATAGTACGTCTATCATGTAATAAAAGTAGGAACTATCAAGACCCAAGGAAATCTTAATTAAAGCGGTTATTTTTTCCGTGGCCCAGGCTGACATGTTTAGATCAAAGTTCTTTTGTAAACTGCATAAATTAATTTAATAACACATAATAAGACTTGGACCAGCTCAGTCTGGAAGAATACCAAAGGGAGGTTATTTTGTGTATTACTATTGATCTATTTTCTGACGAATAATGTTATCTCTCGAAAGTGTTGTATCATTAATGGATGTATGATTGTTATTGTTTTGGTGAATTGCAGCGTTTCCCAATGGCTAAAACAGGTGATGCCTCAGCCGGTGCCACCTGGTACAGTGGTCGCTGTACCTTCAAAGTCTCGCTCCTCACTGGACAAAAGTATGTGCAGCTGTAGTAAAATATTCATGAAAGCATTTAGAATGTTTATGGCATTAACTATTTCTACTAATCAGACCTTTTTTACCCTTCTTTTGCAGTCTTGTCCCCTCCTCCTGAATCTCTAAGTGGTATCTCATTGGATACAGACAGTAAAGTGGGAAGGTACATGTGAATGAGTTCTTCATAGATGTAAAGTTAATATCATTGACAATGTTCAAATGAGATCCAGTCCAGCTTCATAAAACTAGGGTTACCACATTTATTATATATCGTAATTCTAACACTGGAGGCGCCATGTAACAGCCTGTATCCTCTGCAGTGTGGTGGGTTGGTTTGTGTCTGGCCTTGGCTTGAAGATACCGCAGCCTCCATCTAAGGACGATGTGAGTCACTAGTTCATGTGTTTATGTAAATAAAAGATTTACAAGAGAATTGTCTTTAAACATGTCTTTGGTTTAGGGCTCTGCTGAGGTTCTACAGAGAGGTAAGATTCACTATCATTATATGTTTGTAATGATAGACATGTGTGGGGATGTTCTGATACTTATACTTTGCCCTATCAGTGGTGCAGATACCAATTCCAGTCTGACACCGCATATCAAGCTACACTTAATGTTACTCGAAATATAGTTATTATTCTAGAAAACCCAAAACTGTCCCTATGTGATGATTTGGCCGAGCACTATATTTCCAAGTACTTGCTGATACAGATACATGAAACAGGCTTTAGCTGGTATCAGTATCGGAACATCCCTAGTATATCCCTCCACGCACAATCTGATGTCACCAAGTAATTAAGAGCTCAGGGTCAATGTCAAAGTTGATCCTGGACTCATAACCCGAACCCTAAACCTAATCCTAGTCCCAACCCCAACCCAAAGACCCCTGGTTGGTGGGCTGTGACATCTTAAGTACTGGGAGAAATCAGATAAACCCTCTTTCCAGCGTCATACTGTCGAGTGGATCAAAGGGGTTGTGTTTTCCAGTCGAGGCTGAGAGCATGTTTTTGTCCTTTGCTCCTAGTTGGGCTGGTGTGTTTGGTGGCCGGTCGGAGGTTAACTCAGGTCCTCTCCTCCTTCTGTTTCAGGGGGGAAGCTGCCGTGAGCCCCTTAAACAGCAGGAGAAGACGTCTGGGTGACCGCCGCTCCCACATAAAGACACGGCACATAGGCAGCTGCACATGAATATCTATATACTGTATATTCAACTCACCGCGCTGTGTTTGATACAGTCTTATGTGAATGTACTTTTATTGGTGTAAAATAGAGCAGAATTGTTGTGATGATGATAGCATCAGGGTTTTTTAACATTTGCACATTTTCTGTGTAACAGAAAAATAGTGATTGCCATTTATTTTCAAAGTGCACATACAACTGTAAACCATGGCAGCATACAGCATTAGAATCATTTAATGCATTTTTTTCTATTGACATTGTTTTAGTGATTTATGAAATATATTATAATATTATATATTTTTAAGTAATTTATTTTCAATTACAGTAATACACTGTTGTGTGATTTAGCTGTTTTTATATTGTGGGAAATAGAAACTTATAAAATTAGTTCACAACATTTCTTTTATTTTCTTTACTGTCCATAACTTCCTATTTACTACAAATGAGTTTAAAGTTTAAAGTATACAGTAATGTTTGAACGTAGCTGGACAAAAGCATGTTCTTGACCTCTTGTTGATCCTCTTGATTTGTCCATGGCCTTGATCAAGTGTGACCTGGAAATTGTTTGTGATCACTCTTTCTTTGCTGTGACGTAAAGTTATTATTATTATGTTTGACTGACAATAAAAACACACTCAGTATTACATTTTGACACGTGTATGTTTTAGTCCCGTAGCAATACACTTTAAACTGTATATTTAGGACTGGGAAGTGCTTTTTGTTTTGTTTTTTACATAAATGCCAGCACTTTCTGATGTTTCGTTGTAGAAATCATGGTTTTATAATGTTATTCACTTCCATCATACTTATTATTTTATATTTTTTCTACCAGTATTAACCTAAAAAAAAAAACATTCTGGGCCAAAACGTGTTTTAGCTGGGGTACCTTACTCTTTATCCTCTAAAAAAAAAATTGTCATAATACAAAGTAAAGTAAAATGTTATTAGAACAACATCTTTTGCATTAACCTTTTCGTGAAAAGGTTAATATTTCATTATTTGTAAGCCATAAACTACTGATATCTGTTCAAGTGGCTTTAAATGTGGTTTTGCCTGGTTACAGCTTTGCATTAAACTTTCCTTTTACATTGGAAACGATCATGTGACACCACTTTGCTGGGTGCCTACATACAACTCTTTGACAAGTCTTTCTAAAAACCACTGAAATCTAATGAGAATTGTACTTGTTTTTAACCAAACTGAGCCACTTTCAAGCCACGCCCAACCACTCTATAACAAGAACCACTTCCCAAAAATTGGGTCTGGAACACAGGATATTTGAGGAGTTTCAACTAAATGCGTCATGAATCCACATGAAATAACAGTGTCCCGTTCTTAAATGACAGACCACAGAATAATAATTTCAGACATACATGTACCTGTCATTTTCCTGTAGCGTCGTCCAAACTGCAGCCTGTCATGGTGCTGGAGGATGTGGACTCGGACGATGAGCTCCACACCCGCACTGTTCCAACCACATCCCTGACCCCCCCTTCACCGGCCGCCCGCCAATCCCCCGGAGAGCCCGCCCCGACCCCAGAGCCACCTCCAAGTCCAACCATGGACGCTGAGACCCAGACCGGCCGCTGGACACCGTTCATGGAGAACATAAAGAAGGAGGCTGAAGATATGGCAATGGCAACAATGGAAGAACGGTACCACAGAGAATTTTGCTCCTTAACAAAAAAAACAAACTCAAAATAGTTTTATATCCAGCCAACATGTAACCAGAGGTGTCAAAGGTACTAGTCTTCGGTGGTTCAGTAAACGTACAAATAATCTAAAAATATCCAATTCTGACAATAATTTATTTAAGACATTTTTTGCGTTGTCTGGACAATAAGCATGGATCTATTAAAACCATGGACACACACAAAAATGAGGGTGGAGGGAGAGGCCTTCTACAGTACATGCTATTTTATAAAGCCAGGATCTTTAGCATTCGTTTTTATTTTGTGTTGCCATCTGCAATGTAACTAGTCGTGAATAGAAAGTACATATATTTGGGGTTGAACCTGAAAGTGAGAGGTAAAAAAAAGGTACTTAATCACTTGCCGCAAGCTAATGTGAAGACCTTCTGGCGCAAATGCTCCTCTCTCAAACCTGTCATGCTTTGATGTAATTTTCAATATATTATATCATGCTCAGAGCAGCACAAAAGTGTTGGTCACAGACTTGTTCAATTTCTCCCTCTGGTGGAAGCACACCAAAGATAGCATTTTCTATTTGAGAAATATCTTCCCAATCTAAAAAAAATATATACATATACATATATAAGTAAAATGTCTGATTATCGTTTTTAATTGCCAAGAATAATGCATTTCCTGCTGCTCTGTGTCCAGTCTGCAGCAGGAGCGTGTGGACATGGCGCGTATAGCTGAGGAAGTGGCCAGGCACACAGCTGAGATGGCCATTAGGCAGATGGCCGCAGAGGGACAGTCCATTAAGTTTTCTTTGAGCAGCCAAGATCAGCTGGAGGAGCCTGATGTCGAGTAAGGCCTTCTTCTGCAGGCTGTACCACTGCAACACTGTACCTTTGATACTAACTGTCCCTCTGTGATGTGATCAGGCTGCCTGTGGCTCTGGAGGAAGAAGCTGAAGAGGAGCCAAGCAAAGTTTCAGAGTGAGCCTTTTTTACATCAGTCTTGGATTTATTTTTGATTTTATTTTGCATGATTTCAGACTCAAAATTAATTGGTCCATATTTTAAAAGAACAGAAATTTAAAAATATAATATGTCACATGCAGTCAGTTGAAGCAGATAAGGTAATGGCCAGTGCTTTCTCAGAGCAGAGGTGTCATGCTCTTTTTACAGTTTCAGTTTCTGAATAATGGTGTCTCCAAATGCTTTTTGAAAAGTTAAACGTTTTTATCAGAGCCTCAATGTGTCACATTCACACTGAAATCAGTTTATGTCAAAACCTATTACATTTAGCTGATTTTACATCATTATACATTTGGGAGTATATTTATCAATGAAAGGTAAAATAGTGTGCATGTGTTTTGGTTTAGTTTCATTGGGTAATATATTAGATTGCTACAATGTTAGAGGGTGCTAATCACTTTTGCACACAAGCAAACCCTTGATAGATATGTCCCTTAGTCCAGGCTTATTCAACTTATATCAGGCCTACAAAACAGACTGGCCACTGCTGTTCTTGTTTGGGTTACCCCGCCTGTAGAGGGGGATTTTAATTGTCTCTCTTTGTTTGTATGCATGCTTTGTTTAATCTGTTGTAATGTCTTCTACTTACACTCTGGGTTGATTATGCCTTAAATAAAGCGACTGGTACCAGTCTATGCCGATCTTGACCAAGTAATATTTGAGAGAGCAATGTTAAGCTTAATGAAAAGCTTAAATATATGTTAAATTATTTTCTCAATAACTCGGTATTGACATGGATCACATTTTTGCGGCTCAGAGACTTTGGCCTTCTGGGAAATAAAGTTGAATAGTCCAGCCGTTCTCGTGACATGTGAGTGTCAACCACCAACCTATTATGAGAAATTAACCTGGTATCAGGTTAATTTTCTGACACACCTGCTGAAATATGAGCAGGTTCAAAAATAGGCCTTTCCCAGGATAATGCAGATGTCTGAATACCCTGAATAACCCTGAACTATAGCAGATGTGTTGTTCTTGCGTTTTTTAGTGTTTTATTGGCGTCACGTCCTGACAAAGCTTCTCTCCTCCCAATTCCCATGTGCACCTCCTCATTAAGTGATGAGACGGTGAGTCCCAGGCACCATCAGCGCCACGGAGCGCCGCTGTAGCGATCACAGCTTCACTTAGCAACGCGCCTCGCACATCACCCTGGCAACCACGCACCTGCCTCCCGCCGTCCTCACATCACAGACACAAACAACACGGCCTGTGACCGAGTCTGTTATTTCAAGCATTACGTTTTCCGCTGGAAGGGTTTTTGATTTTTTTTTTTTATCCAAGTGATGGCTGGACATAATCAGAGGAATATGAGAGTAGCTTGATGGTTTTCTCTCGCGTCTTTCCTCAGATGCACATTTGTAACGCAACAGGTTGACAAGGATTCATCTGGCTGTTGGATGTACACTCCCCTTTTTTGCATTTCCGTTACATTTGGTGCGTAGTGTGTCATTTTAAGAAACTATTTAACTAGGTGTCCGTCTTCTTACAGAAAAGAAGCAACACTTGCTTTGGATGAAAACTTGGAGAACGCTGTTGAACCTCCTCTGAATGAACCAGGTCAGTATATTTTAAATGTGACGCATATATCCAAAACTATACATTTAAAACAAATGGATTAACTTGAATTCATTGGTTTAGAACCCGTTCAGAACAAAAGCGAGGTAGAGACACAAGTAGAGCCAGATCTCAACCCTGAAGCCCCCCCAGACCCACCCCCAGAGCCACAAACATTAACTGACGTCCAAGAGGCCACTTCATCAACTGAACCGGTGATCAAGCAGCCACAGACAGCAGAGAACGGGAACACCAACAACACAGAAAAACCAGCTGACAAGGTAATTTTGCCTTTCCTTTCTATACACAAATATATATTAAAAAGCGTAAAAAGTGAAGGAGTAATTTATTGATGGCAGGAGGAAGAAGCTGACGATGGCTGCGGTGGTACGTACTGCTTAATATAATGAATTTATATTCTGAAATGTACAGCACTCTGCAAAAACGGACTAAAAGTATGTTGAAAATGATTGAATTAGATTACATTTAGATGGATTTTTGTAAATTTTATTAGTCTTAAATTGGGTTGTCATCTGTATCAAAATGTAGATGTTAAATTTGTACTAAAGCTATCATAGAAACTTCTATTCAATTTAATCCTGTATAGCTCTAAATCACAACAGTAGTAATCTCAAAAAACACTCAAAAAAACTAGATTCTGATATTTCAGAATGTATTAAATTGCAAAAACTTGAGTTTCTTTTTTTTTTTTTTAATCTCAGAAATAGTTTCTTATTGTGGTTTTCTTGTAAATTGTAAAATTACAGCTCATTTAATTTTAATATTGTGGCAATATGTCACAATATTATTATTAGTTATTAGTGTTTTATCTATATCTTAACACTATCTTTTAAGACTAGTGTTAAGATATAGATAAAATATATGGTTCTTCAAGAGATACTTGAAGAACTAAAAGTTGCTACTGTGCTTGAAATGGGAATAGAAATTCTTGCTTGTCTCATTTACATTTACTAACTAAACTTACTTAGGAGGTAGGATGAATTTAGTGACAAACTTAATTCTAACCTCTTCGGTCTGTTAATTAGTCATATTTTAAGATACAAAATTCTGTTTATTTTGTTCATAAATGACTGAAGAGATTAATAAAAAAATAAAAAATATAGATAAAAACCACTTAATTCAAGATTTTGCCATCTTGTATTTAATCAGTTTTTGCAGTTGCTCCTTGGTTTGCTCTGACATATTTGCCTGTCCCACTTCTAGCTCCAGTCAGCTGTGAATCCTTTAAAAACTGCCTGATGCGCTTGCCTCACAATTCAGAGTGCTTTGGCAACATCAACGCTTACTTCAAAGAGAACGGCTTCTCCTTTCCCAAATGTTCTTCCCTGCCTAGATGTCCTAATCAGCTTTCAGACATCACAAAGTACCTTCCCTCTCTCCCCATTGAACTGCAGCAAGAGTTCTCCCAGATAAGACTAACGCAAATACCCAGAAATATTGCCCAGTCAGTCGGTTCCCTTCTGCCTAAATGCTCGGAAGTTTCAGTCGCTCCGAGCCTCTCCGCTCTGACGCAGACCTTATCTAACATCCCACAAAAACTGTCAGTTATACCAAGCCTCACTGGACAATACTTGGGGAACATTCGCACCCGCCTGAGCAGCCTTATGCCACAAGATGCCTAAGAGACAAAGTCAACAACAGCAAAATCAAAACACCCGTGTGCACCATGTGGAACTCAACAGACTTGTGCGCCACTGTCCCCTCACGCCTCCATTGCGATCTCGCACCCCTTCTCCCTCCTCTCTCAACGGCAGCAATCTAGAGTTACCCAACGTGCCCTCCTACCCCCGCCTACCTGCTATTGTCAGCTCGCCATCCAAGCATCGGCCTGTCCGCCCGCTCTCAGGCCTCAGTAACCCTGCCTTCTTCATTGAGGATGACTCCCCTCTCAGACCTGCAGGTGATTCTTACAGTCAACTGTTTCTGTAAATATTCTAGTAAGCGTGTAAGTGTATGAATATTGTTTTGATAGATTTTTATGCAGTCTTGTTCTACCGTCAATCCCTCACCACACACACCAGATTCATATAGAAGTAGGTAAACAACTTGATCAAAGTGGTGCGTGACAACTTGGGGCTCAACAGTTTGGTATTAGTTTGTTTTTACAGTTGTCTCCCATCCAGTTCTAGCCAGGATTTGACTTGCTTAGCTTCTGAAATCAGGTGAGGGTGTGGGTAGAATTTACTTACTGTAATTGCCACCGTTAGATTGTATTTTTAACGTTTACAATTGTACGCACACACACACCCACTAATATGAATGAAAAAGGTGTGTGAAAGTATTTGTGAAAGTGAATGTATGATAAAATGTGTAGGTTTTGTGATATCATTTGTAATCTCCAGACTATTAGCCTTTCTGTCTGGGTGTGTAAACTTCCAACCAAAACTGTAGATATGGTTGTGATCAAAAAGAATATGAATATCAATTACAGCCTCTATATTTTAGGCTGATATCTCAATATATTGAATCGATTGATTGTGGGGACCCTATGATTCCTGGTCACTTTAAATTTGACAGTGTGGAGATTTACAAGAACCGTGCCAGTGTACCAGACGGATTATCTGACCAGCTGAGGTTGTCCTCTCAGCTCTTCTGCCCCAGTTCAGTGGATCTTGTTGCATTAGTCGTATATAGGTCTTTGTAAATCTGCTTGTCCCTCTGCTGCGCTGCTTACTGCCCTCTGCTGTGCACATGATTTTGTTTTAACTACATTTAAAATACAACTCGTCAAAGTTTTTTCCCCCTGGTATTGTCCTTCAGAAAGCTCCATCAGCCTCCGTCCTGCTGTCAACGTGGAGGATGTGGACTCCGCTCATGAGGCGGCAGGACGAGGATGTGAAGGAGGAGCGGAGGAGGCCAGTGCCCCAAACCAGGACCCCAAACTCACCACACTGACCGTCCCGGTGACCCCGGCTGGACGCCAAAGGTGAGGCTCCCATTCAACACATTATTATAGCTTACTTATTTAACAACTAGAAAAGTGACACAACGTTTGACTTAGAGAATGTTAAACCAGAAGGTTGTGTTTAATTTCACGCCAATAATTATTTGGAGATTTTTTTTTATTATTTAATGTTAATCAAAATAAATAAAATACTTATATCAATGTAATTCACCCTCTGTTTTTTTTTTTTTTTTTTACACTTCTCATCTGCAGCAAAGGGGAAAAAGAGTAAGACAAATATTATACCGAAAATGTAGTTTAAAACACAATTGTGCTGTTGTGGTTCTTGGGTCTTTGTTTTGATCCAAATTCATACAATTATTGCTTCATTTTATCATAGTCCAACTAATTTCTGCCAAAACAAAGAAATAATGCTGCTCGAAAGTGAATCTACAAAGAAATACCTTTGAAATTGGAAAAGCCACAGATTTGGAGCAAAACATGTGTGTCATGTCCGTGTGGTGTTTCTGCAGAGGTGATGCATGTGCTATCGCTGCAGAACACTCTTGTTTTGTATTTCATGTATTTGGTTTTGTTGAATGTTGCATGTTTTTGAATGGGCTTGTGATTGTTGCATACAGATGCATATAAATAGCCAAATAAAATAGATGCAAATTCCAACAGCATGTGTTTGTCCCTGTGTTTAAAGAAAATCTCTTTCTCTTGTAAACAGAAATTTGACTCTTGACCTTTTTTCTAAATATTAACAATAGCAGAAAGCGTCTTAGGACTTTTGCCAGCCGAATGTAAGTTCTACTGACTCTCCATAAAAAATACTTTAAACACACGCTCAACATAGCATTTGTGGATGTTTGTTGACTGATCTTTCTCTGAACGGTGACAGAATGTATTCTCAAAGTGAAGATGATGATGAAGAGGGCCCTGTCCAAGCCTGGCCGAGTCAGTCCAGTCTGCACAGTGATGATGCGTGAGTGAAATATACTACACATACAGTGTATGCATGTGTTAAAACAACATATGCTTCTATGAATATCCCTTTTACTTGTAATCCAGGAGGAAGTTTTAAAGTACCTTTTATTACTTTTTGGTCCCTAGTGTGTAATTTTTAATTGTCTTCCAGTTTGAAAGAGCGGCCTGCATCTTCTGCCAGTCAAACCAGTGCTGTGGTCAATGAGCGTCTACAGGAGCTGATCAAAATGTTCAAAGAGAGAACGGAAAAGGCCAAAGAGAAACTCATAGACCCAGACAGTTCTGATGAAGACAGTGTTGTTCAGTGTGAGTACTTTACTCATGAACATTTCTTATGGAGGTTTTTTCCTTAATTGTGTCCTTTAGCTCCTCCTCAGGCCACTACTGCAGCGCCCTCTGGTGTTCAGCCAGAGAACGGGAGCGATGGAGCGCCTGCAGAAGCAATAGAGAATGAGGCGGTAGGAGACCCAGAGTCTGGCTGCTGCAAGGTGAAAGTCCCTCTGTGGATTAGAGCCTGTTTGCACTACCGCTTCCCTGCCAGCATCGACCCCTTCACCAGTGAGAAGCCTCCACATAGTCACGTAGACACCTGCACAGAATAAACGCTTCACTGCTTTTAATCAGTTCCAATAGATGCTAGACTAGAGACTTGCTCCACTTTAAAGGTGCATTCCACAACTGTAGTGACCAGATGGATTCATCTGAATCTTGTTGTTTGGCCTGGTCATTTGTACAGTTTGTCGTTACACTTTCCTATTGACATGTGACTTCACTCGGTCTTTAAGCACTAAAATCATAATTGAAGACTGTGCAACATTTCAAGCAAAGCAGTAATATCTGTCACAAGAAGCTGGTGTCAGACCACTTAACCAGAAACTGGTCACCACATCGACAGTTTAGGAATGCACCTTTAATGTCTTTCCTCATGTAAAACGTTTAGTAATTCCCATGAAAAATTAAGAGAGTTGGCAAATATGATATATTTTGAATGGAAAATACACAAAATAAGAACCTATAGAAAATATACAGAATAACAAGGTAAACCACACTATGTTACATACAACATTTCATTGTCAGTCCACCTCAGCTTGATCGGTGCTGCCTCTTCAAAAATGGCCTCTCGTTCTTCCCATTTGTAACGTGGCCAAATGGCATCACCTCTCATCACTCAATAGACTGGTTTCACGCATATACTCGCAAACATTTTAGGCAAATGAATAACCTTGAGCTGCATTATCGTGTGAATGTTATTACGTAATAATAGTCTTGGTTTGTTGATGTCTCCAGACCTAATGTACGTGCTTTGGATGGCCCTGGTGTCTTTGGCCTGGAACTGGAATGTTTGGTTCATTCCCGTGCGCTGGGCTTTCCCATACCAGACCCCAGACAACATTTACTACTGGCTTCTGGCTGATTATGTATGTGACCTCATTTACATTTTGGATATCACAGTGTTCCAACCACGCCTGCAGTTTGTCCGCGGAGGGGACATTGTGGTGAGTGACTTACTGGTTCTGAGTCTGTTTGGTGATTTTCAGGTTCATAAGGATTTACCAAAGCAGCAGTGAGCACTTTGAGATTTCTTTGGTATTTTTAGTGATGCAAACAAAGCGCAGGTAATTCCAAACAGCCGAAGGGGTGCCAAAGGAACCACTTCACTTGTTTGGACATGCTGATCCAAACAGAAGCCAAGAAAAATGCTTCTATCCACCACGGTTGTATAGAGAAACCAAATGGTGTTAGGTACACTGCAAAAAATGATAAGATATGAGGTCATGTTTGCTTGAATCGTGTGGTTTTTATCTTAATTCTTGAAACTAGATTTGCCAATGGGAAAAAGCCATTTAGTCTTATTTTGAGAACTGTTGCTTTATTTTCTCATTCCAAGAAAGATAATTTTGCTTGTTCCATTGGCAAATCTTGTTTCTAAGGCAGTCAAATTATGTTAAAATAAAGATATATTTAGCCAAATCTGAGAAATGTTTGACAACTTTTTCATCACTTTATGCAGTGTACTTTTGTTCAGCTACTTAAAAGGAGGGTAAGATAGTTTTTACTTACAAACTAGCTTACAAAGAAATGTTGAACAGACTTTTGGTTATGCTGGGTGTTTACGTTTAGTTTGCATCACTCATAAGTTACATTATACATATTATATTGATCTCAGTTTGTTGTCAACTTTTGTGGAAATAAAATCATAGTTAACGTATCTATCTAATCAGTGAATCACGTTGCTTTCTTTCTTTGTAGAGTGACAAAACGGAGATGAGGAGAAATTACATGAAGACAAAGCGTTTCAAGGCCAGTGATCAATAACAAATCAGAACTAAAATTACACATACAGTACATAGACATATTTAAGTAAAATTTTCTTCTGTTTCAGTTGGATGTAGCGAGTCTGGTGCCACTCGAGCTTTTCTATTTTAAAACTGGCATCAACCCTTTGCTGCGGTTGCCCAGGCTGCTAAAGGTATGACTCCTCCAATCCCCCGTGGGACTTGACCTGGCGCAGTATAAACATGCTGACAAGATGGAAAAGTCGACTTTTTCTTTGACTTCTTTTTGCAGATAAACTCATTTTTTGTGTTCAATGAGCGGCTGGAGGCGATTTTGACCAAAGCTTACATCTATAGGTCTGTAGTACAATGTTTAAAAAAGTTTGAAAAATACATTGAGACTGTTATGCCTTTTATAGATTGGTTTATCGTATTTTTCAGAGTGATTCGTACCACAACATATCTTCTTTACTGTCTCCACTGCAATGCCTGTCTGTACTACTGGGCCTCATCTTACAAGGGACTAGGGTCAACTCAATGGGTCTACAACGGTGAAGGCAATAGGTTGGTTATTGGGTTTTTTAAAACTTTCTCTATTATTACATTGTTTGTCCCAATTCAGTGAACAAATCAGTCCACATTATGTCATATCTTTTGCATACATAAAAAGTCCTTGTTTGAGGCTTTGAGCTGACAGAGGGTGGTTCTGTTTTTCACTTTTCTGTCTTAGAAAACCTGATCTAGTGTTGTGACAAGAGGTCCAACATATACACACATACATACACATGTGAAAACGAGTGATAGAGCTGTTTTGAGAGCGAAGGAATGGATTTTATAACTTATAGTTTAAAAAAATATCACATTGGATACAATGAACACCTTCCATAAATTGTACTGAATATAATATAATACTAATATTGTAGTGTTGTTTGATAATACCCTTTTGCTTTCTTTAGCTACATTCGCTGCTACTACTTTGCTGTAAAGACCTTGATCACCATTGGAGGTCATCCAGATCCCACTACCCTTTTTGAGATAGTCTTCCAACTGATTAACTACTTTGTTGGGGTTTTCGCTTTCTCCATTATGATCGGACAAGTTAGTAAAGCTTCATCCTGGTTTTGTACTGGTTATACAAATGTTTGATGTCCAATTCTCTTGTTTCAGATGCGAGATGTGGTTGGTGCAGCCACAGCGAGTCAAACGTACTACCGCACGTGTGTGGACAACACTATCAAATACATGTCGTCCTATCGTATCCCAAAGGAAGTGCAGAACCGTGTCAAAACCTGGTACAACTACACCTGGCAGTCACAAGGCATGCTTGGTGAGAAAACGTGTCTTCATTGTGCACTTTGTTTGTAGTTCATGATAACAATCCCACCATTTTTAGAAATGAATTATTCTTATTTATTGAAGTTCATATCATTGATTTAAAACGTTTGTGTTTCAGATGAACAGGAGCTTCTGACCCAGTTGCCTGATAAAATGCGGATGGATATTGCCATAGATGTAAATTATTCTATTGTGAGCAAAGTTTCACTTTTTCAGGTATGAAACACATATTTTGTGCTTAATTTGCGATACTTTACTTACATTTTCTTTTGGAAACTTATTTGTTTATACTTTTTCCGTCATGTCATTTAAAGGGTTGTGACCGACAAATGATTTTTGACATGCTGAAAAGCTTGCGCTCTGTAGTCTACCTTCCAGGAGATTATGTCTGCAAAAAGGTACATTTTAAACAATGCATTTTAAATATATAGAATTATTTATTTTTTAGCAGAATGTTTAGAATAGATCACGTTTCTTGTTTAGGGAGAAGTGGGTCGTGAGATGTACATTATTAAAGCAGGAGAAGTTCAAGTGGTTGGAGGACCTGACGGGAAGACCGTTTTTGTTACCCTCAGGGCAGGATCTGTCTTTGGAGAGATCAGGTTATAATTGCTTATCTAAATTATATAATTTTGGTCACAAATATGTTTGCATCAGTACAATCTAACACTGAGTGTCTGTCTACCAGTTTGCTTGCAGTTGGTGGCGGAAACCGGCGTACAGCTAATGTGATTGCCCATGGCTTTGCCAACCTTTTTATTCTGAATAAGAGAGATCTTAATGAAATCTTGGTTCACTACCCTGAATCAAAGAAACTGCTTCGCAAAAAGACCAGGTTAAACATTATATACATACTACTTTACTATTCTGTATTACTGTTCAATAAGAAACCTTTCTTTATATGTTCAGAAAAATGCTTAACAAAGGCAAGAAACCTGAGCCCAAAGAAGAGCCCAAAGAGCCTTCACAGGCCCCCTCAGCTCTGGTCAAAACGGAGACCCCCAAACTGTTACGAGCTGCTCTGGAGATGACAGAACGATCCACTGGACTCAGAGAAGCTTTGGCCAAAGTGAAGGAGAAGACAAACAAGTCCAGCATCTCATTACAGGTATAACATCATAGGGCTCACCAGGGGTCACAGGGAGACTGATGTGTTCCCTTTTCTCTCCCAGCCATCTATAGCCTCCACTGCCCCCACTCCATCGCCAGACAGAGACACACCGTCGCCCCTCTCCAGCAGATCTGCCTCTCTGCTGGACAGTTCCTCTCCTCTGCCCCTCTCTTCATATGCAGACACTGAGCAGCAGGGACGAGATGCAGCATAGAACACTCGCCAAAGAGTGTGAAGAGAAGCATTGAAGGCAACAATGTTCATGTACATTTGTTTTTCTACTTTTTTTTGTCAAAAAAGGATTTACTTTTGCCTTCACCTTTCAGAAAGTATTTGCTTGATTTGGTTTTGCTGTTGTTGAATTTTTTTTTGTTGAGTCAAGCCTATAAAGCCTTACATTTGTTTTTTATGTTGAAAGACGGTATTTTATCGAGTTAAAAGAAGTCTAAAAATGCTATGCATTCCTTGAAATGTGTTTCTTTACCTTTTCTCCTTTATTTCACAAAGAGTAATATGTAGATTATAGGGAAGCAATTTCCTTGTTTGACTTGTTGTCACTCACAATGGAAATAAAATACTAAGAGCATAACAAAGAGTATTTTAAGTCAATGTTAATATTGTAAATACATAAGTTTTTGTATTATGTATTCAGCTTGTTCAGCACATATTCTGTATTGAAAATGTTCTAACAAACATTAATATTCTTTGAAAGCAAAAACGATCAATATTGCCAGGAAATTGCACATATGACAAGTTGTTGTATGCATTATTTATCATTTTTATTGTAATTACTATGTACATAACATTAATAAACTGAAGCAAGTGTTATTTTGTCAATTGTGATGTGGGTGTTATAATATAAATTGAATAAATTCACAGGAGAAAACAAACTAATACTAATCAGCATTAGCACACTTCAGCTCTCGGAGGGTGGAGGAGCAGCCTTACGCACTGCTTTGGTCAGAGCTTGTTGAATGACGGGGTACAATTTGTAACACCCCTCAATACAGGTGCGAACCCCAGCGGTCAAAGTCTCTTCTGTCATTTCTCCATCCGACTGCAGTCCGGATATCTGATTCAGACTGGGAAGGAAGGCAAGAGTGAGGCCCCCTTGATTATGATGATCAGTTGAGCCACTATAGTTCTCCTCTTTATATGTAGGATCCACCACAAAGGAGGTACCGTCCTGACGCATGGAACAGCCAAGGACAAGATCATACATCTCAATACCTGCATCTGCAAGGGCCAGGGATGCACAGGTGACAGCATGCCCCAAAACAGAGCCACAGTTCTCAAGAACCATCACATTGACCTCGATTTGTGAGCGGGGGTACTTGTGGAGACAGACAGCAGGTTGCAAGCTCTCAAGAACCATCAGAGAGAAGTCCTTATCCTGACTGCCCTGGATCCAAGAGCCTCTTTCAGGGCAGGAAAATGGAGCAAATCGCATGTCTGCCGTCAACCTGCACACACAAAATGTCTTTCAATGAAATCTATGCAGGTAATTTTGACAACATTCACAATAAACAAACACTATTTCCCATTGTTGGAGATAGTTTGAAGCCATATATTGTCAAATAAACGTTTTCTATTTGAGGACAAAAACTAATTAGAAATTTCCACCTCCAGTTCTCAATTTAACATGATTCCAGAGTGGTGGTGGTTGTTTAGTGGTATGATGTTTATTCTCTGATAGTCTAGATGCCAGTTCTTCTTGGAAAGAAGGCTCCATTTTCTTGTAAATTCCTGGACCGTCTAACATCATGGGCTTCACATTTGAGATCTCTCCAATTATGACAAGAAACTTTTGGTTCACTTTTATGGCTTCTCGCAACCAAAAACGATGAGTATCAATATCATTCATAATATCCAAAATACTGCCCGAAACAATTACATATTAAACTGGACGAGATAAGCAATATTGCATACCTTCCACATTTCATGTCTGTTTCATCTTTACGATCGGTCTCTCTCGGCCCATAAACGCAGCACATCACTTTAGTATTTCCAGCTTCTATGTACGCGGATCCTTTGGCTTGGCTCACCAACCCACACCGAACGAATACGGGCCGAACATCGACCTGATCTCGCTGACGGCCATCCTCTCTTATCCCACGGATCTTCTCAGTGGTAGGGGGTCTCTGTTGAAATACAGAAGGGCTCTGGGAAAGCTCTGGGCCTCTCACTCTTTTATTATCTATCGGCATGTTTTACCCGTCACGTTGTTTTCATTTATGTTTTCCCCATGCGGCGGCTGGTGCAACGTCGAAAGGGTGCCCCTGAAGATAGTTCCGCAAACCATCGTTCCACCTACAGTTTAGAGGTTAGAATATTATATATATTATATTATATATATTATATATATATATATATATATTATATTATATTATATATATATATATATATATATATATATATATATATATATATATATATATATATATATATATATATATATATATATATATATATATATATATATATAATATTATATAATATTGTATATTTGTGAAGAAAAACGGCCCAACGCAAATTTACATGGAAAAATGCGGTGCAAATATATGTGGCATATCATTTCAATGACTAAAAACGTACATATTTGCTTAATATTATTATATTCTCTTAATATACTCACATCTTTGAATAATTTTAATATCTCTTTACCACCTATCCCCAATGCTTCGTATTTTTATTATCACAATTTAATCATTAAAATACGGTGATCCATGTTTTACTATATGGTGAATAATATATACAACTACCAGTCTCTGCGATGAGGGATCACCTGGTCGACGGTGTCGAACGCGGCACTAAGATCTAACATGGACCCAAAACTGTGACTTTAACTGCATCAGTTTGAAGTCGAATGTCGTTTTGTTACCTTCACTAGAGCGGGTTTCTCAGTGCTGTGGTGGGGTCTAAACCCAGACATGGAAACATATCAAAAGAATTATTCATTGTTAAAATTCAGTACAGTTGTTGGGAGGCCACTTTTTCAGAATTTTCCAATAAATGCAGATTCGATATGGCGGCGGATAATTTTGAAGTGTCGCGCCAGGATCCAGAGCTGCTCTTTTTTAGGAGAGGTTATTATGGACTGCTGTTTTTAGGGCCTAGGAAATTGTTCCCTGACGACAGAGAACTTGTTTACTATTTGTGTCAGTGAAGGTAACAAACTGCTCAGGGACGGACTTCAGAAATTTAGAGGGCAATATATCCAGGTAATGTGAGGAGCTCAGACTCATGATTATCTTTTTGACCGTTTAGTATCCACAGGTGCAAAGTGAGTTACAGCTCAAAAAAGCTTCTCGGATGTTTGCATTGTTATCGTGCTGTGAGGTGATAGTGTTTTTGATTCCTTGTACTTTGTCATCGAAAAACTGTGTGCGAACTCATTACACTAGATTTAGAGGAAAAAATCTCTAGGGGCAAACTTTACAGGGGGGTCGTAATCAACAATGTTGAAAAACATAACACGGAAAATTGTTACTCAACCTCCTTAATAATGTCAGAAAAATACATTTCTCTTGTTTACGTAGACCGGTTAAATTCACCCAACTCATCTTAACAGATTTCATAATCGCCCTGGAAATTGGATTCGCCACTTCCGTTCGGCCCTCCGGGCACTCTTGCTTCTGTGCCCTAACCGAGTCTGCCTTTGTCATGGGGCCTTTTTTGTACTGGTAAACTATTTTAACGTCACAGGCAGCAATGGCGTCACAGGAAACAGTCAGAACACTTGGTGGTGGACAGAGTTATACAATTCATCAACAGTAGAGCATGGAGTTCTCAAAATTTAGATTCCACATGAACAGTTCACTTGTGTTCCTTCATGTATGTGTCTTCTTCTAACAGTTGTAAATTCAGTGGTGGTTTGCTAAGCAGAAACACATGTCAAAAAATACACAGAACTGATCTGAAAGCAACCTCACTACATTACATTTGGACTACATTAACCCCCTTTGTAGTATTAGCAGGTCAAGAGTTGCCCCCTGCTGTGGGTGGGGCCACTCACGTGCCGAATGAAACCAAAGGTTCAAATACAGAAGCCAGCTCCTTGCATTTCTGTCATAACCTTATCTAACTAGTACATTAAATCACTGTAATAACTAAACTATCAAAATCTGTGCACACGAATGAAAAGTAGTTCAGTAAAATGGTCCAATAAAATCGCACATGGACTGTGGTGGCCTGTACAGGACAATGAAAGAGTAGATGATTGCTTTTGTTCCATTTAAAGAAATTATACGCAAACGATTTGAAAAATTTCCAAGGGCGTCCATTCTTATGGGAGACAAAGTGCTCTCTAAATAACTGCAGCTATGCCTCCCCCCTTTTGTTTCTCGGTTATTTCGGATTCGAATTATAACAAATTGGGTGGTGTTGCTTCTATTAGAACTGCATTTCTGTATTTAGGTCGAGCCATGTTTCAGCCCTAAGCTAAAATCAAGATCATAAGAAGTGATAAAATTAATAATTAAAAATGAATTCGTCTACATAGATCTGGACATTAAGCATAGCAAGTTTAAAATAAGTCAGAGTCGATATGTGGTGATTGATTTCTACTGGGAACAGAAATTAGATTTGCCAGAGTTGGACCGTCTAACTGCTGTTCTGTTTTGATTTCCGTTTTTTAGAATTTAAAAACATTTTTTGAGCTGGTGGCGGAAACCACACACAGTCTCAATTGGCCAAAAATGTGAAAACCATTGTTTGTTGTTCTTTAGCTCCAGATGTAGAAGTGGAGGTCAGCACAGTTCAGTGTTTGGACTGGTAATGCACTCGACCAGACGGCACAGGGCGGCGAGCAGTGTTTGCCACAGTTGTACTCACCCTGGTGCTGTGCGCAGGAGGCGGGGGAGTGCGTTGGGGTCCGAGGGGGATCAGATGTAAACAGTCACGCCCCCCCTCGCGGGAACGCTGAACAACATAGACGTATGTAATCCATCAACAGGCTGCTACCGTATCTGTTTGGGTGTAATCCGTTCTGTATTTACGGATAAGGCTTTCGTAACGTTTCAGAAAAAGGGCAAAAGTTATTCACAAAGACAAAGTTTAAAAGAGCCTGCATGTAGCCTGAAGCCAACACAGAAGCGCCCAACACGACTGTAGGAGGCTGTCACCTCTGTTTACAGTATGGATTTGGACCAGCAATAAAAAACGATAGTCCGGAGGATTGAAGGAGGTGGAACAGATCATAAAATGTTTCTTCGTGACTTTGACTGCTGAAGGTTTCATGTGTTACTTCCACATCCCCCCACGACTACCTTGGAAAGGTATTCAGGCAGGGACTGAAGCAGAGGAGGGAGAGGCATGAGCAGGGTCTGGGTACAGTAGCTCCGGGAATACAGCGAGTGACGCGTTAAGAAGCGGCGTGTCTCACGATCGGAATCTCAATAATCAGAGTGGTTCGGGAGCGAAGAGTGGCCTCGGGAGAAGGAGCTCGGTGGACGGAACAGCGGGTTCACCCGAAGGCAGGACCCGAGCTGAGCGCCGCTGAACACCATGGGGAGAGGAGGAAGCGGGGGTGCAGACTCTCACTCTACAGGCGGTACCCACGCTGTGTGCTCGGGGACGCTGGGAGCGGTGAGAGGGGCTGGCTTCTGGGGCGCTGCTGCTGACCCGGTGGAGGTGGGCGGTCGGTGTGATGGATCGCCTTACACCGTCTGAGGCTGCTGCACTGGTGGTCAAAGAAGGGGAACAGGCCAACATGGCCTGGTGGACCGCAGTTCTTTCGCCTGAGGACTGCTTCCTTTAGGAGCGTTTTCCTCGCAGTGGACTTGGATCCTCGAGCAGTAGAAGTACGTGCAGAGTCCAGGGATTTGATGAGGGGGCCGGGATGTGGTGGTGAGGGCTGCATAGACGGTTTGCCAGACTCAGGACATGGGCCCGGCGCAGCATGGGCTCTCGGAATCGCGGGCTCGTTATTCGGAAGCGGGCGTTAGGTGTAGAAACAGGAGGGTCCGGAGCTGACGGATCTCTCCCACACGAACAAGTGTCAAATAATGATGCAGCGCTCAGGACATCAGCCCGTGAGTGCTGCCCACCAGCGACTTCAAAAAGTCTTGGACACTAGAGATTGTTTCCATTCAACCTCTGCGGTGATGAGGACGAAGGACTTTCTTTTCGTAGATCTGAATGGTGGAACGGTCGCTATCACGGAGCTCCAAAGGTGAGGAGACTATATTGTGCATATATTGAGCAAATTCTTGTCACTTCCATGTGCCTCGTTAGATTGTGTTAGCCTCTGTGCTACTCGTGGGTTTCAGTCGGGAGCTAGTGCTATTTGATGAAACCCAATGAATATTAAAAAGATAAAACCACTCAGATATATTAAAAAACTGGAACAATAAACGGCTAAAAAGTGTTTAAAAGTTTACTAAAAAGGTGCAACAGAGCAGCCCTGCAGTACTGCTTACTTTGACACACCTGCGTTGATGTGTTGTGAGTGTGTTGGAGTCCTAATATGGCCACTAGTGAAAATAAGTACTGTAACTGTGATGTATTAACATCATGTAGGAACATTTTATTTTGGAACACTTCCGTGTCTCAACCGGGAAGTCCCCAGATGGAGTGGCTCGCGCAACACCGACGGAAAAACTTTACAAAGTGTATGGGACGTTTTCACACAGCTGGTCTAGCAAACGGTCATAGAAACCTGCACTATATGGCATAAAAGCAAAGACAAAGTTTAGCTACAGTTGAGATAGAAGGAACAAGGTATGGATGGATTTTTATTTTGTGTAACAATTGTAAAGTTTCTTTAAATGTGTAAAATTAATAGCAAAAGTAATGTAACGGTTAACAATGCTATTGATGCTAGATAGTATTTGGACAATGATGGTAAGGTTGATTTCGTTCTGCAGTAGTTCCAAAGTGCAAAATTATAAATGGTTGAGTCCAAACAAAGTCTTGAAGAAGCAAAATGAATTGAACAAACCAG